TGGTCCCGTATGGAGGGGAATTATCCAGCGCTGTATCCAGGCCTCATCTGAGTTATCTGGTACCGTACTAAATTCTCCACTTTCAGGATCCAGGGTTGAATGTTTTCGAAACCTCATTGCTTGTAGTACAGGGTGACGAAAATGGACGGGATGTTCAAGCTCGTTTGCTGGGTCGATTGCATGTTAGTGATGCTCATACTATCAACCACTTGTTTGATTTGTCCAGACTCGATTATGTACTTACTGCTGTGATGCCGGTAGAATAACGTTGGCAACGGCGTAAAACAACATTATAAACTACTGAAAATTCTGAGTTTCTGAAACTTCCAATCCCATGCATTGTCCAGAGAAATAGGGTTTCCATTCGTCCTGTACATTCAATAACGACCAAAGTCCAGAATCACCTATATTTTTCTTGCATAGAGCCAAGCTTTTGCCCCCTACATCAGCGCGCTAACACCTGAAAACACCTACCGCCAAAGGGTCATTCGGGTTGCTATAACACTGAGCAACACAGCTTAGACACAGATTTATTGGTACCATAACATGTGCATGATATCTGTGATTATTGACTTGTTATTTCGGACAAGTTATGTTACTGAATGGAAATGTATATTTTGTCTGGAGTAGAAGCCAACATTGATCCAATCGTGTGTTTTACAGTTGCAAGGTGGAGTCACGAGGGTGAGGGTGAGGGCTAGTCAGTCGTTAGGGAATTGTTCCCAATTGAATTACAAGACGAGTGATCATGGAGGCCAACACATGCCCCACAGATCCATCTTTGGATACATAGTCTTATTCCTATCTCATCAACATACACCACACAAGCCAAGGAGCATAAACCAAGGTCACGATGCACACATACTCTGGATTAGTAGCATGTTGCTTTATAACAGAGGCTAAAAATAAAAATATAAAACAGATCATATATTTATGAACGACCCGACACCAACACCAAACCTCTCAGGGTTTGTTCTCTCGAGTTTCTCTTGGCCTAGCCAATGTCCCTCTTGACCTAAAAAATGTCCAGCAACACTATGATACCTCTACGACATGTAAGTCAAGTCTACCGACTTGAGCAGCCACCCTCCTCCTCTTGACCTTCTGATCCGTCTAATGAACTTGACATTCAGCCATCAGGAGACATAGGTTGTGAAGAGGCTGTTGCAGCCAGCACGTCGACACTCCCTTCAGAAGGAGCTCTTGGTGTACCTAAGTAGAGTTGTTAGCGGAGCATCTATATGCATCAAAGGCTGCTCCTGATGGGCACAGTCGGGAACATAGAAAGAAGAAATTGAATTTTAACTGCATAACATTTCGGGAAGGATATTATACTTTCGTGTGGTGAGATAGCATACTCTCCTAATTAGCCAAGATAAAACCCTGACCCTGTCTGATGAAGTTTTATTTAATCACTTTGGCGTCTTTGGATTTGTGAGTTTGTAAACTGGAATGTTACACACAGTGAAGGTATATGAGAACGGAACAGCGTTGGTTGAATGTTGAGGTTCTAATGTCAATACTTTATGTAGACTCTGGACTCCAGCACGGACCCTGACTCCAATAAAACAACGTGAAAAACACTAAATATTATCTCCATCTTCCAGAAGTAACCTGACACACACCATCTACTTCACTGAGCGGTTTTATGGGTAACATACATGGTTGATGTACTGAACATATTGTCATCGGGCTGTGCAGTAGTCCCCCTCAGTGTGTGTTTTGATAGTATACCCGAGAAAAAAACGTTTTATTCAGTTCTAAGTAATTGTGATAAGATAGGTAAATTTTATCACATTAACGACCCAGCTGTTATCTTCAAATGTCACGGTTTTGCATATGTTTAGAGTAGTAATAAAATACCTATATCCATCTGAGAACCCTGAGAAATAATCCCAAAATGTATCCCAATAGATAACCAGGCAGATGGTACGGATTCATACAGTTAAGACCCAAAGCGAATCATCTTTCCTCTTTAGTCTCCGTGGCTGTGGACCACAATCAATTACCATTCGCAACGAGTGTGTTTTTCTCTGTTTTACAATAGTCCATGTCACAGCGCTCCAGCTATGGTGGTTTCAGGCAACATTCCTCAGGTTTTTGGCAGAGTAAGACACTCGGCACACGCTTCATCTCCTGCAGCAGACGATACTGCAAGCAGACGACTCCCTTCTCCATTCGCCCGCCAAATTAGTCGGCTGCTGTGCGTGCATCGTTGTTGCCGAGTTAGCACTTTCTACCTCAGCCGGTGCCGCTCTGAACAAATAAAGTCAACGTAGGAAAGCCTGGATTGGCATTTCATGGTTCTTCTGTGATAAGTCTTAGGTTCTTGTAGACCTAGCCCGAGGCATGTCTGTAGGTGATGCATGAACCTTTTCCACGGTATCAAACAGGCTGTCATGTTTCATTATCGGAATATATTGTTAACGTTCAGCTGAAATATCGTCTTCCCTTTATCTGATTAACTACCTCTATTTCTTGGGTTGCTCCGTCGTTGTAAATTCTGAAGCGAATATGGATCGTTTTTGTGGGGTTTTGCCAGCCTGATGACATATAGTAACGCTGAAAACATACTAAAGTTGTCCTCACGTGTATTTGCACACCGTTGCATAAAAAAGCATGTACAAATTCACTTTCTGATTCCCATCGAGAAACACCTTGCATGTTATGGCGTCAGTGCATTTAGCTGAGTCAGCGGTTTTCACCGCCATTTTGTTTTAAGAACTTTAGGCAAAAGTCTTTAGTTGTATTTTGTTTGGCGAAATACAAAACGTTAACGTGTTTTAGAATATTTTATCCCATGAATGTGATACCTTTTCAATAACATTTCCTATTTTTTTACTTTGAATGGAAGCCACACAGTTTTAGAAGGGCGCATTACGATTCTGAAAGATCTCATGGAGGTAAAACAGATACGTGTGTTCAAGTATAATACTTCAAGAGAGCATCATTAAATAGCGATAAAATATATCTATGTGACGTGCAATCTCATAAATACACAAACCAGAGTTTAATTGGGGCTATTTGGAAATCTTCCAAGGTCACTGCCAGATTTGATAATGGATAATGGCATGCCACTCGTTCACCCAGTCTCGTCTTTCACTGACATAAGGTTAGTTTTATCATGGGTAATGATCATATGATTGTGTTCATTCTTACAATTACCAATCTATTGTCTGTGCATTTAATTATGTTTTGTTTGTTTATCTTCTGTGTGTGAAAACCTGCTGGGTTAAGTCAAGTATGTTATATCTGTTGGACTGTTTGGAAGTTTTGAATGGATGACGCCAATTCTGCAGCTGCGAGCTTCAAATACGTGCATTTAAATCTTAGTTTGAAGGCAACACCCAAACATTGGCCGACATGCCTCTTCTTAAATAACAGTTTTATTCGGTTTATGGTCGAAGTTTGTCTAATGGATTGTATGGGTGGGTCTGAATTGGACATTCAATTGTAAAGTCGTCCACCGGTGTTCATCTCAATTACCCGAGTTTTCCGGAATGGCTGTGTGGCGAGATGAGAACAACTGATGGTAAATAAACAGGAGTTATCTGTCCTGGAATACAATCAGCAGGGCGTTCATGTCGGATCGCCCGCCAGTTTAATACGTGGATTTCAAGGAGAATCTGTGTAAATGTCAGTCACATTGCTAGTTATGGGTGTATCTGGTGAGGTTTGGATGGTTGTTTGGAACTGTCTTAACCTAAAGCAAGAGATTGGTTCTAGGCGTGACAAGTTGTAGTACTCAAAGACCCCGATGGGTTGAAGGGAATTCGCTTGAGAATGCCTACTCATCTGGATAATGTCCATTTATTAATGCTTAAGACCCGATTATAATCATGTTAAAGTAATTGCCATTCTCTTTAAATTATCACAGCTCGTTTAACTGTATTATCGCTTGGGTTCATCCTAACGCTCTAACGTACATGATCTTGATGTCATGACGATCGTGGTTTCAATACTTTAAACATTGTCCTTGTCGCGTAAAAGGACATGATTGCAATTTGATAGGTACTCATAAACAGGGGCTAATGAACTGTACAATAGACTCCTATTCACTATATGATCTCAGTTGTTATAATCATTAGTATCATCATCATCATCTTCATCAGTGTTCAAGACACTGGTCCATAGATGTCCGAACTTAGAGTCCTCTTCCAAGGAGTTCAAGGGAGGTCGCTGCAGGCACGATAGTATGCAGAGAATGACCATTGAATTCATTATACAGTTGTTTCCTTGGTGGATGACCTTCGCATGGTTCCAAGCAAGCATGGCCTTCTGTCATTTCAGAAGATCTCTTCGATGACCCTCATCTGCTACAGGTGTCACACATATAAGATAACAACAAAATTGAAATATCTCATAGCACTTTTCTTTCTGTCCAACATTAGAAACTTCTATATTAACAAGGCTCGTCATGGTTCATGTGTTCGGGGACACTTAATGCAGTCTTCAAATATTCTTTGACTAACCTCACAGAACATCCTTTGTAAGATCCACGTTTTTGTGTACTTTATGTTAGACTTGCTTTTTATACACAGGTTGAAATCATATTGGAACATCTAACAGGTTAGATGAGATGTCCAACCTGTCAATAAGAAATACACAGCTATGTTAATATCTTCATATCCCATAACCCGTGAAGATCAGGGTTACAACTGGTCTCCAGCAACCCATTCTTGTCGAAGAGACGACTAACGAGATCGGGTGGTCAGGCTCGCAGACTTGGTTGACACGCGTCATAGCATCCCATTTGCAAAGATCGGTGCTCATGATCACTGAATTGTCTGGTCCAGACTGGAGTATTTACAGACAGCCGCCATATGGCTGTAATATTGCTGAGTGCGGCGTTAAACAAGCAAACAACCAACTCATGACGTTGATCACTGAATTGTCTGGTCCAGACTGGAGTATTTACAGACATCTACATTTACAAACAAACATCATATCCCATATGGTCTGACATTTTACGATTTTAACAAACACCTTCTCCATTCCAGGTAGCTAGCGGGCGATATCATCATGGGGGTGGGAGACGACGTGGCCCCCCGCTTCACTCAGAAACCGTCACTACGACAGGCGGACAATGGACAACGACTTATATTCGAGTGCGCCCTTGAGGCTTCTCCTAAACCGGACATCTCCTGGTTTCGGGGTACAACAGCCATTACGGGATCAGACAGGATTAAAATGCGGGTAGACCCCGCCGGTGGAAGTGCATTCAAAGTGATTATGGAAATAGTAAACGTGACACAGGGAGATGCTGGTACCTACAAGGTTGTAGCCAAGAACAGACTGGGAGAGGTCTCAGCTTCCATAAACCTGAATTTCAGCGGTAAGGTATTTTGTGTTTCACGTGCGATAGGGGGCGATGGGGTAGCCTAGTGGTTAAAGCGTTCGCTCGTCACGCCGAAGGCCCGGGTTCGATTCCCCACATGGGAACAATGTATGAAGCCCATTTCTCGTGTAAAACATTACTCACACACTCCTAAGAACGTGATACGATTCTTCTCAAATGTTGTTTATCAGGGTTGCACCATCCACATTCTTAGACCTCACTTGTTTTTGCACGTCTCTGAGAAGGGTGCCACCGGTTAGTCAGTCTGCACTTTTCGCGAACACCTGGTATCATCACCTTTGGAAACAAATTCATGAACGGATATGAGTATAAATATGTGTATATATGATATGTTTGGCATCGTAATATGGCAGTTTCTTATAAATATTGAAATAGTTGATCCGCCTTAATGTATTCCCTTGGGTGCAGGCCATTAGCACTTGTCTTATCCTGAAAGAGACAAACTTTCATGAAATATCAGTAGTGATATATTTGAGCCAATGGCGTCAGAGCTGAATTTGCGTCTGTCTGCTCTTTAGTATTGTCTTCCGAATAACTTTAAAGTGCGCAACGTGAAATCTGAAGGGATGGGTATTATTATCAATGATCTAGACACATAAATGTAGGAACCAGTTAAGGTTACAGAGCTGTTCTAAAAGGAATTAGTGGACGTATGTAGCGACCAGAACATGCACTAAATCATATTCCGCACATCGATCGCTTGAAGTTTTAGTGTTAACCGGGAGCTGCACCGCAGTAAAAAGGGTTTTACGAAATTGTGGACTATTTATCCCAGTCTTGGATGGTGTAAGGAACGTCGTTAAGGTTTCACACAATCTGTCACACAAAAACAGCCCCTGTTTGGCGTAAGATGTATCGGGTGATAGGCGTCTGGTATATGTGCTGATTGCTGTACGCGCCGTGGGCTCGTTCCAAGAAGCATCTTACGACAATCGTAAGTCAGTATCAGATTACAGGGTTACGAACGTCTTAGCCAGAGACCGCTTTGTGGAACGACCCTTGGGTCACATAAACAGAAAAAAACGTCGAGTTTTCTCGTGCAAATTGGAATAATCAGCGGGTAATGGCGGCTCCACGTTCACCGGAAATGAATCAGATGATTAAATTCGCTTCACTGCGCATCTGTGTTATCGCGCCACGCAATACCGCCAAATATGATAGAGAGATATTTATCATGTTAATTGCAACACTGCGTTATCTGACGTTATTCCTAAAGGGTTAAAAAATTATAGACATGATAATTTGGCTCATTGCCAGCCAACAACAGCTGTATTTTTTACGACGATGCACAAATTCCTATCGCGAATTGTTTTTAGTATCGTCTGCCGGCTCTGGTAGGGTGTATTTAGCCGGAAGCCGTCTGCCGTGGTTATGACGCAGATTTATAGGAACCTGACTTAACAGAAAGCATATTTTTCTGTTTCATCAACCTTGCCCTTCATAATAAACAGCAATTTAGTCCCTCGGAGCAGGTTTATTGAATAATTGAACTATGTTTACTCGTGCATACATAAACACACACCACGCCCAGTATGGAATTATGAGCTGTATCTGCACATCGTTGTGGATAGGTGTGCAGCTGTGTTGTATATGGTTTGATGGACACATTATCAACGCTGCAAGTGGCCAGGAAAAGCTAAGCGAAGTGATTCACATGTCTGTGACCTTGAAAAAAAAGCCCAAAGAGTTTTGATACTGAGCTTTGGCAAGATCCAGATAGTCCCGCCCAAAACTATTTTTTCACAGATATGCGATATCATGCTCATTTTCGTGACATGGGTAAGCTCGTGGACAGAATTAATCTTTCGATATTTATTGTACATGTTCCAAAAGATACAGGCGATGAAAGTTCCAAGTGAATGAAATCAACCAGGATTTCTTGCCAAGAAAATTACGTGCAGTATCAAGGCCATCGATGAACTAGGGTACGGATACTGTTATTCAATAGACCCGTGTCCTTGACCTGACAGGTTCTAGACTCTCTCAGGTGAATCGGTTCAGATACTATCGCCCCTTGAAGACTGCTGTCTTTCGAATCTTTAAACTGAACTCTATATAGCAGTAGGACTTATGTACTTAGTTGCTTCAGGTGTAGGACAGGTTTTAACATGTTTGGAAGTGTATGGATGAACGTGGGTCGTAACCATTTAAGCGATGTACCGAGCATCTGCTGGGTTGGATGGACAATTTGGCTGTGATCTGAATCTGCAGAAACCCGTGAAGGTCCAGGTTAGAATAGTGATCATCAGTTACCCATGCTTGTCATAAGAGGCGACTAACGGGATCAGGTGGTCAGGCTCACTGACTTGGTTGACACATGTCATCGGTTCCCAATTGCGCAGATCGATGCTCATACTGTTGATCACTGTATCGTCTTGTCCAGACTCCATTATTTACAGACCGCCGCCATAGAGCTGGAATATTGCTGAGTGCGGCGTAAAACTTAACTCACTCACTCACCGAATCTGCTGACAACATTCGTGTGGGCTCTCCTTCAATAGTTTAAGCGCCAAGTCCTTACCATTAACAAAACACATCCAAGTAGATTCTATTTTGTGTTGATGAATAAATGTTAAATTGTGATGATACTGGGTGTTCGCGGAAAGGTGAGCATATCCTGTCCCACCAGTAACACCCGTTAGAAGGAAAATGCAATCATATATTTGGGATTAAAAAACAAACCGCTATTGTTTTCACAACCTTAGTTTCATTTGTCTTCAAATAGACTCCAAACATAAAATAAATTATGTATATATTTGTCTCTGTGGTTCAGGGTCCCGTTCCGTCCCTAGTATGGTGATCTACCTTCAGTTGTTGGCGATCTATAGCCCAATTGTACATTGTATTGTCCAGAAATAAGTTTCTACTTTTAAAGATATATGCTAGCTAGTTTTAACTCAATCTGTGATAATCTAGTGGTTTTACTGTCATTCGTTGACAGGGTTTTATATATTATATGTATGTATTATAAATTTAGAACTAGTTTTAGTCAGGATATGGCTGAAATATTGCCGATGTGACTTTAAATCTTAACTCACTCACTCACTCAGGGTCCCGTTCCACACAGCGATCGTAGCACTAACGTGATCGTAACTCCCATACTTTAACATAGACTTACGACTGTCGTAGGCTACGATCGCTTTGAGGAACGGGGCCCAGGTTACTTCTGACACGAAACTTGATAATACGATTAAATAAAGTTGATACTTTGGTTGAAACGTGGTCATATTTTACTGTATGTATTGGATAGATGGAAGAATGGGGTGGGTGAGTTTAGTTTAACGCCGCTTTTAGTAATATTCCTGCAATATCACGACGGGGAACACCAGAAATGGGCTTCACACATTTTACCCATGTGAGGAATTGAACGCCTTCAGCGTGACGAGCGAACGCTTTAACCGCTAGGGTTACCCGCTACCATACCGCCCCTGGAAGGATGGATGTATGGATGGATGGATGGATGGATGGATATTGTAATTCCGTGGACCACAGACTGAAAGTAATAACATTCAGTTCAGTTACTTGTAACTACAATCTTAAAGCGCAAAGGTAACCATATTGAGCCCATGCTCAAAGAGAAAAGTTAATTCCTAATTATGTACACTCGCGACTAATGTGATAATGAGTAAATATAAATAACATTTATGTCAGTTCCTTTATTTGTTTAATACATAACGAAGTTGGTATCCATAATCATCTTCTACTCATGTTCATCACTTCCCTTCTTCTAAACACCTCTGATTCCAATGATTACAGTTTTGTTGTTAACATAAATAAGTCTGAGTTTGAAACTGAACCTTGGCGCACTCCAATTCAACTTCAGTCAGCAAGTGAAACATAATATCTACAATATACTGTCGGTACTATACGTAAACAATGTCAGAGCCATGAAACGTTAGCTCAACGCCTTCAAATTCATTCATGTCTTGTAAAATGTAAGCCCTATGACGTCACAGTTTAATAAGCGCCAGATATTCCTCGACATCCTAATTACAGGCAAGGATATCTTCAAGCCTAAATACACCAAACATATGTCGGTGCATGCAATATAACTGAAGTGTTTACTAGCGTCCTACAACGTGATGCCATGGCGGTTATTTGTGCACATACCGCACAGGACGTTTTCCTCGCGAGAAAGTAAAATATTTTATATGGCGCACATGTAAATCTTTGATGACAAGCGTTCCTTTTACACGTTCAGCCACTCAGGGAAATCTGGAGGCCTTTGATAAACGTGTATTGGAGAGAGCAGTGTTGCAGGCCCACCTAGACGTCTCGATAAATCTTTGTAACGATAGCCCAAGAACAACCTCGTGCATAGCTTGAATTCTCAAACGGATTGGCAAGTGGATTTTAGGACAAGCTCCGCGCAGTGTCAAACTCCGTGCTGCTGTTATTTATGATGATGTCTCGACCATGTGTAGGAGCTTGAACTGGACGTTATCTCCGTGGCGTTGCTCCCGACAGGAAGATAGATGGCACCATGGCCCACCACCCATATACACTGACCCCTCGCTGATAAATGATGTCAGTATTTCTGTGTTGTTTGTATACAGCAGTCATTACAACCATGCAGTAGTTCCCGTAGTATCTGCGCGGAGAGGTAGCACAGTGGATGATGTGTTCGCTCATCACAGAACACCCGGGTTCGATTCCCGAAATGGGTGCAGCATGTTAAGTCCATTTCTTTATATCCCCTGCCGTCATGCTGATGATTGTGGATTATCCGTGGAGAGTTTTATAAGCATTACACAGAGACGAACCTCCTGACTCCGAACTCCGATCTTTAGACCGTAGCTGTTGAGAAAATCCATGTATACATTAGGACATCTCCCCATCCCAGTAATCGTTACAACAGAAAGATTAAATTCTGGAGATTTTCACATTAGGAAATCGAAATCGACTTATGCATATAATTTGGCGGTACATGTATTTACACCGCACTGATGATACAGCGTCCTAATCTAGTCAGATATCATTTTAAATACAGTAAAGTATATCGAACTAATATCATTTCGTTATAACCGTTGTTCCTTTTCATGAGTAGTATGTATAGCAGATTGCCAGAACCAAAAAATGTTCGTTACATCCGGCAGTTCGTTACATCCGGCAGTTCAGTTCGTTATATCCGGCAGTTCGTTACATCCGGCAGTTCGTTATATCCGGCAGTTCGTTACATCCGGCAGTTCGTTATATCCGACAGTTCGTTATATCCGGCAGTTCGTTATATCCACCATTCGTTATTCGTTATATCCGGCAGTTCGTTATAACCGTCAGTTCGTTATATCCGACAGTTCGTTATAACCGTCAGTTCGTTATATCCGTCAGTTCGTTATATCCGTCAGTTCGTTATATCCGTAAGCGAGCGTGTTCGTGATAAACGTAGTCAACTGTATTATTGTTTGTTAAAGTACTGAGGATGTTTATAGTACATTATATATCTTATATTGCCAGTCATATTTTTCCCAAAATATTGTAATAAAGTACTTTCATATTCAATTCTAAATACGATACGATATGAAATATAAACTTTGACCCACACCCGGTGCCATGCTGTTCGTTGTTATGCAATATATTTCATTTTGAATGCATTTCTTACCAAACATTTTTATCTCAGAAAAGGTGAATTACAGCAAGACAACTGCATCTAAAATATGCAACGCGTTTCCAAATTGGAGATCAAAGGTCTGCCACATGTGCAATTACAAAAGAGCATCTTACGGGCACCTGTTGCGCAATGCTAAGTACGCGGAAGAAACGTACCGTCTCATCTTCCAGAGCATCTCAGTCGGATGAATAAACAAACCGCATCCATGAAAACTCAATTGTTAGTGAAAAGTACACATTGTTTAAAGGGGCACCTGTTCTTCTGACAGGATACAGAGCTCTGCAGTACTCTTAGTGTATTTACACTAACCGCTTGAGGTTTTCCAGAACACTATAGGCATTTACACTCAAACTATGAGGTTAACCCTTAGTCTGAGAGCCAAACATCTCGATAGTCTGGTCTGTAGCCTCGAAGTTAACATTGTGTTATAAAGGGTTAAAGTGATATGATTTGAATAATTTGAATTCAATCGTTATTGGATGAAGAAAAAATTGATATTTTGGTGAATTATTCTTCGTTTGAAACGTGTTTTAATGCTATTTGAAGGGACGGTGAGGTTCAAGCGTTCGCCCATCGCACCAAAGATACGGGTTCGATTCCCCACATGGGTACGATATGTGAAGCCCATTTCTTGTGTACCCCGCCGTGATATTGCTGGAAATTGCTAAAAGCGGCGTAAAACTAAACTCACTCATTCTACATCTGAATATACGAGTGTTACGGTATGCAAGCGTTTCCCAACACGTCTAAGGTACTACGTATGAACATAATGTGCACCTGATATACCGTTGTAATCGAGTTAAATAGATCATTACGATACTAGAAGAGCGAACAACTGTATATAGGAGGAATTAAGCCTGAACGCTAGCCATAAACGTCAAACCTCAAATCACAATACTCTTAACACGAGAGGGTTCTTGTAGAACTTTAGATATTACATGTCTTTGAGACTGTGTTCACCTGGCCTTTGCAACATATACGAGTAAAACTGATCCTTGAAACAGGTGGAGACGTTCATTCACTTACACTGCAATATATTTTAACATTTAAAACACACTTATAGTTTATCCCTCTATTTGACAGTTTAGATTAAGGACTGGTAATTCAGACGGCATGGCAATGAGTTATAGCTCTTCTTTCCTTTTGAGCAAAAAACATTACGCGATAAATTACTGAATTACATGATGATAAATGCATTAGAGAGTAACATTAAGTCACAAGAAACCTGTTATTGAATTGTACTGAGTCAATAAACGAAAGCATGCCTCCTATATCATAAGGAAAATGTACGCCGGATTTTATAGATTTAACGCTGTGAATTATTTTACAGTGTTTGTAGGCCTGTAGGCAATGTTTTGTGAAGGTAGTATGTGTACAAGAGAGATTAAGCATGTAAGATATAGCTTTCAAGAGTTCTTTTTCCTGTATTAAATAAATATGTTGTCATTGGTAATATTTCGCAAATTTATCCATTCTTTCTATGTTTCCTGAATGTTTATATGAAATGGAATGTTACGTTTGGAGTGATTCGACTTTTGTTGATTTGACTAAAACTGTATTTTTTTCTGTTTCAGCTGGTCAGCAAAAACAGTAAGTCTTTTTTCTACTCTTTTCTGTTTTCTTTAAATAGTTGCCGACGGTTATCATAAAACCATCTCAGATAGAAACCTTTTTGTTTCCTCCCTTTTTTTTCATTTTCATGGCTGTGACATTCGTTCATATTTAATTTCATTATTGCCCTTACATCAACCGGTCCCTCAGCCAACTTTCATGCAATTACTGCATACGGTTCTAGTAGCTTGTGTATATTGCTTTCTGAGAATGTATCCCGAGTTCCCATATACCTCAAGACCGCCTCCGTGTTGTAGTGGTTAGAGCGTCCGCCCGGAGAGCGGAAGGTCGCGGGTTCGATCCCCGACCGCGTCATACCAAAACACGTTAAAATATGCTACTTGTTGGTCCCTGCCTGGCGCTCGGCATTAATGGGTACAACAAGGACTGGTCGGCTCGGAGTCAGTATAATGTGTCTGAGTAGGGTATTCATGCTTCACTGCGGCATGGTATCTGAGTGGGCTAGCACTATAAAACCAGCTTCAGTCTGGACTAGTACAAGCAGCCGCACATACACATACACACGCATGCACGTCGTCATATGAGCGAAATATTCTCAAGCACGACGTTAAACCCAATTCCACCACCACCACCATATACCTCATACGTACATGCAATATGTGAGCTGATCAGAATAACATTGCGCATTTGTCTCTACATAAAGGTGAGATAGAGAATGAAATGCACATGTATATTTGTGTTTCGGTGTACTCTCGGTAGTTGTCTTATATTCGTTCCCTCATACTTGGTTCTGAAGGTATTTACCGAAGACGAACCCAGGAGGTCCTCAGTTCAATATGTTCTGCACCTGTTATGAACTGACCCCCTACTACTCGCCCCGCACATCTGCTTATAGTCCATTTTGATTGGATGTAATACAAGAAAAACAGTGTTTGTTTCATCCGAGGGGCCATCTCAAAGACTTCTTGAAAGGTCATCGCTGGGGAAAAAATGAACATATATCAGCACATATCCGACATGAACTGTTATCTGAACAAACCAATATCACCTAAAACACAAAAACAGTATTTTCTCAATGTAGTCGGATATTTGAAAGATTATAAGAGGCTTAACACGTTTTTTAACTTTTGAAGGAAATGCCACTGCTTGCATCTCAATGCATATCGTCTTCCACTTCCTTCACCAGCATGACCTCGGTATCTACAGTTTTAGATTTTTTCGACACAAAAAAGGCTGCCGGTCTTAAGTTGTAGTGGTGATTATACCCGAGTAATCCCGTGCTGATTATGTGCTTTTGCCGGTGTGCGCGGGCAATAGACAGCCTCAGTGCCTCAGTACTATCGCGTATCACCTTCCCTTCTACGGTAAGCGGGTCTCCCTGTCTGGGTGCTGCAGCGAAGCTTGCTACAAGGGGAGGGAGGGAGGGTAATTACTCCACAGCTGAGGTCGCTCTGTGTGCATGTACCAGGTGCAGTTGTTGTAGATGTCGCTCACACCTCAGCTGGAGTTGAACGTAGCACATGAAATTTGTAGATTGTAGGTGTCGTCGAACCACACAGGTTTGGCCTGCAACATATCCTCAATGTTTAGTGAAGGTGGGATATAATGAGGACGGTGTAAAAGTGTATGTTTTATGATGGTGTTGGAGGGATCATTTAATGGGGATTGTTGAGGGGGGTCAGTGTACTTACCTGGGGTGTGGGTAGTTCAGTTGAGTCTAGTGCCACATCTTATGAGAGGGGTCTCCTTACCTGCAGTTATCTATATCACAAGGTTTAAGGGATAGTACCTGAATATATATAACATATAATATGTACAGTAACAAATAATCTATCTTGCTTCATTTCAGGCTTAAGCATTGTATTGAGAGCTAAGCAGTAGGCTAAATAATGTAGTTCAGGGACTGTGAGACAGACTATAGGTTAAAGGAGTGAAACTACGCACACGATTAACTGGATACATGTATGCATATGATTAATTGGATGGGTGTATGTATGAAATGAAGTGGGTTAACTTTAACATGGCATGAAGAGAGAGAATATTCAGTGGATGAATATTAGCATGACTTGAAGTAAGTGAATAGTTACATGACATGAAATGGGGCATGAAGCGGGTGAATATTAGCATGACTTGAAGTGGGTGAATATTAGCATGACTTGACGTGGGTGGATATTAACACGAAATAAAGTGGGTAAATATATTATTAACACAACATGAAGTGAGTTAATATTAACATCACACGAAGAGCGTGAATTAAGTGGGAATTAACTGTAAGGTAATTGTATGGATAGATACACTCGCATCATTAAGTAGGTGGATATAAGTACAACATGAAAGGGAATATGAGCATAACATCAAGTGGTTGGATGTTGGCATAACATTGAGAGCAGGAACATGATCGTGAATTTAAGAGGGTGAATATTACCGTAACATTAAGTGGATTGATATAGGCGAATTATTTAATGGGTGAATAGGAGTAAAGAAAGAGGATTAATATAAGCGTAACATTACGTGGGGAATATTAGTAACACATCCAGTGGGTAAATAATCATGGAAAAGAATAGGCATATAATATCAAGGAGATGAATATAAGCATAACATTGAGTGGGTGGACATTAATGTCACATCAGATCGATGAATATCCTTGGATCATCAAATCGAGGAATATTCGCATTACACTGAGAGGATGAATATGAATGTTACATTACGTGGATGAATATTGTTACGAAATTATGTGGACCAACATTTATATTACATTAGTGGACCGACATTTACATGATATTGAAAGGATCAACATTTACATTACATTAGTGGACCGACATTTACATCATATTGAGTGGACCAACATTTACATTACATTAGTGGATCGACATTTATATGACATTAAGTGGACCAACATTTACATTACATTAGTGGACCGACATTTATATGACATTAAGTGGACCGACATTTACATTACATTAGTGGACCGACATTTATAGGACATTAAGTGGACCGACATTTATATGACATTAAGTGGACCGACATTTACATTACATTAGTGGACCGACATTTATAGGACATTAAGTGGACCGACATTTACATTACATTAGTGGACCGACATTTATAGGACATTAAGATGGACCATTTATATGACATTAAGTGGACCGACATTTACATTACATTAGTGGACCGACATTTATAGGACATTAAGTGGACCGACATTTACATTACATTAGTGGACCGACATTTATATGACATAAAGTGGACCGACATTTATATGACATTAAGTGGACCGACATTTATATGACATTAAGTGGACCGACATTTATATGACATAAAGTGGACCGACATTTATATTACATTAGTGGACCGACATTTATAGGACATAAAGTGGACCGACATTTATATGACATTAAGTGGACCGACATTTATATGACATTAAGTGGACCAACATTTACATTACATTAGTGGACCGACATTTATATGACATAAAGTGGACCGACATTTATAGGACATTAAGTGGACCAACATTTACATTACATTAGTGGACCGACATTTATATGACATAAAGTGGACCGACATTTACATTACATTAGTGGACCGACATTTATAGGACATTAAGTGGACCGACATTTATAGGACATTAAGTGGACCGACATTTATAGGACATTAAGTGGACCAACATTTTTATGACATTACTGGACCAACATTTACATGACATTACTGACGTAATGTGACGGGAATGCACATGTTAGCATTGCGGAACAAATATAAACAACAAGTATACACATCAAATCATGACATTGTACAGTTGTACAGTCTTTGAGGAACGAATACTTAGAAACAAAATAACGTGAATATTAACAGGATTTTCAAACAAAATGTTAAGGTTATAAGTATATCCAGGTTTATAAATTACCGTTATAGACACGCATTTCACGTATGTTTTTCACATTTTGATCGACAGGCGAGAAATTGTAAAACATGTGTTAGGTTCTAATATTACAGGAAATGCGTTTTTTCTTCGCGGACACCAAGGTCACGTGACACGTGTCAGGATCTGTAAACTCTTCTTTAACTGCACTGGTATGCAATATCCAATTAGCTCCCTCCCTAAATATGCCCATATGGTTTTACTACGTGTTCTCCAGATGGGAAGTGAAAAATAATATGTTTTTGCTGATCCTGCTTGTTACGAATGTTTTTCGACAAACTTGTATGAAACAACCAAAATGTATTGGGCTGGGGCATTCGTAAGATCTCAGATAAGAAGATATGATCTCTTTACATCTACGTCATACATTCTGTACACGATTACGTGTCTTGTCTGTAAGCAATAGGCCCGTGTGCGTGGGTTTCATAAAAATGATAATTACATTAACACTAGCATTATATATAAATACATTAACAAGCTAGCTCTACTGTTTACTTCTCAAAATAATATTGTTATAAACAACCTTGCTAAATATATACTTTTAGCTATGAAAAAACGTATGAAATATTTTGCATTCTGCTGAGCTTGTGTTCACATCTTCGTCATATGAGCGAAATATTCTCAAGCACGACGTAAAACCCAATTTCACCTTGTGTTCACATCTCTGTACAAGTATACCTCTATGTTAATTCCGTCCCTTTTATGGCGGTTCATGTCATATCTTGAATCCTTCTGACATGTATGTGTATAAAGGGCCGGTGGCCCCCTTACTGAATAAACACACATCTCTCTCTCATTAACACCATTTTGAACATGAGAAAAGAAAATGAGACAGAGTTATGCCTGTGTATATATAGTAAACTACTCATTGTAGTTCGTCATAACCGTAGTTCGTTATAGGTATATGGGTACATTTCGACACAATACAACTGACAGGGACCGAGAGCAGTTCGATATATCAGTCAGTTCGTCATAACCGTAGTTCGTTATAGTTACATAGGTATAGGTATATTTCGACATAAATTTACAAGTGACAGGGACCGAAAACAGTTCGATATATCAGTCAGTTCGTCATAACCGTAGTTCGTTCTAAAACAAATACAGAAATATAAATTAAAGATCATTTATATGCGCGTTCGATATAAACGTTGATTACTATATACTGTTCAACACATCAGGCATGTTTTAGTTTAATTGCTGAAGCATATCAATGTTATCAACACCACTGAATGAGCCAGTTCTCAAGTAAGTCAAGGATCTGACAGTGACACGAATTAACAGTTATCAACGTTATCAATGGTAACAGGTTTTATCACGACATAAGCACCTGTCTGTGAATCAACCGCCCTCTTCACACAACCCCAACACTATACAGACCAGCCTGTGCTGCTGGCTCAGATAGAGACCCCTCTGTCAATGTCATGGGGGTAAGGTTGGGAGTCGGCAGGGGTCCTACAATATCTTATCACCCATGTTGTATGGTCATCTTGTAAATATGAGTGATATCGGCGAATGAAAGCTATTAACCCCTCAAAAGTGAAATATGGTTTGTTTTAATAGCCACCAATGCTGTCTAGCTGCGGGGTACATGGACGTATCTGACACACCCACTAATTATCTCAGTTTTTAAGTCTATTTCGCATGATGCCAAGATTGCCTAATTTGCTTGATGTGAATGGAAAGAGATGTTTAAAATACCCTGGGTTGGAACGGTTTCTACAGTTAAACAAATAAAACCTTTCAAATTCAGCCAGTATAATTACGTTATGGTCATTTTAGTAAATGTATCCATGGTCTTTAATGAAGAACAGCGTCTCTATTGCTATGTATTTACCTGTTCTTGCAAGATAAATGTTCCCAGACAAGATACAGATAAATAAAGAGTGCGACTAACAGAATCGAAGGAAATTAAATGAGTTGCAAATTATAAATATCGTGATTAATGTTTAAGCAATACTTCATCAATATAACATCCATTAAATGTTCCCCAATGTTCTTTGAACATTCCTAGGAATCTAAACTGATTTACACTGTGACGCTCACCCACTGAACTGCCAAACCACCCTGAACGCCAGAATTGATTACAAGGACACACAAATGTACTATTAATGTAAGTTACTTAAGAAAGGTTTTAATTTAACCCCATTCGATAAAGGACAGCCATGCCTGCTGAAAGAGATAGCGTCCAGATCCCTTCACTTACATGCCATCATGACGTTTTGCAAGACAAACCTGTAGCAATAGCATCAGTGAATTTATTTATGTAGTCATTGAAACCAAATACAAAAACATGCTGCGAGTGTCAGCATCGCCATTTGCTTCACAGATAACTTAATTAAAACAGTAGTTGTTAGTTTAATGTCAAACAACCACCTGCATCTGTCTGGAGGTAAATAAATGAATTGAAATTAAATCGCATCTGCTGTGGCATTTTTCCAGTGTGGGTGCTGAGTGCGAGTCGGTCTTTCAAATCCAAGTGCCATCTTACACAAATTAATTTTCGTGCTTATTAAGTCAATCCTTCAAATCCTGATGTCATGTAATAGAAATCAATGTCAGTGCTTACTGCAAGTCGATCCTTTAAATCCTGATGTGACCTTTAACATATAATTGACTGTGCTGTTTACAAGTCAGTCCTTCAAATATCTGATGTCATCTAGCATAAATTAATGTTAGTGCTTACTGCAAGTCGACCCTTTACATCCATTTACATCCAGCACATGGCTGACAGGATGATTATAAGTCAATCTTTCAAATTTGAGTGTCATCGCATACATTTAATATACACAGATTAGTATTCGTTGCTTTTAAAGATTTCTTCCCGATGTCCAAATTCAAAATGTAAGTGTAATGGGAATGCAGGTCTCAACAAATATCAAATGGAACCAAACTTTGGATAAAGAGTGCAACCGCATTTGACAATATGCCAGAGGTTATTCGATTGTGACAATATACAACATAAATGGGTTCGCCAATATATAAAAGCATTTGAAATGCTACAGAGAGGAAAGAGTCCATGCCGAGAGCATGGATGTCTAGAATGCTGGCCACCTGCGGAAGGTAACTTGCACTCGTGTATATCATGGCCAAACACGGACCAAAGTCGAGGTCCTGCCCCAAGGGCACAGTCTACCTTCAACTCAGTGTTGGAATTCCTAGGTTCTGGACCAGGTCTTGTTTTTGTTATATAGTTAACATTCCGATATAGAATACTGGCTCGCACTGATGAGCCAAGGATCAACTTTGGGACATGACACCTTCTGAGAAGGTCTTCATCCTTACACCGGATCAGTTACGGTCTACGAATGTTTGCTATGGGTGTTTCATATTGACATTGATCTTCACACAGAGAACATGCTTTCGGTTGAACAGGATATTTCCTTCCGTTTCATGGACAGAAGCGTGTTTGCTTTGGTTGAGAAATCGCAAGAATACATGGTTTCCATTGGTTTGAAAGCGTTCGGTTTTTGGTGGGCACTAAAATTTTGAGGGCAAGAATGACTCGCTCAGTTGTTGAACGTGGACAGTCGGGCAAACCTCCACCCTTCGTTAAATGGGCTGACGTCTTGTTGCCAGGAGACTGACAAGTAACCTGTAGCATCAGCTAAGGCAAACCCAAACACTGATTCAGGGAACTATGTGTACTTTGCGACAGGGTGTATATTCTGTTGATGCGGAGTCACCCTTCAGTACAAATTAAAATACTGATACATCTTCCAGCTTCAAACAGTTTGATAATCTTCAACCAGGATCACAGTCTTCCTGTCTCATAAACCCCGAATACCAGGTGTCTTAGATTCTTCCTCACTTGCAGTCCCTCGAGTTTCAGCATCACTCATCTTTACTCTCACTAATCCGCGACCACTACCAATTCACTATTCCACCACCCTCCCCCTTCCAACATCAAAGCGCCAGGTGCTAGACAGTCATGTTGGCCTTCCAGAATATACTAGAAAAACAAGTTTACATGTGTTCGGTGTAGGGATATCTCCCGGCGCATCTTATCTAGACCCCAGAATGTAAAACAACATTTCTGTACAAAAATCATGTTTTTTCTGTGTACATTCTTCAGTGTTGAGTTCTTGGCGTGATCGTGTGTTGGTTACCTATTGAGATTTCAAGGGTAGACGTTCCTAGCTGTAATTTCATACAGTTTGATAAGACAGGAAGTGTGAGTACCTCTCCGGAGTAAGGAGACGACAGTTGGAGATCTCATTAGGGGGTGTTTCTTAGAATGAGAGGCATAGAATATGCGCGGGAATTAGGGATCCTTTAGTCTGAGCCAACGTCTAGATAAGAAAGGGGAACGTAAACAAGAGCATTGTTTTTAACATGATTCAAGTAATTGTTGAGAAAGGTTTATAGACTCATTTATTATAAAAGCTATTTGTTTCTTATCTGTATACTTTTCCAATTCCATTTACGAATTCAAACATAATTACTAATTTCCGAAACTAATTGTGTTTATTTGATGTAAACATGTTTTGATCAGAAATATATTTTCCCTATGAAAGTGCGATTTAATGTTTCATGAAAATTTTCTATTTCTTCGAACTGGTTCATGAAAAGCAAGAAACGAAAAATATTTGTTTCTTATAAAATTAATTTTAAACGGGTAAATAGGATAAAATCCAATAAAAACGCCATCAGCAGTGTTTAAGAAGAAATATATATATATAATTGTAACTGGTTCCAAATAAGAATCTCTTCTGAATCCGGAGCATCAATGTTTTGCAAGAAGCCTCAAATTGAGACATTTTCTATTGCAGACAAGAAGGAATAGCTCCGAACTTCATTCAGAAGCCAGTAACGAGACAGGAAAACAATGGACAGAAGCTGTTGTTTGAGTGTCTTCTGACAGCTGACCCTGCCCCGGCCATCAGCTGGTTCAGGGATGCCACGCCCATTCAACAAGGGGGTGGGTTTTACACTTACACCTTAATTCAAATGTAACCGTAAACATGGAGGTACCAATAACGATTCCAATGAAGTATATAATGTACTGAGACAGATCGTTGATATCAGATTATGACTGATGTTAGAAGCTGACTGTATGAATGTTGTTTTAGGCCGCTTCAATCTGAAGACTCAGCCCAGAGACAAGAAAACCTACTTTGTTGTACTGGAGATCAACGGAGTGTCGGCCCAAGATGCAGGAAACTACAAAGTCACAGCCAAAAACGCATTGGGCGAGAGCAATGCCACTATTAGACTTAATTTTGACAGTAAGTTATCCCTTTTGTTATTTCTATTTTCAAAAAATACTTCAGTTTCTTTCTCTGTTTACACCTATGGAGTAAGATGTGCTAAGCTGGTATCGTCACTGTTCAATAGGGTTTCATTTGCATGTGATATTGCAAGAATTGTACAAGGACATTTTTAGCGTTCAAATTAAGTTATCCACAAAATGGACACCCACATTCTAACATCAGGTGATATATGCGCTTATGATGCTGGGACAGAGAAAGGTATTCACAGGATGAAAAGAAACGCTAACAAGAAGGCGAAAGCCTTTCTGATACTTGCTTTTTTGTTTAGTTATTGAAAAGGGACAGTGGCTTGTGGCTAAAACATTAAATTGTCACGCAAAAGACTAAAGTTCGCTTCCCTACATTGGTATAATGTATGAACAACACTTTTATGCCCCCTGCTTTGTAATGGTGGAATATTGCTAAAAGTGGCGTTGACCCATACTCGTTCATTCACACTTTTGATGACTGATATTACAGGAATATTGCTAAAAGCGGAGTAAACCCATACTCGTTCATTCACACTTTTGATGACTGATATTACAGGAATATTGCTAAAAGCGGAGTAAACCCATACTCGTTCATTCACACTTTTGATGACTGATATTACAGGAATATTGCTAAAAGCGGAGTAAACCCATACTCGTTCATTCACACTTTTGATGACTGATATTACAGGAATATTGCTAAAAGCGGAGTAAACCCATACTCGTTCATTCACACTTTTGATGACTGATATTACAGGAATATTGCATTACTTTTGATGAAAGCGGCGTAAACCCATACTCGTTCATTCACACTTTTGATGACTGATATTACAGGAATATTGCTAAAAGCGGAGTAAACCCATACTCGTTCATTCACACTTTTGATGACTGATATTACAGGAATATTGCTAAAAGCGGAGTAAACCCATACTCGTTCATTCACACTTTTGATGACTGATATTACAGGAATATTGCTAACAGCGGAGTAAACCCATACTCGTTCATTCACACTTTTGGTGCCCTCTTCCTAAAAAGATTATATTGCTGGAATATTGCAAGACGCGGCGTAAACCCATACCCGCTCATTAACTTACGGGAATCAAAATGACGAATACGGATTCTGATAAAAGTATATGGCCAAAGAGAAGGCAAGCGTTATTTTACGTCTTCCTTTGCATAACACATGATTGATGTATTTCAGATCTTAAACCAGGTAAGTAGTGGAGTGATCGCTACTCGACTTACACCACGTGGATACATAATCATTACCACAATGCTTCGTACAATTCACTAACGCTCATTCCATCTTTTCTTTTATCACTAAAACATCATGTTGTGACTGACCTAGGAAAAGAATAACTTTAACTGTGCTAGTGTTGTTTTCTGACGTTATATTTTTTTAAATGTTTCAAACCGAAATCCAATTATTTAGCGAAATGACATTAAAAAAACAATCATTTTATGTTTATTTCATTTGGTTATACTGTGCAGAAACGGCGAATATGAATTAAGTGCACAATCGTAGGAATCTTTTTTTTTTAATTTGTTGTAAACATGTTAAGGTTCATGCTCTTCTGAAATATTTTTTAAATGTGTTTATTTGAACCAAATTTAAAAGAATCATTTATCATAACTGAAATCGTATTCATATTCATTTGGTAGCAGAATGCATCACTCATCTCATTGCTTAGACATTCCTTTCTTGCTGACAATTATTTTGCTAAATAAATAATACAAAACTGCAAATAAATTGTGTGGCAAATTTATTATTCAAATTTCCCTTGTTTCTTCCTTTCACATTTTTCAGCCGCTGTTGACATTTGCAATAATATTGCTTTGAGTATTTTTGTATGATTAGCCAAACATCTTTTATTTTATTCAGTGATAATAATCTTGATTTCTTATACAACTGTGTGTGTTTTTCGATGTTTAGGTAGAAACAATGTATATATTTTAGTTGAGATTATTTCTTTAGATTCTTACCATGTTGACATAGGTCTGTGTTGTGTCAAAAACAAGAGTAATGTGTCATAGAAGCGAATATTTTTTACTGTTCTCTACTTGTTGTTTCCTAACATCAAAACCTTGTACATTAAGACATACATAGAATTTCAAACGTTTAACGTAGTATACAATAAAGTGTATGTTAGCAAAATCAGAACCAGTCGTTTAATTATGTTATATGACATAGCAAAATTTCGAACGTGAGGGCTAAACATATATTTCGTTTTGTGATTTAACCTTAGAATGTTATACGTATATTATCTATATAAAAAAGAAAAGACACATGGTGTTAATAAAGTGTTTTCATCAAATGTGATTTGGAATGTTGGATCATTGATCATTTAGTTTAAGTATACATTTAAATGTTGATGAAGAAGTTCAATTATATTCATCCAAAATGTTTATCTTATTATCAAATGGGTCATAGCAAACGAGGGGTTTTAGAATACGGCATGATTGTGTCAGACATTGGGGGTAAGCATTACTAATAGTCATAATGAATGATTACATCTCGTTACTATGATTGTCTTTTTTCACCATATTTGTGTTTGGCACCGGTTCCAGTGTTAAAGAGAAATGTTCTATTTACACAATTTTCACTTTTTCAGTTGAAGAACCCGGAAAAGGAGGTGGTCGCCCAGTGTTTATACAAAAACCAGGAATTCGCCAAGTTGGTGATAAAATAGTAATAGACTGCAAGCTCACTGGTGACCCTAAGCCTACCATTCAATGGTTCCAAGGGGGGAAGGAGATTTTCCCCGGAGGAAGAATCAACATGATCCATAATACCACCGGCAACAACCATGCCGTCTCCCTAGAGATCGCTCAGGTCGGAGCACAGGATGGTGGTGAATACAAGGCCATTGCTAAAAACAAGCATGGAGACGCTACAGCAACGATTACTCTCAACTTTGAAGGTGAGCTTCAGTGTCTTCAGTTTTGTATTCTAATAAGGATAGTACTTTGTCAAGGTTTGTAATGCAATCGTCGATGTGCATGGTTTCATTGTACCACCATAACATTAAAGACAAAAACGTTTTCTTTCATTTTGTAATATACTTTCTGACTTCTTCTGTGACCAGACACAAAGCAAATGGGTTTGTGGTACGAATGCTTGATTTTAAATGTTCTACTGTTTCTTTTGATTGAAATATCAAGGCCGATCTTTATTACTAGTCTGTCGTGATCATTATCATGAAAAATAATGTTATTACCATGTTTCTATTCTTATTCCAGGTGGAAAGAAACCAAAGTAAGTATAATTCTTCTCCTCCGTAACATTAAAAACATAAATTCAAGGCGTCAGTCCAGTTTGCAAACACCAGGATTAGAGGAGCTTGTGGATTTAATTATATACAAATAGTCTTTATGGTGGTTTACTCGAATGACATTATATTTCAATAATCAGTGGTGATTATTTTCTTCTTAAGTCTCTCTATGTCTTTGTTGGCTTAAATCAGGGCCATCGGCCATAGGGCCATCTTAAGGTGTACAGTCCTCATGCCAGTGTGTGTATAGCTGTTCAGTCATTATTGTATGTACAATGGTTTCAGACTGCCAGAAGGAAAAGCACCCCACTTTCTTCAGAAGCCATCCATCAAGCAGCAAGCGAAGTTGTTGGTGATGTCGTGCCTCCTGGAAGCCAAACCGACCCCTCAGATCCGCTGGTTCCAAGACACGAAGGAAGTTGGGGAGGGGGGACGCTTTAATATTACTCTGAACAGGGAGGGTAGCTCACCCGATACCTACCTCGCTGTTCTGCAGATCAAGGTAAATCATTGGTTATCATGAATTTTAGTCCAGTTAAGCATTTAACTCCACGAACCTAAATATGTTTACATGAATGAAGTTATAAAGCTGATAATATGGTGTCATTCCCCAGATAATGAATCCATGTTAAAGTTTGGTCATTTGACAAATAATTTTTCATTTCCGTGTAGGATCCCACTCTGAGCGACGGCGGAACGTACAAATGCACAGCTGCCAACGACCTTGGAGAATCCAATGCTAACATAACACTGAACTTCCAAGGTAGGTCCTCTAAAGATCAGCAGTGGTCCCTTGATACATGTGCTGCACATGTACAAGGGATCTGTCCAAACATCCATTGTTGGTCGCGCTGCATCGCACTGCTCTGCACATGTGTACCATTGCACATTATTGCACTTGACTATTGATGAAGTGAGGCACAACCCTATAAGTTCCATCCCCTTCAAACTGCGACTGCATGACCCCCGATGATGAGTGAACCTTGTCTTCCTTTAAATGATGTTGAAAATGTGAAATTCCAAAGGAGATCGAACTCAGCAAGAAGACCCGTCAGTATCTGTCATACAGAATAAAAATGATTCAGAAAATGATCAGTTAAACCTTTTTAGTATGCTTATATATAATTAAAAATACATATGAAACTTCTTCTTTAATGAAGCATCAGCTTGTTGAATGCCCTTCGTGTGATGTTTGTGAAGTGTATATGGCTTCCATATTTGGTGCAAGTAAATATATATCCAATACTGTAAAGTTTCAATACCTGGAGATTGGCCCTGTGTAGTATCACCATGTTTCTTTTCCATAAAGCCGAAGTAGCTGGAAATACCAACCAACCATGCATTTTTCTATCCAGCAACAACAAATCTACCTGAATATTCATTTTTTTACCTCACCTGTCACATTCAGTGTGTTATTCGGCGTATAAAGCACTTATTATTCGTTGTAAACATTTTGAGTGGTATCATGTTATTCGCCAAGTGACAAAATATCATTTATTATAATACGGTTGCTGGTGGTGGTATGTTCCAAATAGTTCTGCTTCTCCTTTCCAAGACACTTTCACAACTGCCTTGATGTATTTCAGATCTGCAACCCGGTAAGTAACATGTTGCCAACTTCTATTGACCAATCAGGCAACAGTGTTAGAATGATGCTAATGTTTGTTTTTGACTAATCTAATATAATTTAAACAAGTGTTACAATTTGCTTTAATGTTCAGACAAACTTGGACATTTCAAGATCAAGCAGAAATTGTGCTTAATATGTCCGCTCATGACGAATGGTTACAGCAGGATTAAACGATATACGGAAGATACGAATATATAATTTTAACAACCTGCAAAAGTATATTAATTGTAGATAACGTTTACCTGTGTTGATCTCTGCTCAAAATACAACATATATGACAGTTAAAATGATTAAAATTATTGGAAAATACCCAAACTTTAATATCATGATGACGATGACAATGCAATGGAGTTTTCCGATGAATCTAAGGCACATAGTGATGAACATGTTTGAAGAAGCAGTTGGGTTCAGCACGGAGCAGCCTACTATTTCAGTTCAGTTATGCAGGGGCTTCATTAAGTAGACACTAACGAGATGCAACTGAGGGCGCCACTAAGTGCAACAATCACTGTCTTCTCCTGTGGGTGGAGATGCATTGCTCGGTTCATTTGTCTAGACTTCTGTTTTCTCAAGTAGGATTGTCAGAGATTGTGAACAAGAAGTAAAAACAATCATTCGTTTTTTCTCAATATATCTTTGCATTTTCAAGTACATATTTACCTAAATATGTTATAGTTTAAGATTTTTAGACAACTTGTGTCAAGTAGAACTGTCAAAGGTAACAAGCAATAAAGTTAAATGATCTACATTTACATGCACATAGCGAAGTATGTATTAAGTTTAAGTACAATTACTCTTACATTTCTCTTCACTGTTAATTGTTGATATTCAGTTTATCTCATTTATGAAATATTTATTGAAATAAAAAGAAATACGGTATCTTGAATTTGAAATGACAAATATATGTGAACAGATTTATAAATGTTAATTAATGGATAATAATTTGTTTTGTTCTCAAAATCTAACTCACATTGTTACATTAAAACTAATAACACATTTCGAGTCATAGTTCTATAAACTAAAGTTTTGATCTTTCATTATTATGTATACGTTATGCTTGAAAGTGTGTTTCATTATAAAACTTTATCATTTCAGTTTTATTTCATATTAGTGCTTTTCAGTTGTTGATGCTTTTTAGGATTTTTAAAATAAGTATGTGTAAATCAACATTCATGTTTGATAGAAGTTAAACTAAACGTTTTAAATCATACATGTGGCCTATTTTGTTGGTACCTGACATGAAAGTACTGCTTATTGTAAATACACTTGAAAACACAATGTCTTTTTAGATACTATTTTGCTTTGGTGATTTTTGAATTTGAAAATATAAAAACATGACGACAGTTTTTTTATTTGGAATTAACAGTTTTGCGCGTCGATTGCATGCTCTCTCAAATCAAACTAAATCCTCGTTTTGGTCGAGTCTAAACAGTACTGGATTAATCATAAGTGTCTGTATCAACAACTTAGGCAATGGTATTACCGATTTAAGCCTACAGTGTGGATGACTGACTTACTCTAGTGTTTTAATTGTGTTATAATTATCACTGATATCGTCACGATATTTCATAGTGATTCATAACGTGTGCTTGTAGTCGAAATCGTACAATGGACTTTAGTAGATATCTTTTCTGAATATAGAAGTGATTTTGTTAAAGTGAACTAGCTGTAGAGGTAATTTTGGTGTGGGCTAATTTTGCAGAGTATTGTGAAATATTCTTAGAACTGTAAGTCGTACGGTAGAACGAGGAATACAGAAATATGTATATGTGTTATGTACCTATTAGTCCTGTTACCTGCCATTACTCATGTATACCGACAAAATAGAATATGTGTGTTGTTTAGCATTGTCTTAAAGTATTTTGAGTGAAATCACGTTCAATTGTTCCATTTAGTGTCAATGTTGTCGTGATCATGTAATACACGTGTATGTATTTTGTAGGAGGCGAGAAGAAAGCAGCAGGAATCGCGCCAGTATTCAAAGAGAAACCAAAGGTCATCCAGGAAGCTGGTAAAATCGTCATGGAATGCAAATGCACAGCTAGCCCCAAGCCCGGAATCACCTGGTTCAAGGGCACACAACAACTGGCAGCAGGACCTCGTCACAAACAGACTGTGACTGAAAACGGGAACGACTACACTCTCAGAATGGAAATTTCAGTAAGTGTTGCTTGTCACTTTGAAGGGTAACACAACATGGATTGGGTGGAGTGAGTTGATTGTATGCTGCTTCAAACACCAATATTATCCGGAATAATGTGGTCATTGTATGAGTGAGGAATTGATAGCTATTGACTGATTGATTGTTGTTTAACGCTGAACTCGGAATAATCGACTCTGGACCAGACAATCCAGTGAGCAACAACATGATCATCGATCTATGCAAGTGGGATACGATGACATGTGTCAACCAAGTCAGCGGGCCTGACCACCCGATCCCGTTAGTTGCCTTTTACGACAAGCATGGTTTCCTGAAGACCGATTCTAACCCGGATCTTCACGGATCCCACCGGTAACTAAAACAGAAGGCTGAAATGAGTAGACAATAATGTAACTTAGAGAAAAAAGGAATGAAGGTTGGCTCTTGATGCGTCATAACTAAATACCCAACTCTATATGGGTTAGCAGAGAATGACCTCTTTTTATTGATACAAGGGACGAACATGATGAAATAGGGTCAGCTTAGTGTAGTTATGCAGTTTCTATCTAGGTCATGTTGCTGTACCATTGCAAACCTAGTAGAGTGAGTGAGTTAATATTTAACGTAGTAGAGTGTAGATGACGTTCTGCTGAAGTATCTTTCTCAGTGGCCTAACTGAACCTGTATTTTGTACAGAACTTTACCAAAGATGATGGAGGTGTGTACAAAGTCACGGCCAAGAACGATGCTGGAGAAGGAAGCGCCAACATCACGCTGAACCTGGAACCGTATGTGACACTATTAAGTTTAACTAAACCTTATTGGATATTCACGAATAATTACTGTTTCTCTTCTGTGCCCTAGCAGAGCTTGTTGTCTACATGAAGACACATGAAGTGATTATTGTTTCTTTCAAATAGATAGAGGATATGTACGTACTGATTTGGCATGCTGAAAACTTCCATTATCTGACGGCTGTGTGTTCAATCATACCACAACGCAGTACTTAGATTCTGAAACATTCAACACTGGTTTTGCTATTCCCGGCCCCGTTACATCTTTATTGACCTTGACATTGTCATTGACACCTTGTCCCCAAATGTTTCAGACCGAAGCCAGCACCCCCGAAGATTGAAGGGAAACCTTCTATCCGTCTGGAAGAGAAGGATGGAGTGATCGTGATGGAACAGCCCATCTCCTCCCCGGTTAAACCCACGGTCATGTGGTACTTCAACGGCCAGCCACTGAAACCAGGCGGTCGTTACGTTATGGACATGCCACAAGAAAAGGGACTGTACTATCCCACGCTGGAGATCGAAGATGTAAGTTCGCTCCTTCAGAGCTGCTGATTCAAAGTCAAAAGTCTTAAAGAGTCACAGGATTTCGCCAAATGGTAGCCCGGTTTTACAGTGAACGTAAGTTCCCATTTAAGTCCGAGAGTGCTGACAGTATCATATTTGTTTCAGTTCAATGACAAGGACTCGGGTAACTACAAGTTGGTCATACAGAACCCCGGAGGCGAGATCAGCGTCCCCATGGCTCTCAATGTTGCCGGTGAGTTTCCTGACACAGGAACCATTGGAAACTGCGACAGATATAGATATCTGCTTTTGAAACTTCTGAACCAATCTGAGCTGGCAATTAGTATTTCATTTGTTTGATTGGTACATTGGACGCCTAGAAGACATGATATATTTCATGTTAAATATGTTAATTTGTCTTTCATTTACGGATGTCAAAGACAATAAAACACTTAATCTGAATGAATTGAAATTTTAAACGTGTTTCATTTTTCCAATGGAAGAGTAACTAATGACAAAGTTCACAAGTTCTTAAATGTTAGAGATTTCAATTTATGCGGTTTGTCAATTTCAGCACTGAGGCCAAAGGTTAAAGGAGAAGCACCGAAGTTCACACAGAAGCTTTCTCCAAAGGTGAGACGAAGGTTGTCATGTATCAGAGAGCTACCCGCAAGAAGTCCTTATGATTTTTACTAAGAAATTCATGACACTTGACTTGACTTTTCGTGTGTTTCTGATGGTAGCCACCGATGGGGCAAGATACACTCACCTTTTCCCCAATTACCTGGTATCTTCACTATTTGATAGCGGTTTATTAACACATTCTTCTAGTATAGTCCGAATCGTTCGATTATTGCTCATGGGTATGTTTATGTACATTATTATGGAGGAAATGTTTTATAGCTAATATTTAATATCAAACAACAATGTACACGAGATATCAAAACGTCTCATTGAGCATCTCATAATTCACGACTGGGAGTCATACTTTTCTAGCGTCATTGACTTGTCGCATATATGTATATATGCATCAAAAGGCTTATGCCGATGGGGACGGCCTCCGTGGTGAAGTGGTTAGAGCGGAGAGTCCGCCCGGACGGCATGGTATCTCAGTGAGCTAGCACTATAAAACCAGCTTCAGTCTGGGCTGGTACAAGCAGCCGCACATACACATACACACGCATGCACGTCGTCATATGAGCGAAATATTCTCAAGCACTATGCCGGTGGGTAGGGGTACACCGTGTTTAACGACCCTTCTTCACTGTTGACATTAGCACGACACCCCCCTCGGGAGTAGCAAAGCAACAGAGTACTGTGCGTGTAATATAGCTAAGAGGGAGTGAAACGCAGGCAACCTGGCAACATGTAATGCTTGTTTCGCTTAGGCTACCCATGAGCATCGACCTCATGTGACCCCCGCCTTGCCAAGACGTTACACCAAACATTTACGAGGAAGCTGGAAGCGGCCCGTGATTACAAAACCATGATGCAACTTTGACGAATGGCAGTTTTTCGTCTGTGTTCTATGTTTAGGTAATAAATGATCTGACTTACTGCCAAATGTATGTAACTGTGAAGAAACACCAATGGCATATACCTTTCTCCTTTTTAGACTGCTATTGACGGAGATGCTGTGGACTTTGTGGCCAAAATCACTGGCACCGAGCCTGTCACCACGACGTGGACAAAGGACAAGAAGGTGCTGAAGAATTCCGAAGTCCACAACATCACCTACGATAAGGGAAACTGTAGGCTATACATTCCTGAAGTGTTCCCAGAGGATTCCGGAAACTACAGCATTGAAATTAAAAATAAATTTGGCTCTGCCAGTGCCATGGCGAGTCTTCAAGTGAAAGGTGAGAAAACCCCAATAAAGAACGACCTCAAAAAGCTGTTAGCAGGTGCCATATTTTCTTGAACATTTTAAATTCCTATTTCAAAATTATAAATAGGAAATGTGCTAAAAATAAATATTTGAACTGAATGGAAAAGAATATGTTTTTAAGTTTGATGCAGATCTGGAAATGTTTCTTGAATAGTGTCCAAACACAAAAAAGTTGTAACCTATCTCTAGGAAAATTAATATACATGGAACCATTTTTAAGAGTAAACATTAATAAGAACATAATAAGTTTTATTTGCTAAGGTGGAACAAGTCCTTATATTCATAACTCAAGTGTCTGGCCTTCAGGAAACCTTAAAAATCATATTACAGCGAACCTTTGTGTATGACGCAAATGGATCAATCCTCATCTCAAGTACCCTAAACATGCTAGCCTGCAACAACTGCTTCACATATATCACATAAAAATGTTTTAATGAGACCTCCAGCCTTTCTTCAACGACCCGTAAATTCACAAATCTCTGTTCAAACCTCTCAGGTTAAGAAACCGATTTATATCAGCACCTTTATCAACACCGCTGGAAGTATTGTTGCCACCCCTGGTTATAGGCAAAGATACTAAAATAGCGAATGAATGTTAACTTGTTTAAATGATGGTGCCATGGCAATAAGGCCTAACCGAACCGGTATATCATGAGGATTCCACAAATGTTTTACCTCCTGGTCCACAGAAACGTCTTCCTCAGCTATATTAGGTGCAAGCTCCATTTCGTTGCATACTCGGGTCGGTGGCTTGCACCGGAATGGGCCGACTTCTTTAAGGAGTCGAATCAAATCTTTCGAAATTAAAGTCAGGTGTTAGGATATGCAAGACCGGTGTTTATGATTTCGCAAAAGACAAAAGTGATTTGGAAACGGATGCAATGACATTCTTGTATGTGCTTGAAATGGAGGGGCGCCCTTTTTGTGGACGTACAGTTTCGACTCACTGCCATGGCGGATGTTATGTGTATGTATGTGATGTAGTGAATTAATCATCAACAAAATGATTGAGGTTCACCTACATGAACTATGCCTGAACTAGCTTTGCTATTTCTTCACTAGAAGTATTTTGAGGGGTTTACATGTGTTGTTACCGTTACTATCTTTGAGATTTTAAGTAAATCATTTTAAAAAGCATTCTTTTTGTCCTATATTTATTGAAGTGATCGATTATTCCAGAAAACGAGAAAAAGAAACAGGAGATGAAAGTTGAGGAGAAGCTGGAACAGCAAAAGGTAGGTGCCGAATGTTACCGTGAGGGCTGGTGTAACCAGTGTTACCGTGAGGGCTAGTGTAGTTAGTGTTACCGTGAGGGCTGTCAGCTGTAACCAGTGTTACTGTGTGAACCCTGCTTGCCGTAACCAGTGTTACTGTGATGGCTGTCAGCTGTAACCAGTGTTACTGTGAAGGCTGTCAGCTGTAACTAGTGTTACTGTAAAGGATGGTGTAACCAGTGTTACTGTGAACACTGCTAGCTGTAACCAGTGTTAATGTGAACACAGCCAGCTGTAACCGGTGTTACTGTGAGGGCTGGTGTAACCAGTGTTACTGTGATGGCTGTCATCTGTAACCAGTGTTACTGTGAAGGCTGGTGTAACCAGTGTTACTGTGAACACTGCTAGCTGTAACCAGTGTTACTGTAAAGGATGGTGTAACCAGTGTTAATGTGAACACTGCTAGCCGTAACCAGTGTTACTGTGAACACTGCTAGCTGTAACCAGTGTTACTGTGAACACTGCTAGCTGTAACCAGTGTTACTGTGAACACTGCTAGCCGTAACCAGTGTTACTGTGATAAGGTTGGTGTAACCGTTGTTATTCTGAACACCGCCAGCTGTAACCAGTGTTAATGTGAACACTGCTAGCCGTAACCAGTGTTACTGTGAACACTGCTAGCCGTAACCAGTGTTACTGTGAACACTGCTAGCCGTAACCAGTGTTACTGTGAAGGCTGGTGTAACCAGTGTTACTGTGAACACTGCTAGCCGTAACCAGTGTTACTGTGAACACTGCTTGCCATAACCAGTGTTACTGTGAAGGCTGTCAGCTGTAACCAGTGTTACTGTGAAGGCTGTCAGCTGTAACCAGTGTTACTGTGAAGGCTGTCAGCTGTAACCAGTGTTACTGTGAAGTCAGCTGTAACCAGTGTTACTGTGAACACTGCTAGCCGTAACCAGTGTTACTGTGTGAGGGCTGGTGTAACCGTTGTTACTGAACACCGCCAGCTGTAACCAGTGTTACTGTGAACACTCAGCTGTAACCAGTGTTACTGTGAAAAGGCTGTTGCCGTAACCAGTGTTACTGTGAAGGCCGTCAGCTGTAACCAGTGTTACTGTGAAGGCTGTCAGCTGTAACCAGTGTTACTGTGAAGGCTGTCAGCTGTAACCAGTGTTACTGTGAAGGCTGTCAGCTGTAACCAGTGTTACTGTGAAGGCTGTCAGCTGTAACCAGTGTTACTGTGAAGGCTGTCAGCTGTAACCAGTGTTACTGTGAAGGCTGTCAGCTGTAACTAGTGTTACTGTGAAGGCTGGAGTAACTCATGTAAATGTGAACACTGCCAGTTTTAACCAGTGTGAACTGTAACCAATGTTACAGTGAAGGTTGTCAGCTGTAACCAGTGTTACTGCCCAGGGTCATGACTTGGAAACAGGTGGTTTGTCTGGGGGTTGTCTGTGATTGTAAGAACCCATCGTTGTTGGACAAATGGGCCGTGTGAGGTCGCGTTAACCCATCAATGATCGGGTTGTGGTGCTCAGACGGTCAGTCAACAGATTGTTGGTTGTCTCAGATTGTCTAAACCAATCATTCTGAGGGTTGTATAACATATGGATTATGCATACAAGTGTGAACCTAACGGTGTTTACAGGAAAGTAAAGATGGCAAAGTTTGGGCTCCCTAAATAATTGTAAGAAAACACATTACCTCTTCCCATACTGAAAAGTAGTTAGGAAAATACTTCCTGAACACATATGGAAATTGGTTAGAGGAGGGTCGAAATGCAGAAACATCCATTCAAGTTCACGGTACCAATTACAACATCTTTTGGCCATGTTCACACTAAGAGGACATAAACTTTATCCTTCCTTGGAATGTATACATCGCTATAAATCTCGCCACCTTCACTTGTCTTTTCCCTCTCGAAATAAATCAACTGCCCAAAATATATTTATCTTTACAATATGACTTTTCCCCAAAAGAAATCAAGGGTAGGAAAGTTTTAGAACGTTCCATCATTCTGTTGGATGAATCATCTGACTGAGTTTGTGGGCTGTAAAGTAAGACTGCAGTGTTAACAGTAATGGGATCATTTCATGTTAGGCTTAAATGTAGCGAATCATTGCTTCCGAAAGATACCTCTGTACAAGGGATGGGTGTTGTAGCACAAACCAGAACCTGTGTGAGAGTTATGGAGATTCCAGTGTTAGATGCAGATATGTTCTTCCTGTCTGAGCGGTGCATGCTGGGTATGGCGGTGACCTTGTTCACATCTATTGTCAAGGTCATTTGAGATAGTTTTGTGTCAGAGGACATGGATTGAACTTGTAAGGTGTATTTGTTTAAGTGAGGTTTGAACGAAAACCTAATCATTAAACATGGGACATTATGTTTTATTTAGTGTCGGGTAGGCAGGTGACGTCTTATCATTGATCTTGTCTGAATATGGAGTCATTAGGGATTTTGTCTTTCGTAAGGATGTATGGCATGTAAGGCGACTCTATAATGTCGTTCAGAAAACGTTGACTGAACGCTTTGTCTAAAATAGAAATAATTGGACATACGCCTACACGAAGATATTTATTATTTATAATGGTGTGATTCGTAGGATGAAATGCATTGAGTTCAGCTTCTCGCTAAATGAGCAACACATTTTCTGATCATGTGAATGAAACAATTTTAAGTCCATCTACCATTAACAGTTCAAACGCAGTTTCAAAGATTTTATTATCAAGATAACAGTGATTGCTTCTGTCTTCATGGAATCTGAACCATAAAAGACGTATGTTCTTGAGACCAGTTCTTTGAGGCTGGCATTGATGCAAAGAGAAACTATTTCAGGAACCATGAATTCTCTCGCTCTCTTCTTCAAGGCTTGCAGGGTCATTTGAGCCAAGTTAGAAATACTTAGTTATAGATAGCAATTTCATATGGAGGCTTCAAAACTCGGAGGCATCACTAAGCTCCGGTGAACTAGGTGATGCATTTTTTTGCCAAAGTCAGGTTTCTTTCATTCTGGATTTCTAGTTTTTCCAAGTCTCTTCTCTGGTCTCGGACAAGGAGTATTTGATGCATTCGGACATATAGCAGGTTTGTCCGGAGATATCAGTGGATGTAGAGCATTTAACATAACTAGGTGCTTCCTTACAACATTGTGTAATCCGGGTGTATAATGAATGTTGTCAGGTACAAGATTGAGGGATATTGTGGTGTCTCGGCAGGTACAATATGAGTTGTACTAGGTACATTATGAAAGGGTCTGGATCATGTTCATGGTTTTCATTTACCCTGGCAACCTTAGGAGAAGGTACTTGGTGAAGGTATACAATATGCCTCATAACCGTTGAGGATTCTCTTGTTGGTTGTATAGCCAGTGAGTTGTTGCTTTTTCACTTTTGAAACTGGGAGGAAAGGGTCTGCTTGTGTACAGGTGTTGCTTGATTGTGGTGTCTGTGGAATGGAAATTCCAGCTTCCGAATTCAGGAATACGTTTTGTGATTGATGTCAGCACCACGATAGGATCTACTCTACATTATGCGAACACCTGGTTTCATTATTTGATGATGAATCCTAAAGCTGAACACGTAAACACCAGATAATAATCATTTTCGATTATCCACCTAACAGACTCCACGGGAAACTAAATATGAAAATTACATAAATGGATAACATTATTAGACAAGAAACTGGCTGTTTGTGAAAAGGTTAATGTGTCCCCGTTCTTCTATTAGCATCCGTCATTTCGAATCTTGTGAGATCAAAAAGACGTCTTTATGCTGAACAGAACCAGGGTCCCGAGCCACAAAGCTTTCGTAACGTTACGACCTCTCGTAACTCTATACTTTATCATAGGCTTAAGAATGGCCTAGTGCTATGAACGCTTTGCGGGTCGGGCCGGGATTTCGTAACTTAGCCCAGACGAAAATGTACTTGTCCTTGACCTTAGGCTAGTAGCACACAGTCGTCACGATATGGCTGAGATATTGCCGATGTGACGTTAAATATTAACTCACTCACTAGTAGCACACAGAGGAGATGTTTAATGTTTAATCTAATGTATCTTCATCAATTGTAATGTTAACATATGTTTTCCTGTTCTGTTTCAGAAACAAGCAGGTATGTATTGGAGGTGTTTCTTATTCAAGTGTGTTTGGGTGATACAGATTAGATAATTAGTGCACACAAAATGGCGTGAGAATTCCTGAGCACCCAAATCTGAGGCAATTTACCCCGTATACATGATACTCCTTCTGTGCTACTAAACATGTACAGGGGACTATCCCTGTTACTGTAGTTAATCTGCGGTATTAATACAGATTAACTATATTAACATGGAAAACTAGAGTGATCCTCAACATATTTAGTCGTACAGTTCGTCAGATTGATCTTAAAACACAATCTGCATTATTTAGTATTCAATAACTATTGTTATTTAAATAATTATGCAATAGGAACTGTAATCTTTGATATAAATGACTCATTTGAAATTTTTAATTTGGTATCAAATTTTGTCCAAGGGAGCTTACTCTCATTACACATGAGCTAACTCCGTTGTTTTCGTATCTGACCACTTATATGGTTAATCTGACAGCAAAAGAGGTTGAGATTATTTCGCAACACAACTCTTTTTCTGAGGTGTGAACTCCTGCTGTATGGAGAGCAAATTACTAACATATTCTGGTAATTATCCTAATACTATAAGTGCACTTACACTGCATTATTAGGAAATCATTTCCCTGTGGGGTATCATGTTTCCTACACCCAGAGCAGGTTCGGTTGCCGAATTAGCGTACTGCATGTCGAGAACTCAAATAGATGCCCTGAGAAAATGCATCTTCTTCCTTGAAAATCATAATAGTTTGTGTGCGGTGTATTTTAACTTGGAAATTAGCCTTTGAAACAACATGCATCTGTCTTGGTAATATCAGTGCTTTAGCGTTGAAAGTGGACAATTGTCTTTGCTAAGATTGCAGTTTCCCTGATATGTATAGAGTTTAGATTACCTCTGACCTCAGTAGATATGCGTATTTTAGTTTTAAAATGAATCATCAAAATAAGTTTCACACTTAATTTTACACTTTCTTTGTAATATGTACAAAGAATTGTAAATATCTGCTAATTCTAAAGCATATCTGATGATTCATCTACATAAATGAAGTAACCAGCCTTGGCAAATTGTGTTACTTATATAAATGTTGAAATAATGTAATTTCAAGAAGGATTTATTCTTGAAATTTTTTGTTTCATAGAGAAAACTACACTTTGCCAAGAGCAGGTCAGTGTTGCAGACAAGCAACAACTGTGGCTGGTTACTTTATACCCTTTTTGACAAATGGGCTCTATAGTATAGAACTGCTTCAGCCAATACAATGGCTTCTGTTAGATATTTCCGTAGACCTTGACCTTGCACCTGTAGTTGACCTCTCTCTCCCCAACCTGCACAGAACCCAAAAAAGAACCCACACCACAACCCAAAGAAGAACCCAAACCTGAGCCCAAAAAAGATCCTAAGCAAGAAGCAAAGAAAGAACCAGAAAAGAAAGAGCCAGAAAAGAAAGAGCCAGAAAAGAAAGAGCCAGAAAAGAAGGAGCCTGCTAAGAAAGTCGAACCTAAACCTGAAGAAAAGAAAGCAGCTCTTAAAAAGGAACCTTCTCCTAAAAAGGAGCCCTCTCCTAAAAAAGAGCCTCCCAAACCTCCCACTATTGTTGAACCCGAAGAACCCCAGAAGAAAGAGGCCAAAGGTAAAAAGGAAGACATGAATGACACAAATAGTAATAATAATCCGGGTAGGAGTGGAAAGGCAGGTAAAGGAAAGCAGCGCGCTTACCAGAAGAAGCCGACAACCATTCTTGAGGAAGGTGAGGTATTGCAGGAGTTCTCTCCCCTACATGTTGTAACGCTCGGTCCGCTCGTCTTATATCCGTATGTACTGACAAACCTAGAGGTCCTAGTGAAAAATGTTTGTCAAGAAAAGTTACTTGAAGTGATAAGTAACGATCTCGGTGTCAATGAGTTCAACATTAACTGTTTTTGTCATAAACATAAAGCAAACTGACGATTCATTCCAAATAACCATTGGTACCAATACAGTCATTGGTACATATCATTCTCCCCGAGTCTTTAAAGCTAGATGGTAACAAGGATCTGTCAGCATTCAATGTCCATTGTTGCCAAGACGTCAGTCTTAAGAGAGCTGAATGAACCTTCTCGGTCCAGAAACTAGGAAACAAAGATTTGAGCAGCCTTGACAGTCAAACCATGGAAAGGTTCATGTACTTACCAAAACCTCTCCAACTCCAACATGCTCCTTATGGCTGATACGTTTGTAACCGAGGTGTCCATGTTTTGACTGTCGTCAGTGTTGTCGCTGAAGTAAACTGAGGTATTAATCATTGTAACCAGTTGTACACACCTAACACAGTTCCTCACGAATCTGTATGTGGCTGTTGCATACTTCCCTGTTATACCTCAGTCTACTGCAGGAGAGTTATCTTGCCTTAACCACGTGTCTGTCTATGTTGTCCAACACATGTCTCAGATTCATACTCTTAAAAATGGTCAAGATTTGAAGCTTGAAAACATCTCACGTTTTGATAAATATACTTCAGTTGGTTAAGGTGTAATTGGAAATGGTTTTGTCGATGAAGAGGAAAACATTGTTGAAATATGGTTGTGTTTGAGACATGTTTATGTGTTGTCTATTGTCATCAGGCCAATAACTTGAACCGATATGAAGAACAATTCTTATATCATTAACGAATTATCCAAAGATTTCTAACCAACTGACCCAAGCACATTCAATCACTTGTAGACATCCCATTTTACACAATGAATACATGAAACTCACAACCTTAGAACCTCTAACTACGTAGATTTCCAAAATTCCATCAATGTACCTTAATAATGTATGTGTACTATTATTGTCATAGCAACACTTACATTGTCATAGCAACGTCTTCAACAAAGTTGTGACATTCATTTGTAACATTGTTCCTTTCTCACGGAACCACTACATGCAACTTTATTGTTTAATAACTTACAACTACGCAAATATAACTATATAACTATATGTCTCTAACATGGAATAACACGGCGTAACTTATGACCACTAATTCTTTGAAAGCTCAGTTTTGCATATATATGTGTCAATTCAAACAATTCATATTTGTATTAACTAGTTTGGATGTTTATAATAGTAACAGTTTTTACATTATAAATGAATATAACTTTTCACACAGATCCTTAAAAGAATTATCCCTACAAAGGATTGATTGTCCAACGGATTCTGCTTTTAGGAGAGATTTGTAATTATGGAAATGATTTTTATCGCTGTTATTCCCCTACTGATGCATTCACCATATAAATACATGTGTAATTCATTATAAAGCTGTCTAAGTTTCTTGCTTCTTATTTTCTGTCTACACTTTTCATATCTTTTCAACCTGCACACAATTTAAAGGCACACTTCTAGGGATGGCCATGTCTATGTGATGCATGCTTCTGTTTGTCCTCATGTCCTCTATCCCATTGTAAGATGATGAAGAACACAAGGATGACGGTTACGAAGCTGATGTTGATCGTCCCGTTGCCCCGGATATCAGCATAAATGACTATGATGAGGATGATGGTAGGTTTTTACAGGAAAATCGTTTCACAGAAAAACCGGAGAAAAAATTGTTTGGAACTAAACAACATTTCTCACAAAAGTATCAACTATAATTGATTACAATTACTGAACTGATTCTGAAATTTCATTAAAATGAAATATTTTATATTTTTAAGCATTTACAAAAACAAGTTATATTAATAGTTACGTTTTATTAATTTCTAATAGAAAGCCACATTAGAGCAAACTTTTGATTGTGACATTTTTATAAATTTTAATTTCAATTCGGATTTATGATCTATTTCTTTATGTACTTTTTGTATGAACTAACTCATGTGATAAATTGTCAATGACATGACTTTAACATTACGAAATTACATCCTTTAACCTTCTGCATGGACCACCATTGACAGGTTATCATAACTACTGAAACGAAAGTTAATGCACTATATATTAACAAATCTTCAAAACTAAAATAACAGTCAATATAAAACATAATTCAATCAATACAAGCTAAGCTATCTGGCGTAAGGCAGGTAAGAGTGTTCTGTTTCTTGAGAGAGATCAAGTCACTGAGTGGAATTCCTGCATAAAAGGTAAGTTTGTTATATGATGAAGCTTTCTGAGGATAGAAAATTCATACTGTTTGATCCTGTTTGGTTAGTAATTTGAAGCTAGTTTTATATGATACTGTTTTGAAATTATCTTAATATTGTTTTGATCCTTTTTATCCTAGCTGAATATAATCCCCCCATGAAATACTATTTGATACTATTGTAATTCTACGTCGATGCTATTTTTAGTCAATGTTGATACTATCTTGTTTTCTTTTATTTACTGTTTGATCCTGTTTGGACAGTAATTTGAAGCTAGATTTATATGATACTATTTGGAAACTATCTTAATATTACTTTGATCTTTTTTAACCTATTTGGATACTATTTTGATACAATATTCTTTTGAAACTGTTTGGATACTTTTGTGATTCTATGTCGATGCTATTTTAGTCAATGTTGATACTATTTTGTTTTCATTCTGTATGAAAGGAATATATTTTTAAAGATACATTTGGAAATATATTTGCTCATGAACTGATGTTCAAGTAAAACAAGTTAAATATTTTCATAGGCAGTGCGATTTGGTGCACAAAAACATTGGAAAAATATTTTCACAAGATGTCAGATTTAGCGTTCCAAAGGAACCCAGACCCGTCTCGTTTTGTTTTGCCCATGTGTAAACATCGCACATTACTTTGTCATGCCTGAGAAAGCTTTGTCAGAGCTGGTGTGTACGTAAGTTGTGAGATGTCCATGGTGATGTGATTCACCCAGTACTGTGTACAGCACCGTGAGGTACTATTGTCTAGCAGTGCTGTCGTTATCTGCTGCTGTTACTGCTGCTGCGTCACAAAACTTTTTTTCAGGTAATTCATTGCACCTGAAGGACACAAAAATCAAACCATGTTGTTGTTTTCAAAATCGAAGATAAATTTCTAAATATCTCATTTAGAGCTAAAACGTCCATTTAAAATGAATGCATTTCACTAATGGTCCATTTCCTGATACTTCGACCACACATGTCCTTCGGGTGAGGTGGTATTGTTTATGTGTCTAACGTTCCACTTCATTTTCAGCACAAATTGTTCCTCTTGCACTGAACACCATAGCATGGTAAATGTAGATAGACCTATAAAGCTTAGACAGCGTTAGCTATGCTTGGACTAGTTGTAGCTTGTAGATAGTAAACATAACTGAAGAAAATCAAGTATTTCTACAATATTCATGAAATTCTCATATTAACCATATGTTAATGCACATGCTATGCAATACTATAAAACATTAATTGATTTTATGAGCATGTTTATAACGACTCCTAAGGTTAATAGTCATTCCTGGTTGACAATAATTTATGCTTTATGTGTAGTCTAAATTTAACACCAAAACAATTTTATAATAACTTGAATATTATCATGTCTACCTCTGAAACTAAATATGTTCTTTTTTGTCTGTTTTCACAGGAAAAGCAGGGGTAAGTGTCTTCTTATTACCCATTAAATATATCAAATATGATCACGTCTTCTTTACAAATGTGTACATTGAATAGCAGCAATTTATCATGTTGATACTTGTGGAATTTGTAGAGAGCACAATGAGAAAAGCTGAAATATTTTATAAAGCTTAATATATTAATACAACCGGTCATATATGCTTGTTATGAAGGTAACAAACGACTCGTCACCGATTTCACAAGATCAAAATATGTAAGGAATCAGTGCGATATTTCTCTTTATAACGAGTCATAAAGAATAGTGACAAGACTGTACTTGGCACTCGACTCGTCACCATGTAATGCAGTCATCCTTTCATCTGTCCTTTCATTAATACTAGAAAAACTCAATACTCTGTCACTCATAATAATTAGTTTTCAGGAATACACAATACGTTATCAAAGATTATCACTAGCTGTAATAATTAACCAAAAACCTATTACCTATTATGTTTAGTTGTAAGGAATGCTCAATTCCGTATTATCCACTTTTACTTATTGTAAGGAATACCCAATACCTTATTGCCCCTCATCAATAGTAGTATCAGATACCCAGTAATATCACCCATTGTCAATTGTTGTAAGGAACACACAATATTGTTTACTCATCACTAGTTGTGTAGAATAACCGATACTCTTTGTGAGAATGGCCATATTTGGTCCGGTTAAAACAAACATTTATAACCTTTCAGCATTATACATTATAAGTAATGGTAATTTTTTTAACTGTGGACATTTCCAAATGATATTTCTCCATGCTAAGGAAAAAGAAGAACCATAAATAATCCTGCAGTTGTGTGCCATCAGCTCATCTCTCTCAGTGTTCATCACCTTCAGCCAGTGTGACACATCCACGGATTCTTCTTTCAATTTTCATGGATTCAATATTAAGATTTCATGGATTCATCAGTCAGTTTTCATGGAATCAGAAATTAGTTTTCATGGATACAACAGTCAGTTTCACGGATTCTCAATTCAGTTTTCATGGATTAAATATTTAGTTTTCATGGATTCATCAATCAGTTTTAATGGATTCAGTAGTAAGTTTTCATGGATTCATCATTCACATTCATGGATTCATCATTTTCATGGAGCATCCTTCATACGTCACACAAGACCCTACACTAAAGCACGGTGTCCCCGGGAGACCCAAGTCCCTACAGAAGGCACAGTGGAGCAGATGCGTGCCTTACCTAGCCACGATGGCGACAGCGCTAAGTGCAAGAAGTTCGCAAGACGAGCAGTTGGCACGGTATTCAGGATTCAGCATGGTGATGATGACTGACTGTCTCTATGGAGAATCTCGTGCCTCGCGTGTTGCCGTTGCTAGATAACACAAATGATTTGAACTTTTTCTCCTGCAGTGTGTGAAAGTAATTGAATATTTCTGTTGACTGAACTTCAAATACCTGCTGAAGATATGCTACTGATCATCTGATTGCCAAGTTTTGAAACTGTAATATGTTTGGTTTTAAGTTGTTTTTTACTGCTGTAGGTTATTCTTAGTGTCTCAATTTGGCAGATAGTGATATACGTTATACCAGTGGATTTACCTACACAAAACATGCCTTCATTCAAAGTCACCAACACATTCTATTCAGCCAAAATAATGCAATGATGAAGTTTCATTTTCGATACAGGAACTAATTTTAAGAGTGAAAGAATTATGTTCATAATCGACTCTCGATAACTGGCCAAAGAATTATCTTTGGCACCACGGGTTATTCCATCTTTTTGTATTCCGGAAGTTCATAGATCTTTTGGATGGCATCATCATTTACTAATTATATCTTTAAGAACAAGGACTGAAAATCATTTCAGAATATTTTTAACCAAATGATTGCTCTAGTTTATTCATAATTCCAATCAGCCTCGCGCATTTGGAAATGTATCTTTAAAGTCAAAACCTATTCCCTTTGTGTATGCCCTGGTTTGGTAAAGAAAGGTCATCTTAGCGATACAACTAGCTTAGCAACACATTTATGTGCAACCATGGGGCAAGATCATCTTGACAATCCATAAAGGACACATTAAGGAACTGCAAGCATGTCTTGGAGGTGTGGCTATACGTGTTGCTATGCATCATCAATCGTCTTCAAACACACCCACCGCAGACAACTACACTTCAGTACAGATGTTGAAAGGCGTGGGTACACCATCATGAATGTTTACAATCCATCTGCCATCGGTTTGTTGAACATTAAAGCCTCTCAAAATTACGAGAATGTTTTTAATTTAGTGGTTTTCTCCTCTGACGACTGTTCATGGTGCAAGCCATTTCTACGAGGTAATCTCATTTTAAAAATCAAAGTTACGGAACATGAAAATATAAGAAGATGGCTGAAACCTTTCAAACCCATCCATCAATGCTGCTTTTTGTACCTCTGTGACGTAATTACGTCAAGACCTACCGCTATTATATCTCTGCTTGAGCTAACTTATTCTGCATATTTACATCTTGTTCAGAAGTACACATAAGACATTATGAACCAGATCCAAGGTTTAATTTGTTAGCACTAAATATCCTCATTACCAAAATGTCTCTTAACTGCACTGTGTCAGGGTCCTCCCTGAAAACACACTCTGGATACTGACCTGCCGTGACTTGTATATTATGTATCGAAGTATACCCATGTGTATGACTTAAGTGTTACCCTGACATAGCTTTAATGGCTTGCCTAATATCCTTATGGTGGCACATTTACACGATGGTGTTCTTTCTTTGAAGATAGAATTTGTTGCCAAGGTAACACAGACTGAATGTTTGTTTTAAGCAAAGGAAAACAACTCAATCATTGAAATACCAAGTGCCAAGACAAGGGACTAAAATATGAAGGAAAGGATCGCCAATGTGTGTTCTTTGCCTGTCGCCATAAAAGATGAACTTTGTATTTGTGACGTCAGAAAACAGTCTCTTCGTCCAGCATCTACACTCGGATCTTTCACACACTCCGAAACAGACGCCTCTTCAAGGTTTCCCTTAGTTCCCGTACGAGAATAGTGTCTTGGAAGAACCATCCTTCGTAGTTCAACCCTTCTGTTTTTAATCCAGTTCCTAAAGGTATACTTGCTATTTTCTTAGATTTGGATACCTTTGACTGTGGGTGTCATCCGCTCTTGCACTCTCATCTTGGATGTATTGCCAAACTGAAGCTACCTGTGATTACATAATGGGCTTTGTGATGAATGAAGCTACCCCTAGCCTGTCATCTTATTACTGGCGTAAAGTGTGAAATGTTAACGTAATTGGAGTATTGTGTTGCCAAGTGTTACACAGACGGATCTAAACTGGATGTATTCCGTACTATAGTTGTTAGACAAGAAGGTCATTTCTACTGGAGTTTGCCTCAGTGTTAAACATACGGAATATTTCATCCAGTCAGCATCGCAGCTACACTGTAAGAAGATGTACCCACAAATCAAAATTCATCATGTTCAGGTAATGTCATCTTTCATTTATGAACCTGCTTCTTTCAGGGTTGTTTTTATGCTTGAATTAATTGAAGCAGCAGAACAGGATTGTTGCCATGTTTCTCAATGGATGTGGACCACACTGAGGATGTAGAAGACTTGGATACAGTAGCAGCTGACCAGTGAGGTGTACAGTCGTTGCCATTGCGATCAATCATCAACTTCTACATGGCCGTTGCTTAGCAATTTCATCGTGACATATTTAACTAATTTTTCTCAGGCACCTAGTTCTTTTTTCAGGTCAAATTTCATATGTCCACTCAGAGAATACTGTTGTTGAATGTTGAATTTAGGTTGGTATTGTCCTTGAAAACCATCCCTTTAGCTTATGGAATCTTAAAATCAAGTTCTTGGGCCATCAGGTTCAGTTACCTTTTGTGTGTGGTATCATCAGAGTATCACGTCATCAGGTGTTCATCCCTTCTGTGCACAGTGTCCTAAGACTTGGGCCTTTTGGCCATCGGGTTCACTTAACGTTTTCGTATGGTTTCCTCAGGCTAGGGCATTTGGGTCATCCGATAAGCATCCCTTTGTGCATGGCATCCTAAGACTAGGTCAAGCGGGCATTCCCTCTAGTTTGTGATCTACGCAAAACTGTACGTAATAGATATATCTGTATTTAGAATCTAGAATTACCTTGTAATATATTACAAACATACTTATGCTGAAAAATGAGAGAATTTTTGTTCTGAATTTTGAATCCTTGAGAACCTTCTTCAATCCCTGGGCCCATATATACATATACATATATAGCCATTGTTTTTGTTCCGAATAGTACTCATGCAAATCTCTTACAAAAAATTGAAATTAAAATAATCAAACCGAGATCAGTTAATATATTTATGAAAGTTCACAGTGGTTAAGGTAAGCTACAGTGCATAACAACATTGTTTGGAAACAGGTGCATTTGGTCCTGTGATAAACATTGCTATTCCTATATTACCCAGTGTAAAGGTAAATTTGTGGTACAAAAATTCTCATTCGCCATTTCAGTGCTCGGCATATAGCATTGTCAGGAATTTGAGCACCTGTGGATTGGCAACTGAGCAGAGAATGGGTTAATACTTCTGAGTAGAGCTCTTCCTTGGCCTCAGTGAGCCTCAGGGACAAAGCCACTTATTCCAGCAGTAATTTGATAGCATTTCCTCTTAATGGATCATAAATGTAATTTCTTGAAACAGCTAGGAGTAAGATAGCACCAGCCATATATGCTCTACTGTAGGTTTGGAACATGAGATGGTTCATTGCAGCTAGAAGGGCGTATACAGTCCCTGGCTAAACCTCTGATGAGGAAGACATATTCTTGTGTTCTAGAACAGTTTGGAAAATGGGTGTTCCAAAATAGTCTGTACTTCAGTCTTTCTCAGTACAAGTGACGCAGAACAGTACCCAAGGAATGTGGTTCCATCTTACACTGGAACTATCTTTAGTTAATGCTTGAGTTCATCTCAGTTCCAATTACGTCTGACAGAAATGGCAGAAACATACCTTTAAAATGAGGACTTGCGTCATAATGAATTTAGTTGTTGATGTTAATCATGATTATTTGGAGTATTTGGCAAGGAGAATTTGGACATATTCTTCTATATTTACCTCCCTGTCATTAACATATGCAAACATGCCAAGTGATATGCAACTTAGCAATGAAGAGTGCAAGGATAAGGAACAACCCAGTTTATGATGGGCTCTTTCAGTGATAAATGTAAATGATTTTCCCAAGTAGTAAATTATTGCTGAGTCAGGGATTTGTTTAGGTCATGTTGACCTAAGTGAAAAGTACATGTATACCCTGCCTACATGATGAATTAGAAAATTGTGACTGGTTATAAAATCAATACATAATAAATATGATACATCTAGTCTGAACCTGATTTCTTTTCTAAACCATCTTTCAGTAAATATTCACTCTTTGGTCATTTAATGCGTTTTTAGTTTAAATTAATATAATATTTACATATTATAAATTCTCATTTTAGTTGGGTGATTTCAAATAAGTATAGAAATGTATTCGCTGTGTCGCTGTATGTTTAATTTGCACACTGACATAAAATGATTTATGTTTGCACAAATATATCAAGCACATAGGGTGTTATCAAAAGTCTGCAAAACACTTTTAAGCCCAAACTTATCAGATATCTTCTTCAATATGCATACTTATTGGATCAATGTATTGGTTAATGAACAAAAACTGATGTTATGACAGGGATTATTGGTCTGATTGATTTTTGTTACCACTGCAAACAAACAAAAACGCCAGAAAAAGCAATAGTATAGGAATCATGAAAAAAAGTCAACTTCCATAAATATTGGATCAATATTAGTAAGTGAAGCACGTACAATGGATCTCTAAATGTTCAGTTAGCTTTGGAATGTGTGAATTTCGATGTTACATTGAACGAATTAAACACAAACTCATTGCCACTGAAAACCAAGCTCTTGTGGTGCAAAATGAGGAGTTGAAGAGTTGAGAAAAACATTTAAACCATTTATTGGTTTTCAGCAACATTAAGTTTTGCTAATGACATGCAATGAATATGTATGAATGGCAACACTAATTAATATGGACATAATTAAGCTGGCGTTATAAGGAGGCCATGCGTGCATGTGTCTGTGGAGTCTGTTGCTGTTCTGGCTTGGCTTCAAGAATGTGGGCGCTTGTGGTCTCGATCAGACTATATCTGTCTTGCCTCCACATCACAAGTACGATTTCTTAACAAGGGAAACATGTGCTACCTTCCTGAAACCAAATTATTCTTGACATTATAGACCTGAAATGTACTTATGAACCTAACGAGGATGAATAATTGTTAAACTCTGCATACACAATTATATTGATGTAGCAACTGTGACGTTTTTGTTTGGTTACAGCATAAAACGGAATTTAATGACAAAGCATCATTGACTATGTCAATGAATATTGATGCAAGTTTTTGTTGTGAAAGAACAAAGTTAGTGAAAAAACACAATTATTCCCATGATATTCAACTGTTATCATGATTGCTTACACTGTGAAATCCTACCAGCAAACATTCGTCAAAATCAGACTAATCATTTCCTCATGTTATAATTAGTTTAAAATGTTCAACCTTTATTTCTCTAAAAATAGGAATAGCTGAAAGCTTTATAGCGTTTTAACATTGTTTTAAAATCCTATGGCCAAGAAAAATTATTTTTAAGCTCTTGGGATTTGTTATGTTGAGAATGTTGTTTGTGAGATGGATGCTGGCTCAACAAGAAAGAAATCCCGGACCAATTAATTAGTCAAAACACACAAGCCTCTTCTGGCCTTTAACATTCACAGAAAAATCGTTTTTGATTACTTTTGCACTCATAGACTTCACTACCTTTAAGACATCCCATTCCAGAAACACAGCTCTATGCAACATATAAGCAAACAATGATACGATTTGGACTTGTGCCCAGCTGGGGTCCACAAAATTCATTTTACAGATATAATCAGTTCTTAAGAATATATTACCGCAGGTTTGTAGGAGACCAAAATGTCTGTGTCTCACAAAAACTTCACCAATCATGTCGATGCTCTAATCTCTGCATGGCAAAGTAGTCGATTTTCTCAGCAATGTTCTCCACGCTGGTTATAGAGTCAACAAACCTAATGCTGCTTTCCTGCCAACTTCTTATAGGAGTATCAGTTACCAGCAGGTACCAGAAATATCTCGTATTTTCCACACAACTCCCTTCACAAATACCAAGAGTGTTTGTCAAACTCTCCTGTTCCATACTACAGTTTTTTAAAGGTATAAAAATCCAAATGTCTATTATTATATCAAGCACTAAATGTGAAAGTTGAAACAAGATTGGTTTTGCTTGTGTAAAGCACAACAGAGATTGCAAGCGTGGGTTTTTCACATTAAATTCCATTGCCTGTCTTTAAATGCTTATGATTTTTAGTAAACTGGACCCTAGTTTTCCATGGTGCATATAAGCAGATAAGGAATTAAATCTTTCTAGCATGAATATCTCAGGTACCAGTTCCAGTGAAGACAATTTGTTTTAAACTGGATAGGAGTCAAAATAAGCTTAGTCATGTTGGTAAAAGGAAAAAATCTTACAGATGTCATAATAATGTGTATTTTCATGGTGACACAAAATGAAATTATTTACAGTATTAAGTTTAAGTTTGTGAGAAAGACATAAATTGTATGTTTTTCTTTAAATACATGTCAATACCATGACTATCAAATGAAATCCATTTATCACAAGTTTCCACAAAGAGTGTCCATTGTCTAACTATTTTACTGTGGCAGTATTTTCTACTGTTCGTTTTTTATTACAGATTAACATGAAGTGTGGTAAGAATGAGCTTCATAATAATATTTTCAGCTTTTCATCATGATGCTACTCTTACAAACTTGCCCCTACAATATATATTGCAATTGAAGGGATTATCATTTTCAATAACTTCACAAAACTAAGGGTAAATATGGACTGGGTAAAGAGGTACTGACTCTCTTTCTTAACTGTCCAAAGTGTGCTGGAAATATGTAATTGTCATCTGCCCTTAGTCAGGCTCAGAAATAAATGATCTGACTGGCTACCAGGTTGTAACATGTCATGGTATCCCAGTTGTGTAGACAGATGTTCATTATATCAATCACTGGATTGGCTTGTCCATGTTGATTATGTTCACACTGCTGCCATATAACTGAAATATTGCTGAGTGCAGTACAACAATAAAAGAGTGATGTCACTGAAGAAAACAGTTTGTGGTTGTACTACAACGTGCTTTGATGATATCCTAAACAGGAAGATGACAGCAGGAGGATGTCTAAATCGGCAAAGGGGAAAAGCGATGGACCAATCCTGGCAGAGAAGCCTGGAAATGTTGTGGTACAAGAAGGTTAGTATGGCATTGAAAGAACTCATTTGACAGCACTGACCTGACAAAACAGTTGTAGAGTGATAGTAAATGTTTTCTCTACAACTGACTGACTGACTGAGTTTGGATTTACGCCGCTTTTAGCAATATTCCAGCAACATCATGGCGGGGGACACCAGAAATGGGCTTCACATATTGTACCCATGTGGGGATTCGAACCTGGGTCTTCGGCACCGCCCCGTTTTCTCTAAAAACTCAACCAGATAACATTTGCGGTTTTGGCTCAGTGGTATATTGAATAAAGAATTTAACATATGGGTATATCAAATAGTGAATATGACTGATGAATATGCTAAATAGTGAATTTGACAGATGGGTATATTGAATAGTGAATTGACAAAGGGGAATATGGACCAGTGAATGTGACAGATTGGTGTATTGAATAGTGAATTTGACAGAGGGGAATATGGACTAGTGAATGTGACAAATTGGTGTATTGAATAGTGAATTTGACAGAGGGGAATTTGAACAAGTGAATGTGAGAGACTGGTATACTGAATAGTGAATTTGACAGAGGGGAATATGGACTAGTGAATGTGACAGATTGGTGTATTGAATAGTGAATTTGACAGAGGGGAAATTTGAACAAGTGAATGTGAGAGACTGGTATATTGAATAGTGAATTTAACAGAGGGGAATATGGACCAGTGAATGTGACCGATTGGTATATTGAATAGTGAATTTGAGAGAGGGGAATTTGGACCAGTGAATGTGACAGACTGGTATACTGAATAGTGAATTTGACAGATGAGTGTTTTCAATATTAATATTAACAAACAATACATGGAATGGGCAATTTGACAAACTAATCAAGGGTGAATTTTACTGAATGGTATATTACAAAGGGAATTTTGACTGATGTGTGTCTTAAATATTTAATTTGACATTACTGTTGGTACTTAATACTGCCAAAATATGTATATCGACGATATCTAGTCCCACACTGTATCGACCTTCTCACACAGGCAAGGATCTCAGGGTCCAGTTCAAGCTGGACCTTCAAGGGAAGCCCCCACCAAGTGTGCGTATATTCCGAGCAGGAAGAGAGGTGCGTGAAGACACAAGGACCAGCATTGTGGCAGAAAAGGGTAACTGTTATCTCGAGATCAAGAAGACTCGCATCCAGGATGAGGCTAAATACTCTGTTGTCCTGGAACAAAATGGGATGAAAACTGATGAGGCAACATTCAGTGTGTTCATTAAGGGTAAGCTGTTTGACAAGTGATGTCATTACGTTGTTTGACAAGTGATGTCATTATGTTTGTTTGACAAGTGATGTCATTATGCTTGTGATGGCATTGTGTTCATTAAGGGTAAGCTGTGTGACAAGTGATGTCATTACATTTGTTTGACAAGTGATGTCATAATGTTTGTTAAGGGTAAGCTGTTTCACAAGTGATGTCAGTATATTTGTTATGGGCACCAGTAAGCTATTGTAAAATTGAGTCATTTATGGTCCCATTCATTACTGTGGCTTCAAGAGCATTATAAACAGTGAGCATAAAGAATATATATGTTTTATCTGATTTATGTAAATTATATTCAAAGTAATCTGTTTTTGCAGATTATCAAGGCTGGTTTGAAGTTTAATGTTTATAATATCAGGAGACATGCCTATTAGGATTCTATATGGCTGTGGACAAATCATGTCATTTCATTATGACAAAATATAAACAAAGTTTCTGAAATGCTACAGTTTAAACACTTCTATCTTTATGAAGTAAACATGATTAATATGTTTTATTTTAGATCCCAAGGATTCAGCCCTGGATTTCCGGTCTCTGCTGAAACACAGGTACTAGTCTAAAGGGAGTAACACTTTAGTGAGTGAGTGGGTGAGTTGAGATTTACGCTACTTTGAGCAATATTCCAGCAATATCATGGTGGGGGGTCACCAGAAATGGGCTTCACACATTGGGGAAATGAACCCGGACTTTTGGCGTGATGAGCAAACACTTTAACCACTAGGCTAACTCACCGCCCTGAATAACACTTTAAGCTGTCCAACAAAGGCTTCCCCGATTAAATTTTTATGTCTTCAGCTTAGTGGTTAAAGTGTTCACAGGTTATGCCGAAGACCAGGTTTGATTCCCCACATCTGTACAGTGTGCAAAACCCATTTCTGGTATCCCCTGCTATGATATTGCTGAAATAATGCTGAAAGCAGTGTAAAACTAAACTCATTCACTCACTATGCTTGTATGCTTCACCAAAGTGATAAACATTAAAGACCTGCCTTACATCAAAATTTTCTCGGGCAGTGTGGTAGCCTAGTGGTTAAAGCGTTCGCTCGTCACACTGAAGGCCCAGGTTTGATTCCCCACATGGGTACAATGTGTGAAGCCCATTTCTGGTGTCCCCCTCCGTGATATTGCTGGAATATTGCTAAAAGCGGCATAATACCATACTCAGTCAGTCAAAACCGCCTCCGTGGTGTAGTGGTTAGAGCGTCCGCCCGGAGAACGGAAGGTCGCGGGTTCGATCCCCGACCGCGTCATACCAAAAGACGTTAAAATATGGTACTTGTTGGTCCCTGCCTGGCGCTCGGCATTAATGGGTACAACAAGGACTGGTCGGCTCGGAGTCAGTATAATGTGTCTGAGTGGGGTATTCATGCTTCACTGCGACATGGTATCTCAGTGGGCTAGCACTATAAAACCAGCTTAAGTCTGGGCTAGTACAAGCAGCTGCACATACACATACACATGCATGCACGTCGTCATATGAGCGAAATATTCTCAAGTACGACGTTAAACCCAATTTCACCTCACCTCACCTCACCTCAGTCAGTCAAACCTTTCTGATACTGATTGTTCAAAATATGATGGCTCTTCCTATGAATCCTTTCAGGGACACGGGCAAGAAAGAGGAGGAGGATGACGGCGTCGACTGGGGAAATCTCAAACCAGGTGAGTTCCGATACCTTCATGAACTCTCATGTCATGCAGTGATCAAAATGCACATCACATGTGTATAATTATCATCATAAGACACACAGACGTACTGTTGTTTCCCGGAAACATGGTTAAGATTTGTGTCTCACCATGCATCTTGTGACATACTTTACCTCTCGTGAACACCTGGTGTCATCTGCTTTAAATCTTCCATCATACTTTCACAACTACTTTGCCTTTTGGACCCAGTTTAATCTGTTTCACCAGATAATTAAAAATGATTATTTTCCAAGATTTCAAAGTGCTATCCAGAAGATTGGATTAAGTACTATCAATTCTAATTAACATTTGGAACACAAGATTTGAATTCTTTCTTTCCATTACAAGCATCTTTGAGTATCTATAACAATATTTTGCTTGCTTACCAATGCAAATTTCAGTTACTAATATCAGATAAAAGCTATAAGCCGTTGTAAAGAAACTCTTTAACAGTTTTAATATCACTGGATGTTCTTACTGTTTTATTATTCTTCCTTGCCAAAGTTATGATTAATGCCCACTGGTTTGGTATGTCACAAATTCATCATTGCACAATATGTGAGTATATATGTATATGTGCAGCCTTTGCCATGGACATCTCAAAGTTTTTCATTTCCATTTATGTCCTTAAATGTCACAAATGTTTTTGTACTTTCTCTGTTTATGTGTCTGTGCGTTCACAACAGTGTTCTTCATGTTCAACATAGTGTGTTCATGTTAAATACAATGTGTTCATGTTAAATACAATGTGTTCATGTTAAATACAATGTGTTCATGTTAAATACAATATGGATGTTTGACACAAAGTGTTTTGTTCAACACAATGTGATGTTTGAGACAATGTGATTCATTTTCAACACAATACGGATGCTTGACACAATGTGTTTATGCATAGCACAATATGAATATTTGACACAATTTGTTCATCTTCAAGACAATATGGATGCTTGACACAATGTGTTTATGCATAGCACAGTATGAATATTCAAAATAATGTCTTCAACACAATATTGATGTTTGACACAATGTGTTTCATGCTCAACACAATATTAATGTTTGACACAATGTAAGTCATGCTCACGACACAATGCATTGCAGCATAATCCACATGATGCTATTCAACACTAAATATGCAACACGCTAATAGCTATCACAGAAATATTCATGCTTTTTGATTCAAATAAGCAAGTTTTGCGTGTACTGTTTCACCAATGCACAAAACTACATAATATTTCATTTGTCTTTTTCCTTTTTCCAGAGGAAGGTATTTATATGTCTGTCTGTCTGTATGTTTGTAGCTTATATGTCTGTTGATGTATTCAGTTAGCTGCGACATTAGCCAATATTTCTTTTCTAAACATGATAACACCTCTTGATAGCCCTATCTCTAACCATCTAAACCTCGACATTTCTGTGCACTATCTGGAATCTCATCTTGTTCTCAAATCTTTTTAATCTGCTAAATATTCTTGACATCTCTCCTTAACAATGTTTACTAATGAATCTGATATTATGAATCTCATTTTCTCTTTACAAAAATATACAAATAATATTCTTGATTAGGAAAAACTGAATGCAATATCTTTCTTATATTTGAATAATTCATAAATTATACATCAATTTTTCAAAATCTATAATCATGAAGTTACAAGAAGTTGTAATTACACATTAATCACATTTACAAAATGTCACTCTAGTTCTAATTCTAACAGTGTTTTAATTAAAAATAATATTTCTCATCTTTTGAAAATAATATTGAATGACTCTGTTATATACCTCCAATAAAACCTCCCTTCCAGCTATGATAAGCTTATTATGTATATGTACTGCAGCTGACCAGTTCTGTATATAATACATGTCGTATATGTTGTTGTCTGTGTTGGTGGTGCTAATGGCAATATGCACTATACTGACTATTGTCACTTTGTGTCCATGTAACATACCAGTAACGGTTACAATACCATGTTGCCAACGTTGATAGTAATTGTCAACAATTTTAATGTTACATTGTTACAATGTTGCCAACACTGATGATGGTGGATGGTCATGTTGCCAACATTGATTTTAATAGTAATGGTTAATCTTTCTAACAAGATTGCCATATTGCCAAGATCGATTGCATTTTTTAAAGCCATAAACCTTCTTGAGTTTAAGTAGAAAGTTTAGAAAGACATAAAGTTGGCTTCATTTAGACTAGCTAATTTCAAAATCCTTGTCAGTATTCTCTACAATATTTTAATTCTAGTAACAACAGGGGCGGTGGGGTAGCCTAGTGGTTAAAGCGTTGGCTCGTCACACCGAAGACCCGGGTTCGAATCCCCACATGGATACAATGTGTGAAGCCCATTTCTGGTGTTCCCCCGCTGTGATGTTGCTGGAATATTGCTAAAAGCGGTGTAAAACTAACATCAGTCAGTCAGTCTAGTAACAACATTATAACAAATGGTACCATTAGATCAGAGTGTGCCACTTCTTCATCAACACTCGATGTCACCACAATTTGATAATGATTCATAAATATATGACAACATTGGAATTGTTGGAATTTCTTTTGATCATTAAAATGGTGACATGAAGTTATTTAAATCTCATAGTAACAGTCAGTGTCATACTGGCAATGATGTTGGCAACATCGGGTGGTAACCATATTTCATATATTTTTGTTTTGTTTTGTAATCTCATCATATCATTGTTGCGTTGTCCTTCTGTTCGCCATCTTAAAGTGTTTTCTGTTGGCCATCTTCATCCTTGTAGTACTTACATTGAACAACAACATAGAACACTGACTGGGCCAGCCCTGTTATTTGTGATGATCCTTACTAAATCCTTGCATATGAAAAGGAACAGATGATGTCTGATAGTTATTTCAACTTCCTCAGTCTGTGACTACAATTATCTTCTCATTCACTTATGATTGAGAAAGGAAGATGGGCTCGACTAAAACTAGCTTTAGAAAACCGATTATGTCCTTTTTGGAAAAATGACATAGAGGATTAATATCATGTTATCATAGTTTGTCCTAACTATTTGACATTTAGACGTTGCTACATACCTCTGGACGTATACAAGTCTCCAAACATGATGAAGTTTATAAATCTTTTACAAACCAAAGTTGAAGTATTAACCTTCAACCTAACCAAATTTGTTTATCACATATTTCAGGTTATGCAAAACTATAATTTGAATTATCCATGAGTGTTATCTTCTTTCTAGTGCTGCCTTTTGTCACGAAAGGTCTTTGTAAATGTTGGCAATGCGCTTTTGAAACTATGTAAAAATGTATTTTGTCATATTGGCTGTTGGCCTATTAAAGAAATAAACGTATTGATTCTGTGACCTTAGCTTCTGGTCTGAAGCCCAAGTGTAGCAGAATTCTATTGATTCTTGTGAACTCGGAAAACCATAAACTTTAAGGAAAAGGATGCTTAGAAGTATAAGGTCACAGGTTTAGGGCACAGACTGTTTCAATATTATTCAAGGTCAACCAGAAAAATGTAAGTTTGCTATTGACACAGCATTGAAAACAAAATTTACTATAGTCTTCTTACTTCATATCCTGATCAAACATCAGACATTCTTCTATTTTGAATAAAGCTTCTTAAAAAATCAATTATTTCTGCATCTGGTCTCCATCAAAAAAATTTTACCTGAATTTTGGGAAATATGATAGTAAAGATAATGGTTAAAAAACTAAAAGCTGCTGTTCAAAAAAGATTTACCAAAATATGTTCAACACTGATTTTTGCATTATCTGATCTTATCGTTACACAACTGTTTTGTCCTTTACTCCAAATTGATCTATTTCGGCAGACAATCAAGACATATTGTGGTTATATTCAATTTGATATTTAAGAATAACAATGCTGTTGTATTAAATATTTCACCTAAGACACATTTTGGAAAGAATTAGACAATACTTCCCTGTGCTCGCCAAAAAGTACTTTTTCTGATGACAGGACACATAAAAGACCTTGACCCCTTGACCACAGTGACCTTGACATATAGAAACATTTTTCGTCCTGCTATCATCCATCAATTAAACTAAACACTCATTCCTCCCATGACTTATTTATCAAATCAATTTGCATAATTCTTTTATCGTACCATCAGTCTAGATCTTCACATTCCATCCCATACCACTGTACATTCATTTAGACTAGTATTAATAATTTTTATCCCATTTCAGTGATTTATTTATGCTGGTTCATTTGCAACAAAGTGCTTGACCATTTTGCTTTCATGACCTGAAAATATTGACCAGTTATTGAACATATTATGTCACATATTGATGAAAAGTAAGAACTGAAATGTTTACATTTCACCGTTTCTCCATTAATTATGTCACTAAGCAGACTTGCACAATTGTAGCTCATTACAGAATTAGACTTGTAAGAAAGTCACTAGTTAATCTAGTACCCCATTAAACCAAGTATTTGAATTAGTACAATATCATTATTTTCCCATTGAATCCATATCATTTTAGACAACAACCTCTTATAACATTGATACAGAGTTATACAGACAATAGTAAAGACAATAGTAAAGTATGTTTTATATTTGGATATGTTTGAAACTTTACAAAGGTATATAGTCAGTTCTCAGGAAAACCTTTTTAGTCCTTTCTATATCAAATAGCAGTTGTACCTTTAATTATAATTTGGATCGTCACTAACTGATGTAATTGTTCTCGGCTAGTGGACAAGAAGGGCCGGCGCTTGTCTCAGATCGAGATGATGAGGAAGGGGCTGAAGAAGGTGGAGAAGGCAGAAGGAAGTGACAGTGAGGAGGAGAAGGCAAGTAGTCAGATTGTTTGCAGTTTGGGATTCAGATTTGCTGTGGATCCAGACTTGTCATCCAAGCACAGATGCTTACAATTGGACCCTTAACATTCTTGCGGTATTTGTTGCCCTCCTCAAATAAACACAGCCATGTTTCATATGGTGTTGAATGAAGATAACTGGTTAATTACATATCAATATGTGAAATTATTATTCAAATTGCTGAATACTAGTACATAAAATAGAATTTAGAATTGTACAGCATATCTGTTGGTCTTATAGTAAGTTTTTTGGTTGTTCACAATTTTTTGCTTAAGTACAATTTGGAAAAAATAGTATGTTATTATAGATTTGTATTATATATTAATTAAAGAGTTGTCTATATCATGTTTATATTTTATTCAAACTGTATCAACCTCATGGATGTGACTTTCAGATGTTGAAGAAGGTGATAATGGTATAATAACTCCTGACAAATTTAGCTCACCTGGTAAATATATTTTGCCATTAGCCATCATTTTGGTGAAATGCAATATTTGAGCCCCTTTTCTGTCTATATTTTGAAAGTTTGACAAGATTGAACCCTCACACTTTAAAATATCCTAATTTGTCCCTGATAAAATTTATATTTAATATTGATTCCAATCTTGCTGTTTTAAGAAGATGACTCTGAAAAGTTTGAATTAATTGTAATATTGTTTAACCAGGAGAGCTACAGCTTTATATCAGTGACTACAATATTAAAAATGATAGATGAATTCACAAGTTGAGCAGTAAGGGCGGCATGCAAACTGTTCAACAAACTGGTTCCAGCTGAATCAATGATGGGAGCTTTGCCTTCATCTAATAATATATATCTCTCATACTAAGCAGATGTTGTAATGTTGCAAAGACCAGTATGTGCAATGGAATCATACTTGTCTAAAACTAATGATAACTTGAAAATAACGGTAATCATATTTTATGGCTCTTTTGTTTTCAAATGAGAAATACAAACTCATGCTAAATTATTTTTGTCCTATTCCCATTCTGCAAAGCAATCTTAGCAGTACAGTGATTGTAAGCCAATGTTAAAATATAAAGTTACAATCGCCTTATTGCTGAGATGGTTCTGTGGAATGGGGCATTAGAAGACAGAAGCATTATTTAGCTGATGAAACTGTAAATTTTAGAATAGTTTTCTTCAAATTGATTAAATACCACAAGGTTAATTTAGCTTGTGATTTCCATCACTTGTCAGTGATAAAGCTTTTTCAGATTTGGTCTGAATAACATTCAAGGTTGATATATGACATAAAAGTTTGATTCCATTCCACAGAATTAACATGCTATATCACATTCCGTTTCTCTCTATGCAGTGCCATTAACATGTCTTATTTCTCAATATCCGTCATATTCCATTACTATTTCAGATTTTGGTTTATAATATTCATACTTGTGTCGTATATCTTCCCCTCACATTCCAGTTATGTGCCCAATCCAAACTCCCATTTGTGGTACCATAACATATGCCTTTTTTAACCTTTCAATATTTTTCAGTTTTCAGTTGTACAATTTTACAATTTTAATTTTTCACTTGGTTTTCATGTGGTTTAATCACTGTGTTTTCATGTGCACATCACCCTTTATTTCAGTAAGAACTCACACTTTAGCAATGCTTTCACCTTTATTAAAAATCAGAATTCTTTTTTTGTTTTCTTCTACCGCTTTATTGTAAGAAACTATTATTTATCAAACAACATACCTACAACATATCCATGTTTATATATAATATTTTAATACTCTTGTGCAACTTAATTCACTGATTTCTTTGTCAAAGAGATTATTAATATTCTATATTGCCCTTGCAAGCTGCATCAAAAGGGGAAAAGATTGAAAAAAATCATTTTGGAAAATTTGCATGGGTTTCAACTAGGCTGCCATGTTAGTGCGTACCCATCACCCATATGCTTCTGTGATTCTCGGCATCCTCAGGGGCGGTGGGGTATCCTAGTGGTTTAGCATTCGCTTGTCATCCTGAAGACCCGGGTTCAATTCCCCACATGGGTACAATGTGTGAGGCCCATTTCTGGTGTCCCCCGCAGTGACATTGCTGGACCACATGGGTACAATAAGTGAAGCCCATTTCTGGTGTCCCCCGCCGTGATATTGCTGGAATATTGCTAAAAGCGGCGTAAAACCAAACTCAGGCAGTCAGACATTGCTGGAATATTGCTAAAAGCGGCATAAAACTAAACTCACTCACTCACTCACTCGGCATCCTCAGTTTTGATGCAGCTTGCCAATGATATCACTTCCCACACCAATAACACAAAGCTCCCAACATATTTTTGTTTTCTTTCAACTCTGAAAGGAGCGCTATGAAAGAGAAAGGTTCTCATACACTCGACGTGAAAAAGTGGAGCGGATAGAAGTATCAACTGAATATGCTGATCTAGACAAGGTTAAATCTAGACTAGGGCTACATGTTACATAGGCATTTAGAAATGTTGGCTTTTCATGTTTTTAGCCCAATTTTGGTGTGTGATCATATGATACGTGTGTTAGTGTTCTCTTTTCCTAGAGTGCTTGGCCTAGTTGAAGGGCATACCTCTCTTTGGTGTGTGGCCTTGTTACAATATGTGCACTATCGTTTTGGCCCAAACATTTTTTCTTTCAGGAAGCCCTCATTTATGAGGGTTTCAGGAAACCTTCATTTATGAGGGTATACAAGATTCTTGAGCTCATGCTTTGAAGGATGTGTTGTTATTCAGTTCTAAGATGTAAAAGATGATCTTTGTTCTATGTGATCAAAAGATCAACACTGGGTATAGCGATCAAAATTCCTTTCATGAGAATCATTTGTTTCTTCAACTTTCTGTGTGTGAGCGAAAGAATCTTTGTATCGCCATCCTTAGGATTTAATGATGCTGATGTCTAAAAGGATGTCCCCAACCCTCAATTTTGAGGATGCAGCAATAGCTTTTCCCTCATCACTGATGATCGTGACATTTTGAGGGATAATAGGGATGTAGTGTAGTAGATGCATTAGAACAGAAATATTTGTCATTTAGATCGTTTGTCTGTTTGTCTAAAATGTAAGCTTTTAGAAACAGCTAGAATCATCCTGTAGAGATTTTATAATTGATTCTTTTTCAGGATTTTGAAAAAAGTATTTGAAAACTATTTTTAAAAAGTATTGAAATAACATTTTTTGTGATATAATGTAAGTAATTGTGCTGTTCATCATTCTGAATTTATGTAATTTCATTTGAATAATTTGAAAATATTCCTATAATTTTAAAACAAACATTGCTGCCGCTGCTAAAAGATGCCCCTGCGCTTCTTGCATTTCAGGATAACTAGCTGAAGATCAGTCAAAATGAAATTTACTAACCCAGCTCGGAAGAGCACAAATATGCGTGATAATGAAGCGTAACCAGATTGTCTTGTTAATGTCAATAGCAGAAGGAATCGGCTCGCAGACAGTCAGTTGAGCTGGAGGCGCCCGTAAAGAAAGTTTCTGCTGAAAAGCTGGAAGCCCTCGAACAGCAGACGCGTAGGGCATCAATGCAAATGCGTAGGGCATCGTTAGCAGAATGTATTCCTGATTGGCCTACGCTGTCAAAGCGACACGTCATTAAAGAGGTATAAACATATCGACAAAATAATTAACATATTTAGATACTCAAAAACTAACAGTGTATTCATTTGGAGAAATTTCTACGATATATATATATATGTCAAGAAAGCTAACCTAACAACCCCTTTGCACCTATACACAAATTCACAGTCAAAGACTAACTGAAGTTGATGTTGTCGGCTGTATTTATTTCATACTATGCTGTCGATGTCACCAGCTTATTCCACTCTGCACATATAGACCCTACTAACATATCTGTACACTTACTCCTTCATCAGGCCATCAGCTTCATCACCAAGATGCAGCAAGAGATGAAGAGATGCTTGTATAATAATGAGTCTCCATTGCTTTTGTATGCTGGACATCGCACTCAAAGCATACAGAGTAAAGCAAAGTTCAGTCGAAGGCTTTGAGGATGAGATGGGTCAAGGGAAGTTCTCACAAGGTTGCAGAGTCGCGAAGTTCAAGGGGGAAGATTATATTAATGATAATGATAATAAGTATCCATTACTTTCATATGCTGGACTTCATGCTTAATGTATACTATGAAAAGGTAAATTTCAGTCAAAGGCTTTGAGGATGAGATGGTTCAAGGGAAATTCTCACAAGGTTCAAAATTGAAGGTCAAGGGGAAGATTGTTCAATTTATAGGCTGCAGTATAAGAGAAGGCTTCTTAACTTAAGGGTCAAGTTTAAATTTAGGCTCAAGAAATAGATTCTGAATGGGAAGATGGAGTTTAGGGTTGAAGAAGGTCACAAAAATATAATGGAGCTGTTTGAAAGTTGCACCGATTGACAAAACAGACATGGGTTGATGCACTGATGTACTGGAAACCAATGAAGTTTTTTTAAAATCAGAGAGCTTGATGAAAGCTGACCACTTGCCACTCTGCTTACTGTGCTCATACTTCTTCTGACAAAGTCTCATATATTCTGCAATTGTTTCTTTACCAAAGGACGACTAATTTTGTCTGTTTCTTTGGATCAGTAAGTATCGGAAACAGCATGCAATGATAACCATTCATAATTATCTGAATGAAGCTGCCAAGGTTTATGAAGTGCGTAAAGGTTGTTGCATGAACAGATTGAACTGTGCATGGATGAATATGTTTTTATGATATATATTGTGAAAAAATATGTGCACGAAGAGTTATTTCCCTTGAAGGAACAGGAAGTTGTTTTGTGTACAAGGTAAGCAGGATCAGAGATACCAACCTTGCTGAGTACACTGTACTTGTAATACTCCATGACATCAATAGTCTAAATACTCAAGGTACAGCAGCTCACCTTACTGAGTGGTTTAAAATTTTCACAATGTGCTAAGCCATCTAATTCATCTTGGAAATATAACTTCCGTATGATAAAAGTAGTTTTCAATGATATCATTTGATACTTTGAAAATTTTGATTGGAGAGGATATGAATCTGGAACAAGTTAATAATTTTTTAATTTAATGTTAAAACATGACTGCAAGTGTTTTGGACACTTGCTCACTTAATACCTTTAAAATATTGTATTCAACTTCTAATTGCCGTAGTTTGTGGTGTGTCCTTGGTGCAGGGTTGGTAACTCTGTGTCGCTCATGTTTGTATATGGAATATTTTACACGATTGAAATACTTTAGGAAAATGATTTTCAGTTTTAGAATGCATGTTGGTATATAGTTAGCTAGAACAAAGCTTTTTTATTGTAAACAATTACTTTCAGCTTCTATACCTTCTGGTTGTAGAAAGTATCGAATTCCTGATGCACAGAATGTTGTCCTCAAGCACATGATAAATGAAATATTGCAAAATCTAAAACAGTCGAATCTCATTAAGTAGAAACCATGTAATTAGAAAAAATGAAAAGGGAGATAAGATATGATGTTCATTGTTAATTGCATTGTATCATGGAAATTGATAAATATTTTATTGGTCCTTTGAGTCATTAATAATGGCAAGTTGATCACCAAACCAGATGCAGTTATTTTATGCAAATGCTGACTGTGGTTAATGTGAGTACCTAGCATCTCATCTCTTATACAAACAAACACAAAGACATGTCCCTTATGTAAATCATGATGATGATGATGAAGATGGTGATGATTTGGAGATTTGATATGGACTTTCCAACATAATGCGTATTTTTGTCATAAAGCGCACGTTAAATCTCCAAATCATCATCATCATCATATACATAAGGGACATGCCATGAGTTTGTGCATTATGTACATGAAAGACATCAGGGGTGGAAATAACTTTAAAATTGCTAGTGTACTCCGGAACAGTGGCACATGTAAAATCACTTGCCCTGATAATTATTCCACTATACCAGCCGTTTTCTCGTTGATTTAAACAACATAATTAACATTGGAAAGTCAACTGGACACCGGTACAGTGTGATATACAAATTTGCTTGCCCTACAGAAAAAAACACTTGACTCGGACGTCGGGCAATGGGTTATTTCCACCCCTGGACATGTCCCTCATGTACATGAATGACATGTCCCTTATGTACAATCTGATTTGTATCAGCTGCCTTTGGTGATAATCACTATCAGTGTGAGTCTCTTTGTAAATTGCTATTTCAAAAAGTTGTACACCCTTGTTTTAGATTACCCTTGGCTTGCAACTTATTGAGAGTCGACTGTCTCTTGTTTTTGTCATATCTAAAGAACCATAGCACAATCACAGTGATACCTTATTGGAGATTTCAGATATCAGTTTTAAATTAATTACATGTATTATTTTGAAATCACACTGATTAAATTAAACATCTTTTTTTCCCAAGATACAATGATATATATAGTGCTGAATTGTTAGGAATATCATGAATTAAATTCATCTGCTGTAATTTATATTCATAGTTTCTTAAATCTTAAATGTTAAATATTTGGCATCACCAGAACACCGTAAGACATGTTATGATTTAGAAAACAGCATTCATGTTAAATACCTCCTCAATATTATTAGTTGAATTCAATTTTAACACAATAAACAGTAAAAACCTATTTCCCTGACAACAGGAGCCAGACAAGTTCTTAAAGGAGCTGGATGATGTCAAGTGTATTGAAGGAAAGGACCGCATTACCTTTTCGTGCGAGTTCTGCAAACCAAATGCCCAGGTGCGATGGTTCAAGAACAAGATGGATATTTTCCATGGCCACAAATACCATTTGACAAATGACGATCATGAGTACAAGCTGGAGCTGTACAACGTGAAGCCAGAAGATGGTGGCAAGTACACATGTCAGTGTAACGACGTCACCACCTCAGGCTGGTTGTATGTGGAAGGTGAGAACTCTTACAAATATTTGTTGGTACTTCAAAGAACTAGTTGGAACAGTATTTCTCTAGTCATCAGCATTTGCAGCTAGTCCTGCCTAAATGAAGTAAAAATATTTTTAATTGTCAGTTTTATTCAGTTCAAATTTGTATTGAACTTGATGCATTGAGGTCTGAGTCGGAACCATAGCCCTTAGGAGCTAATTGTCGCCTAATTGAGGACTCACCACAGTTTAGTGGTCTTGGGCTAGCAGCCCAGAGTAAATTTTGAAAGTTGGTGAGGCTTTAACTATTGACAGGCAGCACATTTGTATTTGTCTTATTAAAATTGTCATTGATTTTGAGTGAAAATTGTTAGATTAAAATCACACAAAAATCCTTAAACTACAAAAGCAACACAGCAGAGTTTGGCACTATAATCCAGAAAAAAAATAGCGAAAAGAATTGGGTTGGATGTTTTTCATATTTTTCACCTTTGAATTTATCCCATCAGACACAAAAGACATTCATTACAGATTATGCTACACAAACTAACTCCAGAGGTACCGTCTGATCCTAGAATTTACACATTGCATGAGACTAAAATGTACCGGTACACAGTTTATGCCCAGTGGAATCTGTTTCAACAGACATGAAGACAAGTCTTCCTCTGGCATTAATGTTTTATATTTGCCTAAGTAAACACCCAATTAAACAAAGTGCAAAATGGTGATCAGAATATTAATGCTTTCTCTAAATCCAAGCATGTTACTAACAAAGGGAAATCAGTGTTCAGAGAGCTGCTTTCTGATTGGCTAATTGTGATGTGACCTTGACCTTGCAGCCAAGGAGCCTGAGTACTACTTCACTCAGAAGCTGCCACAGCACCATGAGATCACCAGGAAGAAGGCTGGCATGTTGGGAGTGCTTCATCTCTGACCCCAGGGCCAGGGTCAAGTGGTACAAGGGAGATGAAGCACTGGAGGTAACATTCTTGAATACCACTAAAAAATTTATGATGATAGTTTTGGTTGAAAAGGAATAATTCATTCAGATCACTTTCATAGTTTCAGTTTTATTGAAATATTTCTAAGTGCAGCATTAAACAGGACTGACTGACTGCCTGAGTTTGGTTTTACGCCACTTTTAGCAGTATTCCAGCAACATCACGGCGGGGGACACCAGAAATGGGCTTCACACATTGTGCCCATGTGGGGATTCGAACCCGGGTCTTCGGCGTGACGAGCCAACGCTTTAACCATTAGGCTACCCCACCGCCCCCATTAAACAGGAAACCATCAATATTTAAGATAGTGCAATATGTCCAATGAATGATGAAAACGATCACTATTATTGACATTTAAGGGCATTCAAAACCATTATTGTGAGTGCAGTTTCGCTGATTTTTTTGATTTGACAAAACTCTGATTTCATACCGATGAAATATTTGTAGCAAATTATGGCAACATCATAGTGGATATCTTTAAGCAATAATGATGAGAATGTGGTTCTCTTGTCCTGGTGATTTTCTGAAATAATGTCCAAATATGCAGGTAGCATCTCATCTACACAACAACACTTAAAGTTTGGTATGGCTGATTGGCATAAAATGTATTTTCATATGGAGTGGATCCCATGGAGCTGGGGCAATGTGTTAACAACAGAATATGAAAAGACAACAAAAAAAGTGTTGACAACAGAACACTTGACTTGAAGCATTTTCGTCTGTTGCCATGATCAATAGTGAATAGAATTTTTTTTCACTAAATTGGGATAAATGTAAAATTATACTATCCATTGAGTAAGGAGTTTTATGCCCTAAGTGCAATCTTGGCTGAGAATGCCATGTTTTTGTTTTGTTTGTTGTGTAATGCTGCACTCAGCAATATTCCAGCTATTTTACAGAGGTTTGAACCTGGACTAGACAATTCAGTGATAAGGTGAGGTGAAATTGGGTTCAACGTCGTACTTGAGAATATTTCGCTCATATGACGACGTGCATGCGCGTGTATGTGTATGTGCGGCTGTTTGTACTAGCGCAGACTGAAGCTGGTTTTATAGTGCCAGCCCACTGAGATACCATGCCGCAGTGAAGCATGAATACCCCACTCAGACACATTATACTGACTCCGAGCCGACCAGTCCTTGTTGTACCCATTAATGCCGAGCGCCAGGCAGGGACCAACAAGTACCATATTTTAACGTCTTTTGGTATGACGTGGTCGAGGATCGAACCCGCGACCTTCCACTCTCTGGGCGGACGCTCTAACCACTACACCAAGGAAGCAGTCTCTGAATTCATATTAGTGAGTGAGTCTAGTTTTACGCCACACTCAGCAATATTCCAGCTATTTTACAGAGGTTTGAACCTGGACTAGACAATTCAGTGATAAACATCATGAGCAATATCTACACAGTTGGGATACCAAGAATGGGCTTCACACATAACATCCATTTTGGAATTAAACCTGTGTCTTTGTCATGACAGGCTAACACTTTAACCGCTACACCTCCCCTGAAATTTCAAAACAGTTAAAGACGATGAACTTACAAATATGTTTAATAATGAATTGTATACATAATATATCCTCTTTGATTTACACCTGATCATGTCATAGTTTTAATACATTAATCATTTTATTATGTACATATACAACCATGACTAATTTGCCTATTTATTTACATTTATTAACATGATATTTACATATTTACTATTCAGATAAAGGTAAGTACAATGTGAATATCTAGATGTCTAACCTCACACTGTTCACAATTTTATACACATGAACATGTTTTTCATTCACGTTTCTTACTCATTTTTCTGTTCACCATCAAAGACTTGCAGTTGTTTCAACACAACACAGAATCTGTCACTGGTCATCTGTTTGGAAAGGTTATTGGAATCAAGCATTCAATAATATTTTATCTTTTATATTTCTTGAAATACAGCAATTAAAGGATTTGACACAAAATTCAAATTCAAAATGCTTTTATCGTTTTATCAATTCTGAACTCAGTGTTAAAAAAACGGATATTGGTTTCGTCAAGTACTACAACATTTTTGTCTTATATATTTGTTGTGGAATTTGGATGGTTCATTAAGATTGTTTTCATTCTAGTAGTATATTTTGACTGACAATAGCCTTTCCATTGAAGACCTCAACAATATGTTGTTTGTAATCCAGAACACTTCCTTGGGCAAGTAGGATTCATTCACATATTAACCCAGTTCACATCTTGCACATGTCACAAAGATGTGTTGTTCCATCATTTCTGCAAACCTTGCACAATTTGATATTCCCAGATTAACTATTGGGTGAATGAGTGAGAGAAACAAGCTGTTTTCTGCACCACTGTTTGCAATATCCCAGTGATATCCTACAGGATTATACAATGGTGTTAATGCATTGTAGCCATCACACAAGAGTCATTTTGTGAATGGTGAATGTTTTAACTTAATTATGCCAACTGAATTAGGAAAGGAGGTAAGATCAAGATCCACTGCCTGTTCCCCACATGCACAAATACAGATACAGTCACTTTAGTTTTTCTTCATGGCTTGACTTGGATGTTGTGAAATGATTCCTGGCAGTGCACAGTTTATGGACAATGTTTTCCACACATCTGATATTGTCATTACCTCTTTAGGATCAATAGTTGACGTTTATGATCCTTCAATTTGTCTGATTATGTTTCCATCTGATTTTGATTCCATCCCTGATTTTGATTCAAACAGAATCAAGGCACAATGTTTCAGGAGACTCTTCAAGATTATGTGAGAGATGTGATGGTGTTTTTCTCCAAGATTGGTTCAAGCATTGACCATTAGTTTCCTTAAGTGGTAGATTTCTTCCTGACTGCGAGGAGCCATCAACTTTTTGTTTCTCCTCTTGTCAAAGCTGTTGAACCATCTTGGCTGCCCATGAGCTCTTCTCTTCAACCTCTTCCTCTCATAGTCATCTGCTGACCCATGACCTTTATGCTTCCTGGCATGTTTATTCTTCTGTTTGACTGATTCATAAGATGGAAAGAGCTTGGCAGGATAGGAGAAAGATCTTCCCTTAAGTCTGTCAAATAACCTTTCCTTCTCATTGAACATCTTCATGACAGGATCCGACTCTGCTTTCTCTGGCTTGTATGGATAAGTCTGTTCAAAATCTTCCTTCCTCCTGTGCATCTGTCTTATGTCATCCTGCAGATCTTCATAATCCTCAACCTGTCGCGGTTGCAAGGCTGCAGAAGGATCAACAAAATGGTACCCTCTAGGAGCTCCAGCTCTTCTTCCTCCATGAGCAAATGTGGGACTGCTTCGACCAGTGTAGTACCATTGGAGGAATGTACCCACAGAAGCTAGGGCTCCTGAAGGAAGAGCCATCTCTTTCCACAGAAGCTGCTTAATGTCTCTAGCTTTCGGCTTGGGAGGTACCTTTACCTTAAGAAGGTAGTTGTCGTACAGGATGAAGAAGACATCACAGTACAGCCTCGGCCTGAGGAACAGAGAGGATTTGATTCCTATCCTGGTATCGAACACAGCCAGCTCATCTCCCTCATCAAACTCCTCACCAGCTAATGTTAGTTTGTAGTTTGAGAGAGACAGCCCTGACTTCATCTCTACTCGTTTCTTAAAGGCTGCCACTGTTTCCTGAGCATACGCATGCATCTTGTAGATGACATTCTGGGTTGTATGGATGAACACTGGATACTGAGTCAGTTTGAGGTTGACGTGAGTCCTGAGATCCTCCACAGCTGTGACTATTCTTTCTCTGTTTGAAAGTTTATAGTCACCCAAGTACATATCATACACAGAAGCATTCGGGACACCGAGTTGTTCCAAGATGGCTTTCACTGATCGTACAGATCTCTTGGATGAAACTTTTAGGATCTCGGTCACATCATCACCCAGTTTGAATTTCAATGAGACTCCATACAAAACGTCCGGGTCAGCATTTGACAGACTTAAATCCATAGTGATAGCAGGTGTCCTGTATGTTTGTTTCTTAAGTGTTTCAGAAAAGTCCACCTCTTTGCCGCCTCTGAAGATGCGGATCAGATTCACGGATACTCCAATGATTCCATGCAGTTTTAGAGCAACTGTAGACCATCGGTCAAACTGGGACACTTTGACTGTGTGAACTTTGCCTGCATCATCAGTAATTGGCATTTTCTGAACACTCAGTTTGTGGTACAGGCCAATGGTTGATAGTTTCAGCGTATCATTGTCATCTACTCGGTAGTATCCGAGGCAAGTGCTCCAGTTGACTACCTTCCGCTTGTGGTATAATACTAGAGTGTGTTTGGGTAGATACAGGTCAAATAGGGCCATGATGTCCGGTGTGTTCTTGGTCACTGTTCGTCGTAACACTGTCCAAATAACATTCATTCCAGTCATACACGGGTCCAGATACAAATGGTATGTGCTGCCCCAGAAAGTCTCAACATGGACTAACATATCATACAGTATATGCACCATGACAAAGATAGTTGAACTCTTTCCTATCCTATAGTTGAAAAGGTATTGCCTGTTTTCTAATGGCTGATCCTTGAACAATAAATCAAGTCTCTCCATGGCTAAGCCCCTTTCCTGTTGGAGTCGAAACTTCAACTGAAGAACTGTCATAAATAATTCGACCTCCATCTCAAATTTCATGTTCAGCTGTTTGATTTCAATATTGACCTTCACCAACTCTTTTGGCATAATCAAGATGGCTGCCCCAGATTCCACCTTGTAGAACTGGGAGATGTCCATGGGATGGTTGGTTCCGGGTTTCAGCATCATCAACTTATGGATCCTTTGGTCGTACTGAAGAGTCTCCTTGGTCAGTCGTAGAATTGTTGACAGGTCATCACTGATGACCGGTGTGTACAGGTTGAGGGTATCTGGGTCTTTGTATGACCACATGACCAACTGCTGACCCAGTACACCATCAAGGTCAAGGCCGTCCAACAATGAACTGTGGTACAGCCCGTCATCACTGTCATCATCTCTTTGTATTGCTTCCAGTTTCCTTTGTCTCTCTCTCCTCTTCTGTAACAAGTAGATTCATTGTTAACACAAGATGTCTAAATAATTGACTAATTGAAGAAACAGAAAATGAGAAGGGTTTCTTTGCAATACAATTAACTCAGTTTCACTTTTTAATTTTTAAGCATTTTTTACCTGTCAGTTATTCTTTTGTTGGAAATTAAACAAAGATTGAAACACTTGATATGGTCTACAGATTAAAGTGTAAATAAAAAAAAATCACTGATATGCAGTTTCGTATAGGACCCAAGTGTTAACAATTTATCTTATACATTACAAAGTATGAGTAATTTTGTATGCAGACCACAGAATATTATTGTACACAACCCAGTACAGAATTAAATACAACCCAAATAATGAGTCTTAACTTTCTGAGAAAAATATGAATTTTGTTTTAAACCAAATCAAACTTTCAAAGTGACTTACCCTCTCTTTCACCCTCCTTCCCCGTGGGTCTCGGAGCTCCAGTGGATTGTCATGATATATTCCGTACATTCTTGTTCAATCACAGCTGATTTCAGCTCAATGTCTTTCTTTCTAAATCCATAAAATGAAATCTTTTGAGATTATTCCATATCCTCACAACTGACACTCACTTTCTCAATGAAATGATTTGAGAAATTGTCGTATGACAAGAAAGTGACTAGCTGTCGGCCATGTTTGCCTGTGTTGCTAATACAAACAGTGAGGTAGGGCCTGGCCGCACTTAAACTGGGTAGACACAAACATATACCAGCTCCTCACAGTCACCTAGCTGTCATTTCACCAGTGTGACGCTTCACTGCACCGATCACTTTATCTTGATTTCAATACCAATAACGGAAAGCAAGCACACGTTTCAATGGCCTATTGACTTGGGGAGAATTGACACTGACGTAGGCTCACAAGTATTTGCTTTGTTGGCGTTGCAATGAAAAGGTCATATGATCTTGTATATTAATGTACAAGCATTACTGCAACACAACGTGAATATATCTCCATTGGCTCGTCAGTGTGAGAGAAATATAGCTATTATCTTGTATAAGCCTATAGTGTGTAGTATGTTTAAGCTGTAAGATACACTGATCATTCATAGAGAAAGTCACATTAAAAATATAGGCAGCCATCGATAAAGGTTGCAATACTAACTATTTATATCAAATATTGCATTTATATCAATAATAAATTATTTATTATTCATATTTGTTAAAATAATATTGATGATTCATTTTCAAATTTTGACGATATATGTTACATGTTGATTATTATTAGTGTTTTTTAAATGAAAGTTTATGAAACTATTCATTGTACTGATTTTCTGAGTCAGTCATTCAGTCAATGATTATTATTGATTATTTTTGATCCACTGATAAATATATCTTTGCTAATAAATATGATTGAAAATGGCCTGATGTAGCTATACAGGTAGAAAATGGTGAGATTATTGCACTTATGATCCTTTATCAATCTGAAGTTTTAACTGAAAATGTTCTGAAATTATATTTAAAAATTCAATTATTTAACTAGAAAAACAAAGAATCAAAGAAATTGCTAAAAAAATATTTTACAAAATTAGGAATACATTTGAATACATTATGAAAATTACTGTGTATATGTTGAAACCAAGTTTATGTTCTATCTATAAGTTAATCTTCATAATTCACAAAAAATCAACATCAAAACCCATAATCATTGTCTTTCATATGTTGTGTTTAAGTAATTCATCTCAAGTAAAACTACAAGTTCCCACAACCATATGTCATCCTGTATTTAATATGTAACATGTTTGTTTTTCAGTACACCCCTGGTATCTACGAGATCCAGAGGCGAGAAAACAGATGTATTCTCAAGTTCCCAGATGCTCAGTCCGACTTGGAGGGAGAGTACACTTGCCGTTGTGGAGACGCTATCACTAGCTGCGATCTCTATGTGGAAGGTAAACTCTCATTGAGAAAGGCATCCTCAATTGTTTCCACTCTCTTAAAAAAACATCCATTTTTTTATTATGGGGCCAAGACTCAGGAACACATGAATTGACTTAGACCAGATCAGACTAAAAGACAATTATGATTTTGCTTTTGGATAGACTTATTTGATTTTTGTATTTACTAATTTTTGACGCATAATTCAGGTTAGTGATTCAAAGTAAATAAAATTATAATTTGAAAAGTGACTGAAAGTCAATAATGAAATGTCTTTCCGATAGACTTATTTGTATTTTGATTTACCAATTTTTGTCCCAAACTTCAGGTAGTGGTTCAAAACAAATAAAATTACAATTTAAAATATGAAATATTGTCCTCTTAATTAGAAATAGGTAGAAGAAATTTCTGTTTTAAAGTTTTAAAGAAAAGTTTTGATATTTAGTTTTTATTGATAGTAAGAGTGAATGAGTTCTAATATTTGACATTTTTCTGATAGGAATAAAACCCCAATATTTTGTATTAATGTTTTTCATTCCAATTTGTATTTTTGGAGTCAGTAGATTAGGAATGTATGTTCAATATGTAAATATCTGAAATATGTAAATATTAATATGATCATCGTATCAGAACCTGAGTGGGAGTTCATGAAGAAGCTGGAGGATGTAGAGGCTGTTGAACGTGAAAAGGCCATCTTCACATGCGATGTCAGCGACCCAGAGGCTGAAGTCAGCTGGTTCAAGGATGAGAAGGTAAGAGTTATCCCCCTTTCTCGCAAGGACATCTTTAATTACTTCAATAGGTTTCTTTGAGGTGCAAGGTCAGTTTTATTGTTTTCGTAAGATCTTTTCTGAGCCCATGGACCCTAACTCCCTCATGTGCTCCAGTGTAAATGCTAAACCTCAACACAGCAATATTTCATTCACTTCACAAATGAATATGCTCCATGTTTTAACAGCAATATAGCCATTGTCAACAGGTTGGTTACTGGAGGTCCAACTCTATCCTGCTCTGAATTGTAAATGGGATTTTAAATATTTTAAAATAATACGGAAATTTAAATCTCACCTTGCACCTTTAATAATTTTCTACATGCAATTATAACCTGTCATCGATATTATTGAAACCTATCTGTGATATTTCATGATTATTTAATGTCACATCCTGCTGACATACACCAGACTCCTGGGCCTAGATTTTCGAAGCTTTCTTAGCGCTAAGATAGTCGTAAGTGCCATACATTAACATTAACTTATGACTATCTTAGCGCTAAGAGAGCTTTGAAAATCTAGGCCCTGGTACTGAACCCTGAAGTAATATCTAACAAATAACACACCATGTAAAATTCAAAGTACTAAATCCTGTTCACTTGTATTAAAATATTAACACATATTGTAACGTAACACATAATTGTCTGCATTATTTATGTTAAATTTGGATTTTTCATTTGAACTGAGTTATAATGTAGTGATTGTTGTACTTATTGTTTTATATTGTTGTGTTTGTTGTTGTACTAATTTTGTATTGTTGACTTAACGCCTAACAGACAGAGACTGGTGAAATTGTTACCATCAAGCTTAACACCGAGGAGGTATACCTGTAGTAACTTAGCTAAATTGTTTCAACTGAATAGTATAGTCTTTCCCACCTACTAGCACCCCATAACATTATCTCATACTCCCTATATCATACATTGTTACATTTTGTACATAGCACCCTGTAGCACCCCATAATATCATCTCATAATATCTATACAATACTTTGTTACATCTTGTATATAGCACCCTATACCACATACTAGGGCTGGCTATCTGAGGTGAGGTGAGGTGAAATTGGGTTTTACGTCGTGCTTGAGAATATTTCGCTCATATGACGACATGCATGCGTGTGTATGTGTATGTGCGGCTGCTTGTACTAGCCCAGACTTAAGCTGGTTTTATAGTGCTAGCCCACTGAGATACCATGCCGCTGTGAAGCATGAATACCCCCTTAGACACATTATACTGACTCCGAGCCAACCAGTCCTTGTTGTACCCATTAATGCCAAGCGCCAGGCAAGGACCAACAAGTACCATATTTTAACGTCTTTTGGTATGACGCAGTCGGGGATCGAACCCGCGACCTTCCGCTCTCCGGGCTGGCTATCTGAAGCTCACAGAGATCGAAAAGTATTATCTAAGTATCTATCGATTATTCTAAAGTGCCAGAGAAGTAAATTTGATAAAAACAGGAAAATATTCCCAAAGAAATCAAGATATTTTACACCATGGGTTAGTGATATGTTTATATATATTCATGAGTTACCGATACCAACGAGCACAAGCATCCTGAACACACCGCAGAAGCAGCCTTTGAATAATATAAGATATAATGTGTGCACATTAAATCTTTATTTCATCTCAACAGTTTAAGTATGATATTATCATTGAAACAATTTCATGTTGATAATTGTTGCTAATTCTTTTCCATGGACCATATTTCTGATTATCAAACCCTTTAGCCAGCCATGTCATATTCTCATCTCCATTATTACAACTTGTACCCTTTTTTTATTATACAGTAATGTTGATGTCATAGTCATGGTGAAATCTCAGATACTATACCCAGAGACCATATAATACCCAAGAAAACTAAATCGTCTTGGGTAACCATGACATTATTTGTTTTAGATATGTCAATTTTTTTCTGAAGCTTTAAATACAGGTAATCAGTTTACTGAGATTCCACTATGACTTCACTATAGTATCAGTTCCTTTAGTCCTTCATTTTCCTTTCCTTTTCCTATCACCATTAGTGGTATGCACTATTTGTAACTCTCCCCTATGTATGAGGATTACCTCCCTTTCCTAGTATCATTCATGGTGGTTCAATAAATGTGTGTTGATACATTAAAGTTTGCCGAAAGAAAACTTAATATTTATGAACTAAAATACACATGTGAAATCCTAGAAAAGGAGTTCTCTCCCTTTTGAAATTCATATTTTGAAAAACAAATTTACAATTTGAAAAAGACAAAAATTATGCTCTTTGTGGCCCTAATGTTGCCACAAGATCATAAATTGGCACTTGTAAGCCTGTGTATATTATGTAGGTCTAATTTCCCAAGTACAGTTTAATTCTTACTGCATGTCAGTTTCTATATAATTCTTAACTTTAAAATTATGTTTCAGTTTCATATGTTCAGTTTTAATGACATTAACACAATCATTAATAAAGATTTACTTAATCTAACAGTACACTGCACGTTTCAGTTCTCTACTGTAAATTAACCAATCAATGATGCTGAAAAATTGAAGGTAGGTGTTTTACATACCTTTAACTTAGAGCTGACATTGACTTTTTTAATTTGACCTTCAGGAACTTAAAGCAGGTGGTAAATTCCTGTTTGAGAAGGATGGCTTGAAGCGCCGTCTGGTTGTGAAGAACTGCAGTATCAAGGACGATGCCAAATACAGCTGTCATATGCTCAACCAGTCCACATCAGCTGATCTGTTTGTGTCTCGTAAGTGATTGTTTTAAGTGCTGTAAAGGATAATTGTACAATGCGCAATGTTGTTCAGTGCTCACATCATTGACGACTAGATTTTATTGTTCAGGTTTGATGAGAGAGCTTCACAGCACCATCCTGGGCAAGAATCATACTTTAGAGAAAATTCTGTCCTCTTCCTTTTTGTCTTTTTTTCTTTGTTTGTTTGTTTTTGTCAAAATGTCATTGCAACTCATTGCATATAGTACTTCCCCTTTCCTGCAAGATCATTTATGATCATCTGTATGTGGTAAAATTTTACCTCTGTCTCAATGCTTTCTTCCCTTTGGAGCTAGCAGGCCAGGGTAGGATTGATGTTTCTGGTCAATACAATGTTAACCTTAAGTCTGTATTCTTAGCTGATGTCCGCTTCATGAAGAAGTTGGAGAACAAGACCGTGAAGGAGGGCGAGAACCTGGTCCTGGAATGCAAGGCAGCCAACCCTCACAAACACCCTGTCAAGTGGTTCAAGAATGGACAACCTATTGGAGATGATGTTAGGTCAGTATCAGAGTTGTCTGCCCTCTTTTCAGAGTTATCTCCCTTCAGTTAATGGAACGTAGGGTCATAGAAGAGAGAGAATTGATTTCTAAATTTGAATTTTAAATAGATGTTAACAGTTTTATATTTGTGCCCAAATATGGTCAATAAAGAATGTAAAATACCAATAAACCTAATTTTGAAGCTTTGAGAAAGAATTTTGAAATTGAAAATAAGTGACATTCTCTAAGTAACAAAGCAGGGTTACTGATGTATTTTCTCACTCGTCAGGATCGACATCACACAGAAGGGAGAATCCTTCAAGCTGACCATCAAGGGAGCCAAGCCAACAGATGAAGCTGAATACAAGCTTCAGATTGGTGAACGACCAACCAAGTCTCAGGTCACCGTTCAAGAACGTGAGTAGCAGAATGACTGAAATAACGAATGCAAAGGAATCATGTGGGCAGGAAACACATGTCTCATTCAGGGGCAATGGGGTAGTCTAGTGGTCAAAGCGTTCGCTCGTCATGCCAAGGACCAGGGTTCGATTGCCCAGATGGATACAATTTGTGAAGCCCATTTCTGGTGTCCCCCGCCACGATCTTGCTGGAATATTGCTAAAAGTCGCCTTAAACGAAATTCATTCACTGGTTTAGTTGGCCCTAATGAAAAATAAGGTGAGAAGGGAAAAACATCACGAGACGCATTGTATTTACTCTAGCCGAATAAAAGTCATTTACCCACTCAGTCTGTCACTCAGTCAGTGTTCCATTCAGCTTGAATATTGGTCACATACAAACATAATTTAAGTCATTGTACATGGTGACAGCTAGGCTGGTGATAGTCATAGTGTAAATTTGACATCCACGTGGGACTATGATCCATGTATTTGTGTCTTACAGAGCCCAAGCCTCCCAAGATTGACCCTAGTGCTATTCCCAAGGAGATCTTTGTGAAGAAAGGAGAAAGGATTGAACTTGACATTCCTTTCGTTGGTGAGTAGTGATGAGAGTACTGTAACATTGGTTATTGTCAGGAAAGTCAGCTAGGTGCTGCTTACGGCCACCATCAGTTTTGGAACTCCTGGATCTTCACAGGGGTGCCACACTTCTCTTGATAGAGTTATACTCCAGATTGTTCCAAATTCTGAAATAATTGACCATTATTGTCTTTCAGTGGAGCTCCTAAAAACATAACTTTCTAACTAAAATTCAACTATTTCCCAGGCGCCCCTCTTCCAAGAGCACAATGGGCAAAGGATGGCCAGCCTCTTAGTGAAGCTGACCTTGACATTGAGACATCTAAGGCCACACCAAACTGATCATCCCAGATGCCCAGAGAACTGATACCGGAACATATGAGCTGTCCTTGACCAACGAGGCTGGTTCCGACAAGATCCCAGTCAAGATAACTGTTATGGGTAAATATATTCTATTTATTGACGTCATCCCCAAACTGTCAACTCATGAGACACATTACTAAAACTGTTTCTTAAAGTTGATGGAAGTGACTTAAAGTCCATTAACCTAACTGACCCATGAATTTTTCATACTAAATGTGTCTTGCATTCTTCAGACAAGCCTGGCAAACCCAAAGGACCCCTGGATGTGACAGACATCTATGCCGATCGCTGTGCCCTGTTGTGGGACAAACCAAAAGATGATGGTGGCGCTCCTATCACTCACTACTTGGTTGAGAAGATGGACTCTGCTACTGGTAAAATATTTGCTTTTGTGTTTGGTGTTGCTCTTACTTTACATACAAGAACAGAGGTCACATATGTACTTAGCGTACATTAGCAATTCCATTTTCCTTGATAGCAAAATGTATTTCATGCAAGAGTATCATCATCTTATTTCACCATCTTGAACCAACACAAAAGTAATGGTTGTCTATAGTCATGAATTTATTTGGCAGATTTTCTTAATTATACTTCCTGTCGGTTATCGTATGTCTTATTGACTTCAGGCAAATGGGAGCCAGTCTGTGAGACAGATGACCTTGAAGTTGATGTCAGTGACCTGACACCAGGTCACAAGTATCAGTTCCGTGTGGCCGCTGTCAACTCGGAAGGCGTCAGTGAATATTTACCATCAGACGGAGAAATCCTTGCCAAGGATCCATGGGGTATGTCCTTGATTGTTTTCAATGTCATTTTCCTGCTGAACAGATGGAGTAATCTAAGATATACTCACTATCTCTGCAGGTGATCCAGTTTATCATCATGTTTAATACCAACATCCAAATGCACAAATCTCATTCATGGTGTTGCAAGAGCGATGCTGTCGACATATTTATTCACACTGTATCAACATCTGCATCTATCTCTTCCAGATCCTTCCGATCCACCAGGAACTCCAGAAATCATTGATTACGACAAGGACTATGCCGAAATCAAGTTCGACCCACCCAAGAAAGATGGTGGCGCCCCCATCCAGAGTTACGCAGTTGAATACAGAGAGAAGGGAACAGAGGAATGGAAGAAGGTAAGTCCAACAGGGATGAAGCAAAGCTAGTTCATGAAGTCGAAGAAGAGTCACGTCAGGAACTCTCAGAAATCACTTCAGTTCTGATCCAAATTGAAATGCACTAAAATGCAACTGTCCTGTCATGTTGTCCTCTATTGCCACAGGGTACTGACGTTCCCGGTTCAGCTGACACCGCAACTGTCGATGGCCTTAAGGAAGGCAAAGAATACGAGTTCCGAGTCAAGGCTAAGAACAAGGCCGGACTATCGGAGGGCAGTGAGTGCTCCGGACCTGTGGTCCTCAAGTCAAGGAGAGGTACTGCTGTTGCTGTTGTAGCTCTTATATCCTTTACATTTTCACATCTTATATCCTTTACAGCTCACACCTTATATCCTTTACATTTTCACACCTTATATCCTTTACAGTTCACACCTTATATCCTTTACATTTTCACACCTTATATCCTTTACAGTTCACACCTTATATCCTTTACAGTTCACACCTTATATCCTTTACAGTTCACACCTTATATCCTTTACAGTTCACACCTTATATCCTTTACAGTTCACACCTTATATTTACAGTTCACAAAATACCTGGGTTTTCAGAATATTGAGGTTATACTGATTTAATATGTATAATTGATGAACAAATTGTAGTTAAGTACATACTGCATGTTTTACCTTGACTCAGAAAAACAGTCACATTCTTTGAAAATTTAAAATTTAAAATCACTTCAAGGCATTAAAAGAAACTCAAATGCCACATAAAGATACACAATAACCACAATCAACAAATGCTTGTCTCTATACTGTTTTGCGTTTCCTTGCAGTTAAGCCCGTATCAACCACCAGGATGTCACCAAGAAGATTCAGATTAAGGCCGGGCAGCCCTTCTCTATCCCTGTCACCTATATTGGCGAACCAGCACCCAAGGCAACATGGACTGTCAAGGGACTGGTACGTTTCTGCTGACATTAGAATCTTTCTGCAGAACCATGACAATACGATATGACCTTCTGGATGAAACAACCTTTTGTCACGTTTGTTTCAACATTATTGTCCACTAACAAAATTATTTCCTGGCAATATTTTTACAATATTTTATATTTAATGTCCCAACTCATACAATGAAGAATCAAGATTTAACAACATTGATTTATGTGATTTATTGATTTATTCAAGCGATAAAGAAATATAGAAAATAAATAAACAAGAATCCACATCAAAACAAATATGAATATATTTATTCAAGCAGTTATACAAAAGTATTTGTAATCCAGACGGCATATCGGCTTGTGATGGTTGAATGTTTCTGACAACACGCTTGATGCCCTTTCTGCAACTGCAGTGGACGTGTGTTGCCTACTGTTTTCCTATCTAAATATTTTGTTCTGTAAACGTGTTCCACGATATAAGCCTGTATGGCCTATATATTCTGTTTTGTGTTGGAAACTTGTGTTTCCGTGTCTCATACATGTGCTATATATGTTTCCCTCCTTTCATGTTGACAGAAGTGTCTGAATGCTGTTTTCAAAAATTTGACATTATATCACAGCATGTTAGAATATTGGGGGAGAAAGGTTATGTGATTAATACCATAGACGCTTACCATTTGGAAATCTGCTCAATTCACTTTTTTAATTGAAAAATAATGTAAAATTCATGTTTTAAGAAACCATTACTATTTTGAGATTTGGCAACCTCGCTTTTGGAACCATTAAGGTAATTCTGCTTCACTTTTTTGAAAAGTTGTAAATTTTCATAAACAGGAATGGGAATATATTTTTTATTTTTGTAAAACTTTGAACTGTTGAAAGAACCTTGAGCATTTAAATTTTCCTGTTGCTTATATGGTATTGTTCAGTGATCAACCCATATATGTTTCCTGTGGGGTGGGCACTGGGTGTACTTGTGACCACTGGGTGTATTCGTGACCACTGGGTGTATTCGTGACCACTGGGTGTATTCGTGACCACACAGAGTGTACTTGTGAGCACACAGTGAGTATTTGTGAGCGCACAGTGTGTTTGTGACCACAGATCACAGAAACTATTTTACCTGTCTTTTAATCATTGCTTCAAATCCCATCTTTTCATGCTGAATGTTCCATCACGTTGTGTTGAAAATGTCCTGATTTCATGCTGGATATCTCATCTATCTGTGCCTTTTTGCCCAACAGGATGAACCGGTAAGTGTGGCTGTAACGTGTTACATATAAACATGATATAGCCTAGCTTAGAAATACATCTATAATCTGTCTAAACCTGTCTACATGTCTAGAATGTCTAAAGCCTGTCTATACGTGTTGTCTATTTGTGTTGTCCATAACGTGTCCGAATGTAATCTGTCTAAAACCTCTTTGTATGAGGATATGTTGTTTTAAACATGTTCTGTCCAGAGGTAACATTGTATTACTGTCTTCTGTTCAGAGGTAACTTTGTGTTACTGTGTTCTGTTCAGAAGTAACTTTGAGTTACTGTGTTCTGTTCAGAAGTAACTTTGTGTTACTGTGTTCTGTTCAGAAGTAACATTGTGTTACTGTGTTCTGTTCAGAAGTAACATTGTGTTACTGTGTTCCGTTCAGTGGTAACTTTGTGTTACTGTGTTCTGTCCAGAGGTAACATTGTGTTACTGTCTTCTGTTCAGAGGTAACATTGTGTTACTGTCTTCTGTTCAGAGGTAACATTGTGTTACTGTGTTCTGTTCAGAAGTAACTTTGAGTTACTGTCTTCTGTTCAGAGGTAACTTTGTGTTACTGTGTTCTGTTCAGAAGTAACTTTGTGTTACTGTGTTCTGTTCAGAGGTAACATTGTTGTGTTACTGTCTTCATGTTCTAACCACTGACTTTCTTTACAGAGAACTTCTTCAAAGTGTGTAGACATACCCTTTCACAAACTGTCGGGAATAATCTTCCTGTTACTTTGAAAATTTTGTACATTCTCTTTGACACAAAAACAACGCTGATCTCAAAGGACCGACTGCAATGTTTTAATTTGGTCGATAATTCAAAATGATTAGGAATTTTGTAGCAATCAAACGATCTGGGTTTTTTTGGCTGAGAGCACTGGAATGGTTTGACTGAAGACAACAATGTAGATGTAAAACAAAACTGTACTCCAAAATAATCTTGAGGTTCGACACAAAGTGTCGATATCTTAATCTGAGCCAATACTGATAGCATGTAAAAACAATACAATCATATGAAGACAAATAACTTGAGAGTGGCCTTACCTGTCCGGTAAGCATTTCGGAGATGTGATTTTCAAATATTCACCATCCATCCAGATTAACTTTTGACTTCCAGGGCATTTCGGAGATGTGATTTTCAAATATTCACCATCCATCCAGATTAACTTTTGAATTCCATCAAGTTGTTATTGTCCCTGACAGTGCAGGTCTACACACTTTAACTATCTACAATCTTTCCTAGTCTTTCTAACCCCTCCTCCAGCCAGACTCTGGCTCAGTCTTACTGTCCTGAGTTGTCTGTAAACTTTCAGATGGGACCTCCTGGTTCTGTAAGTAACTTACACCATGACCCCCTCACTCACTCACCCAACATCACCCACCCTGCTCATCATGCAACCTTCATCACCCATGCCTCATCACCTTCCACATCACCTCTGACCACAAGCTGGAGGGTTGAATGTTAATAATCCAAACAAATAAAGCATGACGTCTTGCTTTTGAATTATTCATATTCAACAGAAGTTGTTCGTTTTAAGCCTCACTACAGCTATGTGAAGGTTGGGTCAGTGCCAGTGTGAACTGTATAGACCTGATGATAAAGTCTTGGAGTGTTCGATGTTCATGAAGGTTCTGGTAATAACATTTTATGGTGTGAATAGCGACTTCTTTATTGCCACTTTTGTGACGTATTGGTGCAGATACAAATGCCATATTTATTCAACAGTTAATCTAATCATTTGAGTTTATGGTCTGAAAACTGAATAGAATAAAAAAATCTAAAAGTATTTTCTTTGAATGTCTTGATGGTTGGCAGAGAGATAAAACAAATTATTAACAAAAGTGTCACTTTGATGCTTTCTTTATTGAAAGATTAAGCATCTGAAACATATATTGATCTAATTGAGATATGGTATTTCAGTTTTTGTTTTGTATTCAGTAAATAGATAAGTGAACTAAGAAACTAGATATACGTCTGAAGTGGTAGTATCAACTCTGAACCATGTCACATATATATGAAGTGGCTGGGCATACCATTGCTTGTTATGACCTTGACCTTGCATGAGAAACAGACCTATGGTACACATAGCGCCAGGTTTCGGAAAAAGATGTTTTCTGTGTCTGGCCAAATCACAGAAACCTGCATAAAAGTTAGTGGACTTGTGAGGGTCGGGTTAGACGGTGCCAAATTCTCTAAAGTGATTCAACTAAAATAATAATAACTACCATTCATTAACAGAGACCTATGCAGCACAAAGATCACTTTGAAGAATGAGGCAATACGAAGGTCCATTCCATGTTCCTGGTGTAAATTAGGTTACTATCATCCATTAATGCAATACTGTTATCATGTACATTACATACTCCCCCTTTGAAAAATCTGAAATCTGATCTTGAAGAAAAGTGTCATCAGAAAAAGAGATTATATATATTTCACATCGTCTTCAAGAATTATTCTGTGAGAAATTTGGATGCTCATCAAAAGAGGCAGACTGTGAATTGATGCTCAGCTGTTTACAACTGCATCACTTAAGACGGTGCTGTTTCTTCATCGTTTTTGACATATTCCTGTTGTCAGGCCATGCATTTCTAATCCTTGCTGTTCAGTAATGTTCAAGTTCTTGTTCTTTTAATCATTCAACTGGTATTCTTCACTTTCTGCTGTTTCGGTCAAGAAAGCTCTTCTTTCACATCAAGGCCATTTCTTGCTCTGTCGTGAACAATGGTGAAAAACAATCACTTGTGTCTCATTCTTCCTCTACATGAAACATTATATTGATGTTGAACTGATAAGCATCATCCAAAAACTTTAAAATAGCAGCCTGCCCCGATACCTCCATCAGTTGAGAACATCAACCTATCTGTACCTGCCTGAAACCTACGACTGTAATCTTTGTATCATGGGGAAATTTTATCAGCATCTTCTTGCATCAGTGTCTTAGCTTAGTCCATGAATCGTCCTTCATGATGAACTTTGATCACTCTATCAATACCTGCCTCAAACCTACAATAGTAATCTTTGTATTCTGAGGAAACTTCATCAGTGTCTTCTTGCATCATCATCTTAGCTTAGCCCATGGATCATCCTTCTTGATGAACGTCATATTTTCACCAGTACCTTTGACCAACTTCAGATCAACCTTCTTCAGTTGGCCAATCTCAGAATGATACATCCCTTCCTAAACCCAGGCCCTCTCCATGTTCTCTCCAGAGGTGCCCTGCATCATGGGCAATCCAAACATACATGTTTAATGAAACACTAGCTGTGTTTGATGTTAAACCTGTCAAACACTGAACTTGAACCACAATTATGATTCCATTTAGAAAATGGTCATATGTAACATATATTATATTTGGGATTACACTTTCTAAGTAAAGTACAGATTCTACTACTTTTGTTGGGTTGAGTCCCATCCGGGATTTGAACCCACACCCTCAGAGTCAGGTACCTAATCGCCAGCACAAAGGTCAGATGCCTAACCCCCTCAGTGGACGCCATGGTGACTGAGTGGGTTAGGTACCTGAATCTGAGGGTGTGGGTTCAAACCCAGCATGGGACTCAACCCAACACAAGTACTTGAATCTGTACTTTACTGAGAAAGTGTAACCCCAAATGTAACATATGTTACATTTATGATTGCATGATGTGTTGAATGAGGGATTATATATGGTCCCAGGGATTATGAATCAGGTTAAGCTGTTTCTATAATACATTAATTTTTGTTTAAAATATTAACTTTTTTGCAATAAACATCTTTCCAACTTAATTTGTACCAAATGCACACAATAGTTAGTGTCTAACTGTTGTTTTCTGGATGAACACTGTATTGGTGTTTATTTCTTAATATCAGCTATTAAAACATTCCATGAAGATGTACTTATCAGGTATTAACTCACAGCACTATGTTTATTGACATATATCCTTTTGGATTTAACACATGTAACCTTTTGGATATAACATTTATAACGAAGGCAATATGACATATTGACATATTTAACATTTATATATAATGCCTATAACATTGGGTATATAACATTATAACATTGGGAATATAACATTTATAACATTGGTATATAACATTTATAACATTGGGTATATAACATTTATAACATCAGACTACATTTATAAACTGCAGATTAAAACATTTAACCTTGTGGATACATGTATAACATTTATAACACTGGGGATGTATTATGTATAATCTTTAGGATATTACATTTATAACCTTTGGGATATAACACACACAATTTCTCTTTTTTCCACATACAATTAATATCAATGTACACATATTAAATATTTATTTCAATGGCTTTCTTGACAGCTTTTAAGGAGTTAAACATGTTTTATGAAGAAGTGTACATACAACGTTATCAATTACCTTATTAACTTGAAAGACTGTATTCTGTTTCCGGGCCCGGAAAATCTTTGTCATAGATAAAGTTATAGAGGTGATGAGAGGAATTATTTGATGTCAGAATTATGAATTAGATTATCAAAAGTTGGTGTACAATTATATGACCAATAGACAATGTTAATTGATATGTATGATCTTTGTGTTGAAGGTAGTCTATCCAAATGAGTTTTACTGGTGTTTATAATATGTTGTGTAATACTTGTAGGCTGGAACTGAGATTCCTCTCGAACCATCAGAGAAGGTGGCTATCAATAACGAGCCAAAGAAGTCGACTGTGGACAACAACAAAAGTGTCAGGAAGGACACGGGTCTCTACACCATTACTGTTGCCAACAAGCATGGCCAAGATACAGAAACAGTGGAAGTTGTTGTCCTTGGTGAGTGGTAACCTTCACCTAGGGGGGACAACTCTGAAATCAGTACACTTTTTGATAAAAAGCAAAGGATACTCAGGGCATAAAAATGATTTGGTAATTTGTCAAATATTGAAGATTATATCACCTCTTCTTTCTATCTGGATCATATTTTTTGTATTATTATTTTATTATGATATTATCATAACACATTACCTTTACTTATATGTTAATATCCTCGACCCATTTCTCTTATCAAAATCTTGGCACATAAGTTTCCTCACTTATGTATGGTCTTTGATTGCATAGGTAATTTTAGCATTGTGGAATTTGAATCAGACAAAAATGAACAAAATGGCACCAAAAAATATATATCTGATAAATATACTGAATAATTGAGGATGCACTTCTTCTGATGGCGAATGAAAGGTGCTGTTAATCCTATCTGGTCTAGTCAATGGGATCCTAAAATCTGAAACCACAAATGCTTTTGTTCTTTAAATATAGAATTTCATCATCGACTGTATTCAAAAGTGTTAAAGTGCAAATCATACTTTCATACTATATGAAGATATATGTTTCAACTGTTCTGTTACCCAGGTCCACCATCAAGACCATCTGGTCCACTGGCTGTCAAGGATGTAACCAAGGATAGCGCCACTTTGAGCTGGAAACCTCCCCCAGACGATGGCGGCAATGATATCACGTGAGTTGAGTACACTCTTGTCAAGAAGAAATAAAAGAATCATTTGACATTTCTATGAACACATCAATGCATAGATTGATTCTCATGATGCAGTCACTGAATTATCTGGTTTGGACTTGATTATTTACAGACTGTTGTCATATACAACACTCGTTATATTTTGAATGACACTTTCTCAGTAAAGTACAGATTCTTGTACTTTTTGGGGTTGAGTTCCATGCAGGATTCGAACCCTCTCAGAGTCAGGCACCTAATCGCCAGCACACAAAGTCAGATGCCTAACCCCCTCAGTGGACGCCATGGTGGCTGAGTGGGTTAGGTACCTGAATCTGAGGGTGTGGGTTCAAACCCAGCATGGGACTCAACCCAACAAAAGTACTTGAATCTGTACTTTACTGAGAAAATGTAACCCCAAATATAACATATGTTACATTTATGATTGCATGATGTGTTGAATGAAGGATTATATATGGTCCCAGGGATTATGAATCAGGTTAAGCTGTTTCTATAATACATTAATTTTTGTTTAAAATATTAACTTTTTTGCAATAAACATCTTTCCAACTTAATTTGTACCAAATGCACACAGTAGTTAGTGTCTAACTGTTGTTTTCTGGATGAACACTGTATTGGTGTTTATTTCTTAATATCAGCTATTAAAACATTCCATGAAGATGTACTTATCAGGTATTAACTCACAGCACTATGTTTATTGACATATATCCTTTTGGATTTAACACATGTAACCTTTTGGATATAACATTTATAACGAAGGCAATATGACATATTGACATATTTTAACATTTATATATAATGCCTATAACATTGGGTATATAACATTATAACATTGGGAATATAACATTTATAACATTGGTATATAACATTTATAACATTGGGTATATAACATTTATAACATCAGACTACATTTATAAACTGCAGATTAAAACATTTAACCTTGTGGATACATGTATAACATTTATAACACTGGGGATGTATTATGTATAATCTTTAGGATATTACATTTATAACCTTTGGGATATAACACACACAATTTCTCTTTTTTCCACATACAATTAATATCAATGTACACATATTAAATATTTATTTCAATGGCTTTCTTGACAGCTTCTAAGGAGTTAAACATGTTTTATAAAGAAGTGTACATACAACGTTATCAATTACCTTATTAACTTGAAAGACTGTATTGTTTCCGGGCCGGAAAATCTTTAGATAGATAAAGTTATAGAGGTGATGAGAGGAATTATTTGATGTCAGAATTATGAATTAGATTATCAAAAGTTGGTGTACAATTATATGACCAATAGACAATGTCAATTGATATGTATGATCTTCGTGTTGAAGGTAGTCTATCCAAATGAGTTTTACTGGTGTTTATAATATGTTGTGTAATACTTGTAGGCTGGAACTGAGATTCCTCTCGAACCATCAGAGAAGGTGGCTATCAATAACGAGCCAAAGAAGTCGACTGTGGACAACAACAAAAGTGTCAGGAAGGACACGGGTCTCTACACCATTACTGTTGCCAACAAGCATGGCCAAGATACAGAAACAGTGGAAGTTGTTGTCCTTGGTGAGTGGTAACCTTCACCTAGGGGGGACAACTCTGAAATCAGTACACTTTTTGATAAAAAGCAAAGGATACTCAGGGCATAAAAATGATTTGGTAATTTGTCAAATATTGAAGATTATATCACCTCTTCTTTCTATCTGGATCATATTTTTTGTATTATTATTTTATTATGATATTATCATAACACATTACCTTTACTTATATGTTAATATCCTCGACCCATTTCTCTTATCAAAATCTTGGCACATAAGTTTCCTCACTTATGTATGGTCTTTGATTGCATAGGTAATTTTAGCATTGTGGAATTTGAATCAGACAAAAAAATGAACAAAATGGCACCAAAAAATATATATCTGATAAATATACTGAATAATTGAGGATGCACTTCTTCTGATGGCGAATGAAAGGTGCTGTTAATCCTATCTGGTCTAGTCAATGGGATCCTAAAATCTGAAACCACAAATGCTTTTGTTCTTTAAATATAGAATTTCATCATCGACTGTATTCAAAAGTGTTAAAGTGCAAATCATACTTTCATACTATATGAACCGAAGATATATGTTTCAACTGTTCTGTTACCCAGGTCCACCATCAAGACCATCTGGTCCATTGGCTGTCAAGGATGTAACCAAGGATAGCGCCACTTTGAGCTGGAAACCTCCCCCAGACGATGGCGGCAATGATATCACGTGAGTTGAGTACACTCTTGTCAAGAAGAAATAAAAGAATCATTTGACATTTCTATGAACACATCAATGCATAGATTGATTCTCATGATGCAGTCACTGAATTATCTGGTTTGGACTTGATTATTTACAGACTGTTGTCATATCATATACACACACTACAGATTCTTATACTTTTTTGAATGACACTTTCTCAGTAAAAGTACAGATTCTTGTACAAAATGGAAGTTTTTGGGGTCAAGAGTTCCATGCAGGCTTCGAACCCTCTCAGAGTCAGGCACCTAATCGCCAGCACACAAAGTCAGCAATCTAGCCCACTCAGCCACTGCGGCTTATACAAAGTGGAAGTTTGACAAATGGTAGTCAAGACCACATACTCTGTGTAGCCCTCATACAAGTGAAAATTGGCGGTTCCAATGGCCAAAGCTATGAATACACAAGGCAGTTTAGAGATATTGCTGATTGAGGCATTAAACAACAAACAAAGCCCAAAAATTCATCTAAATGTTTATTTCTGTGCAGCAATTACCGTGTGGAGAAGTTTGACACGAAGAAGGGCAAGTGGGAGAAGGTTGCGGATGCAGTTGGAAAGAAGTGTGTTGTTCCAAAACTTCAAGAAGGCCATGAGTACAAGTTCCGCGTCATTGCCGAGAACCGCAATGGAGAGTCCGAACCCCTGGAGACTGAGGATCCCATCACAGCCAAGAATCCATTTGGTATGTGTTTTTAAATGTTAGGGTTTTTATTATATCTTAGATGTTACTATTGCCTGCATGGAATTTTGTGTCTGCAGGCGAAAATTTGTCCAAGAAATAGAGCGTCTGCCCAGAGCTGGGAAGTTTAGTGTTCTCTTGGCAAGAGATAGTTGAGCTAGTGTCATGCCTGGTTTTCAGCATTAAGGAGAAGTACTGGTCAGCTTGGGGTCAGTGTAACATGTTTGAAAGGATAGTGTCCAATTGAGCTAGCCGAAGTTTGCACTGTACAAACGACACACACGTGTATGTGCTCCTGTATCGGTGAAATAGTCTTTGACGTAACATTAAACCGCTTTTCACCTCGAACCTTGTATTTAATGACACTCTCGCTTTTCTTCCAGATGAACCTCTACCTCCTGGTCAGCCCCAGATCACAGACACTGACCGCAACCACATCGACATGAAGTGGGACCCTCCAGAGGACGATGGTGGTGCTCCTGTCACCAGCTACGACATCGAGAGGAAAGATCCCAAGTCTGGTCGCTGGGTCAAAATCAACAAGGCTCCAGTGGAGGCAAGTGTTATCTGGGGATACAATCTGGCAGCCAGGACATAAAACACGTCTCATGAGAACGTGCATTAGAGATCCGTGATCGAGCAGGCACAACATGACACGTTATGAAACATCAGTTTGTGAAATAGTCTGTCCAAGTGTGCAAATTAGCATTAAATGTTACTGGCCTTTTCAATTTTCAGAAGTTAGATACGAGGGTACTTTTCAGAAATTTTAATTTTAATTTCAAAGGTAATAAAGTAACCTGAAATTCTTGAATTTAATCAAATGTTAAGTTTTACTTCATTGAGAAGATATTATCAATATCATAGCACTGATCGAATTCTGAATATGAATCTCCAGTTTAGTGTACAATCAAATTGTCAGAGTAGATGACCAAAATACTGCTCCTCACTCACATCTCAATATGTAACAACGTAAAGAGGGACATTTTAAATGAAGAAAGTTTCAGGAGAATGTCAGGGCTGAGTGAATTAACATGTTTTGTTCACTATAGTACTGACAATGTATATATATGTTCATGTCCAGGGCAACACTTACAAAGATGACAAGGTGTCTGAAGGAAAGGAGTACGAGTACCGCGTCATCGCCCACAACGAGGCTGGAGGCTCTGCACCCAGCCACGCCTCTAAGCCAGCCATTGCCAAGCCTACCAAGGGTTAGTATCAGAAATGGGTGGTGGGGTAGTCTAGTGAAAAAATGATGAACCAAAACTTGGTGGGTATCTCAAAATGCAAAAAGTAATTTAATCTTTGAAATATGAATACCTTTTAAGTGAAGTAGTAATGTGCATTATGGATGTTTCAGTTCTATTATTCTTGGCCAATGTTTTCAGGTATTCTGGAATTTAGTGTTGACGATATTTAACATCCATCCATCTGAATTCTTAAATATGTTGTGCCACTACATAATGACCTGTATAAAACACATCCTTACAGAGGCACCCAAGGTGAGTCTGGACAATCTCTTCGGAGCCAAGGAGATCCGTGTCCGTGCTGGAGAACCTCTGGACATTGCCCTGGGAATCAAGGGAGCACCTGCCCCAACTGTGGAATGGCTCCGGAATGGAAAGCCTGTTGGAGATAGAGTAAGTGCCCTGCACCTGTTTCAAGAAATATGGTTTTGTAACCAGTTCAGATATCTTGTTCTTTGACTGTTTGCTGTGAAGGACTGCAGACATGCTGATAAAGGGATAAAGTGAGACAATGACCTCATAATTCTTGCTGCTATAATGATAATAATAATGATCTGGCCCCGATTTCTCGAAACAAACTTAAGTTTTTACTCAAATTTCAAACTGAGTTTGACAATTTGAAACAGCTGAATTTTTAACTCAACTGCATTTTTTAAATGAAAAAGCCCAAACAACTTAAGTAATCCATCCACCAAACTCAAATTGTCTAGTATGTTTGAGTTTAATATCAATTTCAGTTCATTCTGCTAAATGCATTTTCTCTATTTGAGTAAAAACTCTAACTTAAGTCAAAACTCAGACTTAAGTTTCTTTCCAGAAATCGGGGCCTGGTTGTGTAATTTTGACATATTAAAGCTGATACATTTTTTCAAACAATTCTTGTGTATATTATTATAAATGTTTATATTTTAAAGCAATGGAAATATGTGATCAGAGTGAATAATGAACTTTATGTTTTCAAACTAAATATCAAAATAAATATTAGTTGCATATTAAACAATTTATGAAGTTATATTATGTTCTTTATCTTTGAAGTTAATACACACTCAATAATTCACAGTATCCATCATTCTGAAGCACTACTATCTTTGTATGCATATTTTCATTTATGGGGCGGTGGGGTAGCACCAAAGACCCAGGTCCAATTCCCCCACAATATGTGAAACCCATTTCAGGTGCCCCTAACCATGACATTGCTGGGATATTGCTAAAGTAGACATAAAACTAAACTCACTCACTCATCTACAGGCAAGAATGACCAACAATGAAACTGAGGCCAAGCTGAACATTCCCCGTTCCGAGCGTGGTGACACCGGCAAGTACAGCATCAAGGTGAAGAACGCCCATGGAGAGGACGTCGCGGATGTCAACGTTGTTGTCCTGGACAAGCCAGCTGCACCTGACGGACCTCTGGATGTTGCTGAGGTCACTGCTGAAACCTGCAGGCTGAAGTGGAAGCCACCAACAGACAACGGAGGCGCTGAGGTCACAGGTGGGTGCAGATATTGAACAGACTCAATCTTATCATGGAGAAATGTGTTTGGGCCAATATGCATGGAATATTGCCGTATATTACCGTAGATAAACCAGAATTTTGAGGACCATAAATGCAGGGGTCGGCTTATCTATGGAACATACCATTTTGAGACTGATTTTAAGGGTCAAGTTATGGGGTTGGCTTATCTATGAGATCGGCTTATCTACGGTAATATACGGTAATTGTTTGATCACTATTCTAGAAGTTGGTGAGTCAAAAAATGAAACATGCAACTTTATTGATGACAGTTTCTTGTTTATTGCATAGAGTGACGTTTTGATATAAGAATAACGGTGTAAGAATGTACATCCCTCCTTCTCCCGCAGGGTACGTCATCGAGAAGTGTGAGGAGGGTAGCACTCTGTGGGAGAAAGTGCCCGGACTGCCTACAGGAACATCTCACCTGGTCAAGGGGCTCAAGGAGGGAAAGACATACCAGTTCCGTGTCAAGGCTGAGAACATCTATGGCACTGGAGAACCTCTGGTTGGAAATAAGGTTCTTGCCAAGAATCCATTTGGTATGATACATATTGTTACCATTTTGATCATTATTTGGCCTTTTATGCGAAACTGAATCTGTTTCGACAGAAAACCGAGACTGTTTATAAATACTCTGGTGTTGACATTTTGTATTTGCATTTTGCAAGGGAAAGATATTACCATTACTTTATATCTTCAAATAAATACAGGCTCTCATCACTGAATGCATAGTAAAATTTTGACATTACCTTTCTATCAATATGCAAAATAACAACTTAATCCAAGATTTTAACTTTAGTGATGTCCGATAAATAAGGTCAAGGATACTTGTTATTTTTTTGTCATTTTTGTAGTTTAGCATATTGGATGTATTTCATCAAAAAAAAAATCAAATTGTTTCTGCAGACGCCCCAGATGCTCCCAGAGACCTTGCTATTGCCAAGTACGACAAGTTCTCCTGCACCTTGGAATGGAAGCCTCCATTGTCTGATGGCGGCAACCCTGTCACAGGTAGGGAAACAGATCACCTGACACATGTGTTACATAATGGGCACGGTGGCCTTGATATATTACGTGCCATAATTCGCTATGCAGAGTTGCATCCCTTGTGTACACAAAACCTGTGATCATGTTCAAACCCCTGTCCACCACAATTCTAGGTTTTCTGTACCATACCCTACTGTAGTAAACATTTGAGACACACATCATTCTAACTCTCCTCTCATATTAAGCTGACATGGATGATTTAACTGGAATAATGTTCAATTAGTGTTAAACCCATCTCACTCAGATTATTTTGTTGAATTGATGTAATTGTCATACCATTTGAAAACACAATGAATATAGCAGAGTATAGATATATCTATACTTGATATGGATCCTGTCAACAAGTATTTAATTTGTGAGATACATGGATGGTAGGCTGTTATGGACTTGTTTCTTCTTTAAGTCAAATTTATTGAAGTTGCCTGTTCATAAAATGTGTTCCTCTTTGACAATCTATTGTTGTTTCTGTCTGTAGGCTACGCTGTCGAGAAGAGGGAACGTGGCCGTGACTGGATCAGGGCGAGCTCCTTCCCTGTCCCCGACACTTCCTTCACTGTGCTCAACCTGAAGGAAGGCAGTGATGTGGAGTTCCGGGTTATGGCCGTGAATGAGGCCGGTCCAGGCAAACCCAGCAAGTCCACACCTTCTCACACCGTTCGGGATCCCATCTGTAAGTGGACTCACTCTCTCACTCTCATGGGAATAGTCTTGCGGTTAAAGTGTTTGCTTGTCATACCTAAGATTCAGATTCATTTCCTCATTTGGTTGTCATGTCGGAAGACAGATGTTAGTGTCCAACATTGTGATATGGCTCGAATATTGCTAAAACTAGTGTTAAATCTCACTCACAAACCAAGTCTTCAGTTCAAAAAATTGGCAGAGCGTATGGACACCATCTTGTGCATAGTCTCCAAATTGATAACATATTTTCAAATACTATACATCTTCTCCCCCAGTCCCTGCCGGTTCGCCAACTCAGCCCAACGTGGACAAAATCACCAAGAACTCTGTTGGCCTGTCCTGGAACAAACCAACCAGCGATGGTGGCAGCAAACTCACAGGGTATGTTATTGAGAAGAAGAAGAAGGGTGAAGACGATTGGACGGAGTGTCTGACTCTTCCTGCTACCGCCACGCAGGGAACTGTGCCTAATCTGAAGGAGGGCGATGAATATTCATTCCGCATCCGGGCTGTGAATGGTGCCGGTCTTGGAGAACCCAGCAGGCCGACAAATGTGCTCACAATTGAGGATCAACCAGGTAAAAAATGCCCACACACCATTCTGACCATTTTATGATACATTAATGGAGTAATGATGAGAATCTGTAGATTCCTGAACTGAATGCAACGAGCTCTGACGATTCATTATAAGTTTCTGATGTCATGATAATGGTTTACTACAGGGCAAATATTCAGATGCATCTATTTTAGTGTCACAGTTCAATTTTGCTGAAGGTTAATCAGTCATGGTATTCATTTCATGCAGATTTTATACAGATTGTACAAATAAAATATTTCATTTTTTTTAAAGGATTTGTCTAATTTTTACAGTTTGATAATGTTCTTACCATAACAAATTAGTGTTTCTTTTAAGTATCAATAGACTTCTTTAGGATCCTATGTTGAATTGTATTGTTTAAATACATTGTGCTTACTATTGATATGATTTATGCAATCAAACAATCTTCCTTCACAGAGAAGCCCAAGATGGATATGACTGGAGTGAGGGACATCACTGTCAAGGCTGGACAGGAATTCCAGATCAAGATCCCCTTCGTAGCCACGCCCAAACCCAAGGCTACATGGAAGCTTGGTGATGATGAGGTGGAGGAATCTGCTAGAACAACATTCAAGGTGAGGGTCATTGGTTAGATCAAAGGGAAGTAACTTGTGTGCAAGAATAGAAGACCACTAGTAAATATATGAATTGCTTGGACTCATTATTTGGATGCTTAATGTAAATTGTACTGGATTGCAAAAGACAAAATGTAAGAAATTTGCTTTTTGGATATTTATGTATACATTTCAGTCTGCACTGAATGTTTTACTGGTGTAATTTTTCTGCATTGTTTATATACAATATATATTTGGTGTGTATGCGGTGTTTGTGTTTGTTGAAGAACATCTGTAGCAGTAGCAGTACATAAAGTCATAGTGTAGGCCCGCCACTTCCCAACACCTGAATTCACCAAAATTTTGTTTAGTCACAGAGTCACTACCTTGTAGATTATAACAAATCTATGCACAAAATAGATATGATTTTCTTAATGTTTTGAATTATCAATAGTGTGTTGTAATAAATATACCACATACTAAACATTATCTTCCAAATTTCATTCTTAAACAGAATTCATTTTAACATGTATATGGACACATGTGATGTACCTGTATATTCACATATATGATATACCTGTATATTCACATCGTTGATCTATCAGTTAATTCATATGTGTGATCTACCTATAAATCCATATTTGTGATTTACCTATTTATTCACATGTGTGATCTACCTGTATATTCACACCTGTGATCTACCTGTATTTTTACCTGTCCACACCATTTCACCTACCTGCAGTACTGAGAGCACTTTGTTTTGCATGTGTCTAGATTCTAGATGGTAAAGGTCCCAAGGTCAGTTGTACAGCCATGGAATGAACGTATTCTGTATATGTTCTGAGTAGCTAGAACCAACACCTGGTGTCTTAATGAACATCATCTATATCATTAACATATCATACTTTCAGTTGAAAGGAAAAAAAGGATTTATCCAGGAAACACAGAAAAAGTACCTATGGTCTTATAGGAATGGTCATATCTTGAAAACTCTTGAAACGTTTACTTTGGTTAATGTGATGTTTGAACATGGTTAATTTTCACTTCTTTGAGCGGCATTATAGAAATTGGGAAGTACAATATTGACAAATTTGTGGATCACACTCACACTCACAAAATAAAAGAAGTTGTTATCCATAAATTTGTCAGTATGGTTAATAATGAAATGAGAATTTTCACTGACGTTTTTTAAAAACATACAGCCAGAAATTGTTTTCTCATAAAATAAGGGGCAGTGGGGTAGTCTACTGGTTAAAGCGTTGGCTCATCACGCCGAAGACCCAGGTTTGATTCCCCACATGGGTACAATGAGTGAAGCCCATTTCTGGTGTCCCCCGCCGTGATGTTGCTGGAATATTGCTAAAAGAGGCGTAAAACCAAAACTCAGTCAGTCAGTCATAAAATATGGATAAGTCCTTTCAAACATTGTTTCAACTCATGTTGTCAGTTTTCTTATTTCTCCATCAAACAAATCACTTTGTAACTAACTCTTGTGTACACTGTGATCTAGATATTAGATATGTTATTCTTACATTGTTTGCATCTGAGATATAAGATAGTTTTTATTTTTCTGTTTGCGTATTTTCATATCAACTGCCAGGTAACAGAGAGTATACATCCATGGTGATGCATTAACTATGGTATCACATGGGATGCCTACATTATATCACTCTCAAAATGGGTTGTGTTTTTGGCCTGAAGTTTACAGTGTTTGGGGAATTCTTTGTGCTCATGCGAGCCGTGCCAATTTACACTTGTCAGAGGGAACACAAACTATCAGGTCTAGACTACCAGTCGTCAGACTTCCATTTATTTGGAAGAAACGGTGGCTGAGTGGGTTAGATCGCTGATTTTGTGTCTTGGTAATTTGGTTCCTCACTCTTAGAGTGATGGGACACAAACCCCCAGAGTACTAGAATCAGTACTTTCTGAAAAAGTATAATCCTGAACATAACATATGCAATGTTTCAGCACAGTACCATTTATACTTTCTTTTGCCTGTCAGTTTACATCCATCTTGAAGTATATGTTTCACGTAATTAAATATTTTGCTGTCTTATGACTAACAAGATGAAGTTAAAAAATCTTTTCCGATGTTGGTAATCAGGCCTGACCAATTTAGTTTCAAGTTTATCATATGAACAATTCCAGTATGTTGTTACGTTCACACAGAGACCATATGGTTAAAACAAATTATCATAAAGTCCTTGTTTCAACAGGCTGTGGGCTCATGTGGCCAAGTAGCCTTACCACAATTCACTGTGCAGGGTTGCCTCCCTTTTATACAATGGGTTTTTTCTGTATCTACGAAATGCTTGTTTCACTTCCTGATGATTGTCGGATAAAATTACACAAGAAATTAAATGGTCTGGCCTTGTCATGTAATCCTAATACGTTGATTTCATAGCAAATGTTGTGATAAATATGATGCATGTAAGGTTGAAGAAGACGACAATTTCTCCATCATATAGCACTAACATCTCTGTTTTATATTGATATGGGGATTCTTATGTATACTCTGTTTTATGGGGTGTAGTGTATGTATCTCTCTCTCTCTCTCTCTCTCTCTCTCTCTCTCTCTCTCTCTCTCTCTCTCTCTCTCTCTCTCTCTCTCTCTCTCTCTCTCTCTCTCTCTCTCTCTCTCTCTCTCTCTCTCTCTCTCTCTCTCTCTCTCTCTCTCTCTCTCTCTCTCTCTCTCTCTCTCTCTCTCTCTCTCTCTCTCTCTCTCTCTCTTCTATATAGTCATTGAAACTCTCTCTCTCTCTCTCCATATATAGTCATTGAAACTACCGTATTTACCATAAGAAGTACCCAAGGCACTTTTTTTATGAAGGGGACACCTAATAAAACCTTATACTGCAAGTTAAAATTTGTCTAATGTGTAAACTTTCCAACTTGGCATTTATTAAGCTGATGTACAGACAGGTCTGGAGGTTGACCAGAGGGATCCTACTGGAGCAGGGTTGTTACTATGGTCAATACGGTAGTGAGTGCTGGGTGACAATAATATCGAATGTGTCATTGTGACAACATGTAATTGTAGATGCGAGTGAAATCTTTGTAGAATCATATAAACCTATTTGTAGGTGTGAAATCACAGATACATAGTGTGTGAAGATAGAATCTTACCTAATAAGAGGTGTAGTTTGTGTATTCATGAATAGACATAATATGTGTGATCAAACTGACACTTTTAGGTGATATAGACAGAAACTCATGGCAACAGTTTGTGACTTTTCTATTTGTCTCTAACATCACCAATAGGAGCACTTAATTGTGAAGCACTTAGTCAAGATGCACTAAGTTAAGATGCACTTAGTTGAGATGCATTTAGTCAAGAAACAAAGAAACAATCTTGAACTAATAGGCTAGCCATTTGTTGACAAAATTTAGATACCTATTGTCAAATATGGCTAGATTTTTACATATATTTAGAAAATTCAGTGTGTTCATTCTGACCTTCTAGCTCGGAGAAGATCTCGCTGTCCTGGCTGTTGCCAAGTCAAAGCGCGAAGATGCTGGCCGATACTCTCTGACCCTGAAGAATCCATCTGGATCAGAAACCGTGCTTCTCAATGTCAACGTCCTTGGTAAGTAGATGATGAAGCTGAGATGCATAAAAGATTGTAAAAGGTTATTCCTTGAAGGCGTTTCTTTCATGTGATATAAATCAGAATTTCCATGTCACATCTTGCTATCATGTTGTTTGAAAACTCATTTAATTCTTATTATCGTGTTCAATTATTTTTCCATACCATATTCTCTGTGATTGTGTGAAGTGCTTTGAAAATTAAGTCTGGTTGGTTCTTTTCAACCATAGAAGAGAGAATCGGCTTGGTTCAAATGAAGATATTTTTTATAATGGTTACTTAGTAATTACATACTCCTACAATGCTTGTTTCTTTCTGCTAAACAATCTGCACCATATCCAAGAAAATACGTACTGTCATGTCTGGGGTGTATGTCAGGCTGTCTCACATTGAAACAAAGACAAGAGTGTTAGTTTTCACGTCATGTACTTGCTTCAGACAAACCCAAGCCTCCAAAGGGACCGATCACCGCATCAGAAATTGATGGTGAATCCATGACCTTGAACTGGCAAGCTCCCGTGGACAGTGGCGGTGAGCCCATCGCCAACTACATCGTGGAGAAGCGCAAGGCCGGCAGCAACCGGTGGCAGAAGGTCAGCAAGCTTCGTGTCCAGCCCCAAGTGCACCGTCAGGAACCTGGAACCCGGGGAGAAGTACGAGTTCCGCATCATGGCTGAGAACTCTCAGGGCGTCAGTGAGCCACTTGAGACAGATGAAGCTATTCTCTCCAAGCTGCCATTTGGTAAGAAGCATTTTCAAATATTGTGAAGTATACAAAAGAAACAGTGTAGCGTGGTTGTTGTTTAATGCCCAGTTTAATGGCAGCAGTCTGTAAATTCTTTAGTCTGGACCAGGCAATCCAGTGATAAAGAGTCAAGTAATATATTTTCTATGACAAAAATAGTCAGGTTTTAAGTATGTTTTTCTCAAGTCTTTTATACAATAAACTAATATTTATAACAAGCACACTTGCTGTCTAATTTATGCGTAAAACAAACAATAGTTGTAATGAATGGGGATAATGATGTTCTCAAAATGTTTAAGTTCAATTTAAGGTCACTAATAGTCATTACACAAAATAATGCTTGTTTATATGGTTTTGTTCTAATCATCTTCATATGTTCATAGATCCCCCTTGAGCTCCCAGCTCCCCCAAGAGTATTGGAACCACCGAGGACTCCATCACCTTGTCATGGAACCCACCCAAGAGAGATGGTGGCGCCGAGATTCTTGGATACCAAGTGGAGAAGAGAGAAAAGGGAGATAACAAGTGGACCAAGTAAGTGGCGCCGATGGACAGTTACATGACCAAGTTCCTGACAGACAACTTCAGTGCTGTGCTTCTGCTATTGTCAGTTATTTATGAACCATGCAGTATGATATAAACCACAGAACATACAAAATTAATTCACCCAAACAAATAATTATTAATTAGCTCATAGGTCTATGTTACATATAGGACTTATAACAGTTGTAGTGCTGAGATCACTCAATTTTGAGTCAACATTGTCAGTGTGGTTTGTTTTATCAAAAAGATCCATTTAATGAAAGGTTTGTGGAATGGGCTTTTATCAATGGTTCACAAGTTGAGGTTCAACGTTATCCATCACGTTCATCAGTTATATTTGTTTGTTTGTTGTTTTATGCTGCACTCACCAATATTCCAGCTATATGGCAGCAGTCTGTAAATAATTGAGTCTGGACCATACTATCCAGTGATCAACAACATAGGCATCGATCTACGCAATTGGGAACCGATGACATGTGTCAACCAAGTCAGCGAGCTTGACCACCAGACCCCGTTAGTCGCCTCTTACAACAAGCATGGGCTGCTGAAGATCAATTCTAACCTGATCTTCACGGGTTATAACAGCAAATAGATGACAGTAAATGTAGATTATGCCTATAACCAATGTATGCTTTGACATGGCCAGTATATTGTCACTGATTATTCTGACACTAACTGTGTTTGTTGTGTCTTGCAGGGCCAATGTGTCTGACATCAACGACACAGAATACACAGTCAAGGGTCTGCAAGACGGCAAGGACTACGAGTTCCGCGTGTGTGCCGTCAATGCCGCTGGGCCCGGAGAACACAGCGAGTGCTCCGATTCCATCAAGGCACAACCACCTCCAAGTAAGTCAGTATACTATAGAGATGAGACTTCTGCAGAATAAAGCCAGCTGCATCCTGATGATGTACGCATCTGATGCCTTCAGTGAAGATATACTGCCAGTAAAAAGACAGTATACACCATTCTAAATGCTGGCTAACATTTGGCGAAAGATGAATGGTTATTTGTTAGTTTTGCAGTTGATATGGTAGAATAGCTGCCTTCTACCCCTGAAATTTGCATGGGTTTAGTTCAACTGCTTCATTTGGGTAACCTTGAAATTTAAGTGTTTGTTTATTATGCCTCAATCCATGTTCAAATCCCATCATGGTTTCAATGCTGGAAGCCCAAGTATGGTATCCTCTGCCATCAGATGGGTTGTATGTTTCTCAAAGTTCACTCCATTGCTGTTCCCTACTTCCGAGTTGGTGGGGTAGCCTAGTGGTTAAAGTGTTCACTTGTCATGCTGAAGACCCGGGTTGATTCCCCACATGGGTGAAGACTATTTCTGGTGTCACCAGAAATATTGTTGGAATATTGCTAAAAGCGGTATAGAATAAACTCACCCACCTTATTTCCAAGCCTTCGTGTGGTGTTTTCTCTATCACTGTGGTGAAAGTGTGTCAAGTCATATTTTATGATGTTGTTCCCAGTGGCACCAAAGATCAACCGAGACTTTGCAATCCGTGACGTTGTAGCCAAGGTTGGAGAACCATTCAAGATATCCATTCCATTCAATGGCAGACCTATACCTACCGCCGCCTGGACTCAGGTCAGTCTCCTCAAACCTTCTTAATAAGAAGCAAAGATTCTGGTGGAAAGAATAAATATAAAAGTGACGGAAGGACCAGTACAAATTCAAGTCCAAGACTGAAAAACTTTCACTTTTAACAAGCATTTTGTTTACTTGATGATTAGGCTAATGACATATCGGAATGATGATGATGATGATGATGATGATGACGATGATGATGATGATGTGTTGCAGGGAGGTCTCACAGTACATGAGACAGATCGTGTTAAGTTCAGGAACGACCCCACGGAGATCTTGTTGCTCAACAAGAAGGCCGAGAAGGGAGACACAGGCAAATACACCGTGTTGTTGACCAACGAGAAGGGAAGCGACTCCATCTCACTCAACGTCACTGTGTTCGGTAAGTTTGTCCCTAATACATACAGTAACCACATTCAGTTCTGACAGCTACCTGAATAACAGCAGGTTCTTATTATAACCCTGATATTAATAGTTCCAAATTGAGGTCCCTTGACTTAATTTTATAGCAGAATATCTCTGGGACCCCAGTATCCATTTAATTTCAAATGTAAATTTGTTCAAAAGCAAACAAGATTTTTTCAAATAAGACATATCTCTGTATGCCAGTTAACTTCAAGTAGAAAGATGATGGCCAAAATAGTTGTCCTTTAATGGCTTTGTAGGTTGGCACATTGGATAGTGTACTAGCTCATCCAGCTTAAGACCTGGGTTTAATTCTTCCTTGATTAAAGTCCATGTTTTGTGTACTTCAAAGATATGGTTACCATAGTGATCATGTAAACAAACCATACACAAGACTCAGTGGATGTCTTGAGTAAAGATGCTATGTTTTTAACTGCTGCATACAAGACCTGTTGTGGCTCTTGACTGAGTATTATGTAGTGAACTGACTTTTTCTTCAGATGCTCCATGCAAACCTGAAGGACCCCTGGACGTGTCAGAGGTCACACCAGACTCCTGCATTCTTAAATGGTCTCCACCAAAGGTGTGTGATGATGAAGCTTATTGAGATAGTTTGACAAATTTGAGTTTTATTATTATTTGAAATTATGTTTTACTTGTTTCATTACACATTAAGGTCACCAATGAACATTTCATAACATCTTTATGGTTGGTGAATTGAAGCAAACATATATGAAGTTTAGGAATAACATAAATGGTGAAAAATTATGGATGTCAACTTCTTTATTATGAGGAACACAACATTATGTAGTATATTCTTATTCCTTAATCATGTGAACGATGAAATGTTGTTCCTCAATATAAAGAAGCTGACAATCATAAATTTACACTTATTTTGTGTATCAAAGACCTTTAGGATTAACTTTAGGAAACTTTTGTACACAGAGGGGGTAGGTGACTAAAGTATAAGTCAGATTTACAATATCAATCTATTTTTTGGATGCTTGTCAAAGCACCTTTGATTTTATCCAAATTAAAAATATTCAAAGTTGAAAAATGAAAGAGAAGCATAATTCCATGTTTTTCTCTGGCACAGGAGGACGGCGGCAGCCCCATCAGCAACTACATCGTTGAGAAGCAGGACAAGAGGACGGGCAAGTGGGAACCAGTCACCAAGTTTGTCCGTGGAACCAGCTACGAGGTCATGGGTCTCACTGAAGGTCATGAGTACAACTTCCGTGTGTCAGCTGAAAACGAACATGGCATCAGTGAGCCATTGGAGACGACCATGTCTGTCTGTGCTCAATACCCATACAGTGAGTAGAGTGGATTGTTCATTTGTTGTTTCAGAATTGTCTGTCTGTGCCTAGTATCTGTAAGACAATTGTATGGGTTATTCGTCTATGGTACTTGTCTATTAGGCAAGTTTGGGGCGATGGGGTAGCCTAGTGGTTACAGCTTTGGCTCGTCACGCCGAAGACCCGGGGTTCAAATCCCCACATGGGCACAATGTGTGAAGCCCATTTCTGGTGTCCCCCGCCGTGATGTTGCTGGAATATTGCTAAAAGCGGCATAAAACCAAACTCAGTCAGTATTAGGCAAGTTCCTATTCATGGTGTTGTGTATATTATTCATCCAGTGTGTAACGATGGCCTGTCTGTGCCAAGTACTTGTACAGAGATATCAATATTTAGTACCTTGGACTGTTCGACAATTTCTCTGGTTGTGACCTGCAAAACTGTGATCATATTTGTAGTTTCAAGAAGGGTTATATTCAAGCACTGTATATAAGTAACATATAAATAACAGCTATTTCAAACGAAATGCAAAGTTTTGCTGTCAACCAACATCAGTGACTATAATGACTGACATCACAAGTTGACAAAATGTCAGATATTCAACCCCATGTATAAGGTAGCCCCACTTTAAAACCCAATAGTTCCAGAAATGAAAATCCGCCTTATGTATGGCAATATATGATAGCTATGTAGTGCAATGTGCGGGCTGTGCCTGAAAGTTACTAGCCCACAAAGGTATTCACTGGCCTGAAATTTGAATGTAGACACAAGTTTCATCCTTAAGCTGCTAATATAATGAACATTTTTATCAGGCCATAATCTTGCATGATGTAAAAGTGTATTATAACTTAATAAGTCGGGTAGAGTGATATACATGTATTTACAAAATGACCCCTTGAAAATTCACTAGCCAGTCGGGCCAGTGACTGTGGATATTTACTGGCCCGACTGGATTTTTACTAACCACGGGCTAGCGGGACAGTGGCTATTTCGAACACTGATGTAGGGGCATGGCAACATATTCTTTTTCTATACAGTCCAAACATCTTCACCTTCCATCAGGATTTATCGGTTTTGAAACACTAAATAGGAAAGTAATTTCATCGTTATGTGTATTATTTCCAGCAACTCCCGATCCACCATCTACACCTGAGGTGCTGGATGTTGATGATGGCAGCGTCACTCTGTCCTGGGCTCGGCCCAAGAACGACGGAGGCAAGAAGATTCAAGGCTTCGTTATTGAGTACAAGGAGCCCAGCAGTGGCAGATGGAAGACCTACAACGATGCTCCCATCAAGGAAACCACAACAACATGTGAGTACACAGGGCTGGGGCACAGCGGGGTGGATCAGGGCAAGGGTGGGTGGGGCAGGGCACTAATCATGGTGCTTACAGAGCAGGGCATGGTTGTACAAGTAAATATTCTATCTTAGTCTAAAAAATATACTCCATCAAGGACTAATTTTTGATGATTGTGACATGTTTCCTTGCTTGCCTAGTGAACAAGACGTTTAACTTGACATTGATGTTGCTGATGTTGTTGTTGTTGATGTTGGTGATTGTGTCCCCAGTGGAAGGCCTAAAGAAGGATGCTGAGCTGGAGTTCCGTGTGAGGGCTAAGAACAGCGCCGGTCTTGGAGAGCCCAGCAGCTCGACAGGACCCGTCTTGATCAAACCAAAATACAGTGAGTGGACACCTAAATCCACAGAGCACCTTCCATGTTCTTTGATGCTTCACAGAGCACCTTCCATGTTCTGTGATGCTTCACAGAGAGTGGAAGGTCTCTCATCTCTCTTGTTCATAACCGCCTGGAGAGTGGTGGTGTAGTGGTTAGTCCGCCTGGGGAGTGGAAGGTCGATCCCGACCGCGGAAGGTGTAGTGGTTAGGCGTTCGAGAGTGGAAGACCGTTTGATCGACCGCGCCATACCAAAAGAGCGTTAAAATATGGTACTTGTTGGTCCCTGTCTGGCGCTCGGCATTAATGGGTACAATAAGGACTGGTCGGTTCGGAGTCAGTATAATGTGTCTGAGTGGGGTATTCATGCTTCACTGCGGCATGGTATCTCAGTGGGCTAGCACTATAAAACCAGCTTCAGTCTTGGCTAGTACAAGCAGCCGCACACATACACATACACACGCATGCACGTCGTCATATGAGCGAAATATTCTCAAGCACGACGTAAAACCCAATTTCACCTCACCTCACCTCACCTCACCTCTTGTTCATATTTCTTATGACACCCATAGAATAGGTACACATCAACCCATGCTTGTATGTGACAACTAGATAATCCACAAAAATATCGGTGTCCTTTTATATTTCAGGGAGTCTCTCTCTCTCTGTCTTATAATGTCCACAGAGATGCAAGGTTAGAATTGGTCCCTAGCAACGTATGCTTGTTGAATAAGACAACCAAATGGACCAGGTTGTCAGGTCAATGATTCGGTTGAATCTGTGTCATAGTACCCCATTGTCATTTGACTTTGTTCATAATATGAACCATCTGACCTTGACAAGCAAACAACAAATAATGAGCCCAATAAACAAGTCCTCCAAGGAGCTGTTCCTGTTGTCATGTACCCACATTCATAGGTCCGACTTCATTCCTGCTAATCTCACTTCCAGCCAAACCATCAGTGCCAGGCGTGCCGTCCCCTGCTCATATCGGCAGAAGCTTCGTGGAGCTGAAATGGGACAAACCAAGATTGGACGGTGGCAGCAAGATCACAGGTAGGGGCAAAATGTGTATACTGACCACTGTCATTCAAAACGAAATAATCAATACTTTACCACCCTCAATAATTATTTAGTCGCAGGATTCATCAGGCTTATTATGCCAACATGAAGCAAAAGGGTGAAAGTAAAAATACGGCAAATCAAGGCCCACTTGCTTTATCTTCTTCAATGATATGCCAAAACAGAGTGGGCAAAGTTAAAAGGGTGAAGATTAACAGAGCAAGGCAAGGTCCAACAAGCATTATTTCCTTCAATGATTGGGCGGTGGGGTAGTCTAGTGGTTAAAGCGTTGGCTCGTCACGTCGAAGACCCGGGTTCGAATCCCCACATGGGTACAATGAGTGAAGCCCATTTCTGGTGTCCCCCGCCGTGATATTGCTGGAATATTGCTAAAAGCGGTGTAAAACCATACTGAGTCAGTCAGTCAGTCAGTCAGTCCTTCAATGATACACAAAATCAGAGAGTGCAAAGCAGAAATACTAGAAAGTTTGGTGGTGGGTTTTTTTGGTTTATGTAGTTATATATTTTTTTTTTTAGTTTCCTAAATGAACCAAAATGTGAACTGCAAATGGAATGATGTTTTCCAAAAGATACAATGTGTGTAGAGATATTGAGTTTTTCTACTTTGCAAACTTTTGGAATAATTTTCTTTCAAGTCCTCCTGAAGAAGCGGCTTACAAAACTAGCCTAATCATATGGCTTGTATACTTGTGACTCCAACTACCTGTTCTAGACAATGCTTCTCAGAGGTAACGTTAACACAATTAGTCCAATGCTCTGCTTCAGAATCCATATCCACACGTCACATATTTTGTATTTCCAGGTTACATTGTCGAGAAGCGTGAGAAGGGCTCCACCTACTGGACAAAGGCCACAGACTACCCATGTATCGACAATGAATACACTGTAGCCAACCTACCCGAGAACGCTGAGTTTGAGTTCCGAGTTATTGCTGTCAACGCAGCCGGAAAGAGTGAGCCAAGTTTGGAGTGTGCTCCAATCAAAATCAAGGAGAAAATTGGTATGTAAAATACACCTTCACTGGCTGAATGGTTGCTATTTCATTTGTGACATTCAATTTAGTCTTTGTCAGTATTCCGTTCATAAAAATTCTAATTTACGAAAAGTCAGTTCAATCATATTTTTGTCAAAATGAGAAAGAACAGATCTTTATATTATATAAATATCAAATTTAGTGAAATATTAGTGTGGTGCCAGACCAATGTCAAGGTCACACAAGAAGTTTCCATAAACCTATGTCCTTGACCTACATTATGATTACCTTGAACTTAAGTTTTTGCATACTTTTCCATTTAGTGACCATATTCTTGTATGAACCATTCTCTCCATTTCAGTTGGATCTGAGCCTGACTTTGTCAAGAAGCTACAGAATGTCAAGGCCGCTCTTGGTGGCGAGGCCGCCTTCAGTGTGGAATTCAAGGGTCAACCCAAACCTGAGATCTACTGGTGTGTAGATACATTCTTATTTCTAGTTTCTATATAAAGGCTTTGACTTGGTGTTTGTTAAATAAAAAAGCCAAAGACTTGGGTTCGATTCCCCACATGGATACAATGTGTGAAGACCATTTCAGGTGTCCCCAGCTGTGATATTGTTGGAATATTGCTACAAGCAGCGTAAACCCAACTCGCTCACTCATTCTAGGAAATCTTTTTGAATTACTCTTTTTAGTCCATCTCCAATCAAAAAGTCTGTTTTTGAATTTTCCTTTAAATCGATTATATTTTGTTCAATAGGTTCAAGAATGGAATTGAAATGGGCTCATCAGGACGTAACCGTATGCGAATGGATGGCGATGTGTGCACATTCACCATCGGTGAGGTGTACGACAAGGACGCTGGCGACATCTCCTGTGAGTTGGTGAACAGCCTGGGACGTGTCTCCTGCTCCTGCAACCTTGCTGTGCTGTGTAAGTATATGCTACATGTCGAAGTCCATGTGAAAGTACTGGAGTTGCAATCACCTTCGCACTATGATCTTGTTGTAGAATGGACCCTAGTACTATGCTCATTAACATTTTTTCTGTAAAACAATTTTATATCTGATCTCAGAGCAGTTACAAAGAAAGAAATTTGTAACAGTATTCTTATAATACTGATATGTTTCACAATGAAATTATATTAACAATAATGTCTAATTTATATTCTTATGGCTCAAGAGGTGGTGAGAGTTCAATTCCCCACATGGGTACATTGTGTGAAGCCTAGTTCGGTTCCCCTGTCATGATATTGCAGGAATATTGCTAAAAAATGGCTTAAAATCACTCACTCACTTATGTCCCTAGGATACTAAGTTTAAGCTGTTATAAACATGTTTAATCCAGCAAAGGGCGAGTCAAGTAGTTAATGTGTTGATATGTCTCACTAAAGAGATTTTGAGGGACAAACTATTTATCAATGTGAAGGCAATTCTTGGTGTCACCTGTCATATGTTGTATTTGCTAAATCAACATGAACCCTATCTCCCCCACTCACTCTATCTGTTCATCATCTCAGCACCTCCTCGTCTGGAGAAGGATATCCGCGACCAGAAGGTTGAGAAGGGCGAACAGTTCAAGATCAAGATCCCCTTCAGTGGAACCGGACCCTTCGACGTCAAGGTCAAGAGGGACAACAAGGAAGTTCCAGAGAGTGACCGGGTCAAGATCTCTGTGTTTGATGAGTACATGACACTCACCCTCAAAGGTGATTATTAACTGTAAAAATGATATTTGCAAGTTTCTTTTTAATTCATTTATCACAGATAGGTGGTGGGGTAGACTGATGGTTAAAGTGTTCACTTGTCATGCTGAAGACTGGGTTTGATTCCCACATGGGTACAATGTGTGAAGTGTATTTCTGGTGTCCTCCACCATGATATTGCTGGAATATTGCTAGAAGTGGCGTAAAAATAAACTCACTCACTCACTCATTTTCAAAGAGTATGGTAGATTCATGAGGTGAGGAGTGCAATTTTCTGAAAGTCATATATAACTTTTGCAGTTGCCCAAACCTTTAGTTTTACACTGTGATATTCTTTGCTCCAGACACTGACATTGATGACACTGGCGCCTACAAGGTCGAGATTAGCAATGACAGCGGAACATGTACTGCTCCATTCAAGCTCAAAGTCGTCAGTAAGTAATTTTAGAATACTTATATAAGGATATCTTGCTGAAAGTTTTTTTACCAACGTTCTGAGACAGTGTTCATTGTCTATTCACAAGTACAGCATTATTATACTCAGTATCAGTAACACAGATGGAATACATATATTATACATTGCTGACTTAGTCGACACATGTCATCGTATCCCAATTGCATATGACAATGCTCACGGTGTATATCACTGGATTGTCTGGTCCAGGCTTAATTATTATATTTACAGCCATGTAATTAGAATATTGCTGAGTAAATCTTTAAACAACAAACGCATCAAACCAAACTAAACCATTATACATTATCTGAGAGAAGTGATATGAATATATATTAAACAAAGAAAAAGAAAAATATTTTCAGTGGAACATTTTTACAAAAACATTCTTATGAACTAGTTATAATTTGAAGAGAATAACTATGGCATCTCTTGTCATAGGCCCACCATCTACACCAACTGGACCCCTCAACGTGTCCGACATCACCAAAAACACGTGCCGCCTGGCCTGGAAACCACCCAAGGAGGATGGTGGCGCCAAGGTGACGTCATACGTCGTGGAGAGACAGGAAGTGGGCAAGCCCTACTGGGTGACAGTCTCCTCACAGTGCAGGGTAAGACAGCTGCTATCTTCATGACAACTACTATTACATGATTCAGTGTGCATCAGTCATGGTCTATACTGTGTTTAATTTTCTGTTGTCTCAGCAGCATTCTTTGCCTATTATTTTTGTTTATTGTCTTCAGACTAAACTCTCAATTACAGTTGGAAACAAACATTATCACTTAATCTAATCTGTACTATTCAATGTTTTAACCACAAAAAATGAAAATAAAAACAGTACCAGGATTAAACTGTTTAAACTGAAATTTCACTTTGTGCTAAAATTTTAGCTAATATTTGTGTATTTAAATTCAAAATAAGATGTAAAATTTCAAGGGTGTTCCGTTGTTTAACTTCAAAACTTTAGGTGCATGTAAATACATCTCCGTAAATGAGAAGGTCCATTTTTTGTAAAGTAGGGAGAATTTATCCAAATTGCTCAAAACCAGATGTCAGTTTTATACATCAAGCTATAAACGGTGCCCCAGTTGAAATTTACTCCTGGAAATATGCTTATAATTTGATTTCATATTCTGTGAGAGGCCCATGCCAGTGATAGGGCAGAGCATGCTTATCGTTTCTATACTTTATGATGAACCAGCCTGATACATGGCTGGATCTTGTTGAGGTTACGTCAGTGGGCTTGACATGTTGTTGAAATGACTCAATATGTTGTGTGTTGTGTTTGTCAGGATACCTCCTTCGACGTGCAGGGTCTCTATGAGAACAGCCAGTACTTGTTCCGTGTCAGCGCCGTCAACGAGTTCGGACAGGGAGAACCACTCATTGCTGAGAGCCCCATTGTCGCCAAGATGCCATTCGGTAAGTGTCAGACAGACAGATGAGTAATATAGAGATGATTGACTCAAGTTTCCCTTCAAATAATAGAGTTTGTTTTAATTGCTGCCATCTTTGAATATATTATAAGACTGTAATAAATTAAGTGTAGGATAGGAGCCCAATATCCCATACCTGCGATCGAGTTGTCACATAGTCTTACTTGTGTGGCCTTACAAATATGATATGATGGCTATTTATAAAGAGCCTGCTTCCCGAACTTGTGTGTGCTCAAGAACCCTGATAAGGCGCTATAAGGTTGTCATATGACTTTACCCTCCAGGTACCCATTCACTGCTGGGTGAACAGAGGCGATTTATTAACAAACTCATTTGCCTGAGATGAGACCTCATGTATCACGTTGCTTCATGTGGGGAAGGACTGAAGTCCTAGAAACTCTCAGGAGTCAAGCTGCCAAACACAGTCACCAATGTACTTGATGTGTCTTCAAACAGCACATCTTGGAGTAAAAAACTGACATTTTCACATCATATATCATTGAAACTGATTTCAAAAGTCAGAGACAAAAGAGCAAATAATACAAATCCCTGTGTACACCTAAACTCTGTTTTCATCAAGTTGTTTCAATCAACAGATGCTCCTCAGTCCCCTGGAACTCCAGAGGTCACAGAGGTCGGAGGCGACTTCGTCAGCCTCACCTGGGATAAACCCAAGTCTGATGGCGGTGGCCGTATCAGTGGTTACTGGATCGACAAGCGTGAACATGGCACTGACAACTGGTCCCGCATCAACATGTCGCCCTGCCTCACCAACATGATCAACATCCCCAACCTCATCGAGGACCGCAAGTACGAATTCCGCGTGTTTGCCGAAAACGAGGCTGGCATGAGCAAACCGTCAATGGCCTCCACCAGCGTCAAGATCAAGGATCCTAAAGGTGAGAGTACTGTCCATGTAAGAAGACAGCCAAAGCTGATAAAATGTCATGGTTGGTTCAGTAATCTTGATAAAGTCTCTTGAGTCAGCGTTGTACCTGTGGTCGAATAAATGGGTTGTTGATGAGATAGTTGGTTCAGTAATGATGAAGCCTCAAGAGTCAATGTTGTAGCTGGTGTATTGATGGTTGTTGATGATGTTGCAGCTGCTGTTATTCCCGAGTTCAGCAGTGGTCTCCGCAAGGTCCAGGCAGTCCAGGGCAAGTCTGCCCGCTTCGAGTGTGAAGTGTCTGGAACACCAAAGCCAGATGTCCAATGGTCAGTATAACCTGTAAAACATCTTACTTGTTTCACTGTAATCTACTCCTGTATCCATCTTCATCCCAGTGATGTCTCCTTCATGCCTGATAGTGCCAGTAGGGTAGCCTAATGGTTAAAGCACTTGCTTGTCACTCCAGAGACCCGGGTTTGATTCCCCTCATGAGTACAACATGTGAAGCCCGTTTCTGGTGTCTCCTGCAGTGATATTGATGGAATATTGCTAAAAATGTTGTAAAACTAAACTCACTCACTCCATGCCTGATAGTGGCAGTACGGTAGCCTAATGGTTAAAGCACTTGCTAATTGGTGCAGAATGCATGGGTTTGATTCCCTTCACGGTTCAATGTATGAAGATTTATGGAGTTCTCTACAGTGATATTGCTGGAATACTGAAAGAATTAAAACAATGTAAAACAATACTTAATCACTCACTCACTCACTCCATGCCAGACACCTTTCTATGTTATTTCTCATCCCTTTCTGTAATTTATGAAGATGTCTATTACCTTGACCTCAGATGTACAGATAAGCTGCGTATCTGCATAAATTACGCAAATATTTATGTGAAAACTCAATTCCTATTGAGTCTATTACGTACAAGTACGCTTGAATTTTTGTAAATTCTCAATAGATGTGATCTTACATGCGTACACTCAAAAAATGTCAAATCTTAGCTTGGGTACCGGTGGATAGATAAAATAACTGAGGCATACTGAGAGGTTCTGTTTCAGGACATAAACTTGGCAATTTGCAGTCTTTCTTATCGTTTCTCATATTACAGATTAAATATAAATAACAAACACTAACATTTAAACTTTATTATATTTTTACAAGTAATGGAAAATGACAAAATACCCAATTGAGTTTGAGTGAGGTGGGTACAATTTATTTGGTTACTCAAAGGAAAATTAGGATACCCAATTGAGATGACCACAAGCGAGTTCATAACTCAATGACCCAAAAAGTTATCTGTAGCTCTGCTTGATCTTTCCAGGTTCAAGGGTGTTCGTGAGATCTATGACAGTGACAAGTTTGAGATCTTCACTGAGGGAGACAAGCAGGTGCTTGTTGTCCATGATGTGTTTGGTGAAGATGCAGATGAGTACACCGTCCGTGCCACAAACAGGGGAGGATCACGTGCATCACGTGCTGAGCTCGAGATCAGATGTGAGTAATTGTTCAAGTCCATCTCCTGTTGCAGTTAAATGAGAAAACACCATCAATTGGCTTCCGAGGACTTGGCTATATGATACATACTGAGGAGCTAAAGAAAGTTTACATAGTTTTTGTGTAATTTAAAATTTTAAAAAATATTGTTAAGTCTTATATATTTTTTGTTTTTAATATTAACCATCACTGCAGCAAGCGTTTGTAAAAATATATATTGGTTCATTGATGACTGGGGTCAGATATGAACTTGTAACCATATGACCCCTGCCTCGTTTGAAATGTTGAAACTAAACATTCTGAGATTTGATGTTAAATTTATTTTTTTTCAATTTTCGAAAGTTTTAATTCAAAATAGATCTTAAATATAAAACCATTTAAACACATTTTTGGATGTTGACTAAGTGCCAGTTCAGTTAATTTTTTTAGATAATATCTCTTAGATATATTGTGTTGAAAATAAAACATAGAATATAATCAAGAGAGGAAGATAATTCGGACTAATAGTATGATTTGATTTTGAAAGTTCAGTGATCATTTCATGTATTTCAGGCTGTGTGTGAAAATGTGAAAAGATTTAGTTCTCTTATTCCTTAATAAAAATGTATTTAGGAACTATTGCATAAAGTCTTTTTTGTGTGTTTAATCAGCACCCCCCAAGATCAACGTACCTCCACGTTTCCGTGACATCTGCACATTCGAGAAGGGTGAGACATGTGTTCTGAAGATTCCATTCATGGGCAACCCCAAGCCTGACGTCAAGTGGATCCGTGATGGAGAGGAGCTGCGCGGAAGTCACTACAACATTGAGGTTACCGACCGCCACGCCATCCTCACCATCAAGGACGCAACCAAGGATGACGACGGACCCTACAGGCTGCAGCTGGAGAACAGCCTTGGCCAGGACTCTGTAGTGCTGAAGCTCCAGGTTAATGGTGAGTCACCATGGTGATTGTAGAGATGGGAATATGCAGGCTCATCATGCAGCATTGTAGCACACAAATGATGATGATGATGATGTGGACAACAACAATGGCACTTTATATATGCAGGCTCATCAAGTATCAGAATGAAGGTGATGAGGACGATGATGACAATGATGATGGTGATAGTGATGGCGATGATAATTATGATGATGTAGACAACAATGATGATTGTAATGTAAACACTACCACTGGAAGCTAATGACGCTGAAGGGGTCGTTGTCGGCACAGGTACTACAGATATGTACCCCAGGTACGTTTCTGTATACAGTAATGTACCCTAAACAATGTCAAAATACAGAAACGTACCCGGCACCTTACACGGACAACGAGTCAATATTTCGCAACCCAAAACTGAAACTGTATGTAGTTGTTCCCCTTCAACTGATTGCAAATGGTATTGTGCTCCGCGAAATATTCGTTACCGTGTATGGTCGTTTCTTATCGAACGCAATCAAATGCATCTAATTCAACTGTATGACAGTTCCAATCAAGAAAACAACACACTGCGGAATGGAATCGTCCAAGGGTACGTTTCTGTATTCCGATTTTGGCTAAGGTACTTTTCTGTATACAGAAACGTACCTGGGATACACATCTGTAGTACCCGTGCCGACAACGACCCCTTCGGTGATGATGACAATGATGATGGTGATGGTGATGATAATTATGATGATTGTAATGTCAACATTTAAGCTGCATTAGAAGATGCAGAAATACTCATGAATGCCAGTTATGATGTTGATTCAAATATCTCTACCCTATTTCAGATCACCCTGACTCGCCACGTTTCCCCAAAGTGGAGAACATCCGTGATGACTCTGTTGTGTTGTCATGGAAACCACCACTGAATGATGGCGGCAGCTTCATCACAGCATATGTTGTGGAGAAGAGAGAGCTCCCATCCAACAAATGGATCAGATGTGCTTCCACTAGGTAAGCATACAGCGTCATCATAGCAAATGACGGCTATTAATTGTCAGTGAGAGTAACCTCCCCTTGCACTGTTCCCAACAAACAACTGAACATAGGAGTCTGTTGCTGAACTGAATACAGAGCTGTTGACCAAGAAAAAGCACCAGATTTTGTGTTGTTTACCAACTGCTCTCTGTCTTCCAGGTTTGAGTTCCATAACGTCTCAGGTCTGTCCCCAAACAAGGAGTACGAGTTCCGTGTCGTAGCTGAGAACTTCTATGGTCGCAGTGAAGCATGCGAGCCCACGACCACCATCAAGACCGACGAGCCAGAGTCTGTCCGCAAGAAGAAACAAATGGAAGGTGAGTGTTCTGGCACACAGCTAGCTGAAATCTCCTTGAGGACAGTTGCTCTACAGGCTCTCACTCTAGTCGATGTCAAGAGCCCATTTAGATATCCAAATGTGCATATTCATGAAGATTAGTTTACTTCTGTGGTCATGGGTGGCTCAGTTGTATAAGGTGCCACTGTTTGCTGTGCAGAGTTGCTTCCCTTTGGCAATCCAGGAGCCTATAGTCATGGGTTTAAATCCCAGTTGGTGTGATTTTGCTCATCAGCACCATTCATGTGTTCTTGGGTTTCAGCAAAATGGTGAAATCACATCTGAGACATTCAGTCTGTTAAATGATATGCAGTAAATAATAAGTAAGAAATAGATTCAATATCATTGATCCTAAAATAATGAATTGTTTATCTTCATTTTTTTTGCAGATGAGTTTGGCAGAAAGGTCAGAGGCAAATACGATGGACCAAAGATCAATGACTATGATAAGTTCTGTAAGTAAAGCTTTTCATCTACGTTACTTTCAAATTGTTAACTGTTATAGAGACTAAGAGCAAAGCTTGACGTGTAACTGTAGAATACAATATATGTTCTGTACAATGCCTGTTCTATGTGCCACAGACGATGACATCTGGAAGAAGTTCGTGCCACAGCCTGTGACGGTGAAACAGGCCAGCGTGTACGACTACTACGACATCCTGGAGGAACTTGGAAGGTAGGAACACACAACTTACGAACATGAACAACTTAGGACATGAACTCTCAGCTCAGAGCAAGATCCAGCACAGCTCGCCGGAAAAAGACATTATAATATATAATACACCCATATCTCCTCATTACAGCCATAGGTTATATCTGTTCCCACAATCACAATCCAGTTGGTAATCTCCTTTGGTATTCCTTCCGAAAGTGACTTGTCCTGGGTTTATATCCTGATTATGAGCCATAGTCATCTTCCATGCATCCATTCATTCAATAACTATAATAGTCTTCATGTCATCTCTGAACTGTCAATTTACACATTTCGTATTATTATTCCAGTGGTGCTTTTGGTGTTGTCCATCGCTGTGTGGAGAAAGCAACAGGCCGCGTGTTTGTGGCCAAGTTCATCAACAGCCCCTACCCTCTGGACAAGGCCACTGTGAAGAACGAGATCAACATCATGAACCAGCTCCACCATCCCAAGCTCATCAACATGCACGACGCCTTTGAGGATAAATACGAGATGGTTCTCATCCTGGAGTTGTAAGTAGCCCTTCCATGACGGCTGCTCCGAATGTACCTTACAGAACTAAAATGTTGATACGAGCCAGTAGTCATGGTCAGCTTAGGTCAAGCTACCTTGTATTGCCTTGCACAAATTTATTCCAGTTTAGGTCAATTTCTATGTCTATTTGATGTAAAATTTTAGATAATGTTTTACATTGCTTTAGTATCACTCAGTGAAATGAGTGTCACATGCAGTGTCTCCTTGGGCCACTGACATTGTTAGCAGTGGATGGGTACCAGGGAGAGTCAGATGATTTACATCATGGGCATTTTGGTTGTTGGGAATGAAAATAAAGTACTCTGATTCCTTGACCAGGCTGATATTGGGCTTTGAATATATATAATCAAGCGTTCAAGTAGCACTGTGCCAATGTTTTATGATCATTGTTATCATTATGATGATGACTGTTTGCATCCACAGCTTGGCTGGTGGTGAGTTGTTCGATCGTATCGCTGCTGAGGATTACAAAATGTCTGAGGCAGAGGTGATCAACTACATGAGACAAGTCTGTGAGGGTCTCAAACACATGCACGAAAACAGCATTGTCCACCTCGATATCAAGGTATGGTGAAGTTATATGGTCTGAAAATTTTATAATGTTTAACTAACAATTCAGCAAGAAGAAAATCAATGTACATTTCATCTTCTTTGTGTATTAAAGGAGATAGGGTTACAGCATAGGTTTGTTGTGACTAAAGCTAAGGTAGATTGCCAAATGCCAAGAACATGTGAAGACCATTCTTGGTGTAGCCTGCAGTGATATTTCCAGAAAACACCATGAAACTTACTTACAGCGGAATCCTTCTAATACATGTGATCCAGTTTACTAAGGTTCAGTTTAAAATGTTAGAATCTTTACAATACATCATGTTGTGTTGTTTATTTGTTACAGCCGAGAATATTATGGTTGAAACCAAGAAAAGCACCAATGTCAAGATCATCGACTTCGGTCTTGCCACCAAGCTCAATCCTGATGAGATTGTCAAGGTTACCACAGCAACAGCGGAGTTTGCAGCCCCTGAGATTGTGGATCGTGAACCTGTTGGTTTCTACACTGACATGTGGGCAGTTGGTGTGCTCGCCTATGTTCTGTGAGTATCATGACATCTTAACACCTCTTTATATAAAGCCTTTTAGCTAAGAAAGAATATGATGTTTCTGAAGCTGTCGAGATGATATTTGTTTCATGCTACCTAAATTGCATTAAAAAGTTGTTTCATATTATTTGTGTGCTTCATTTCCCAGGTTGAGTGGATTGTCTCCCTTCGCCGGCGAAGATGACCTAGAGACTCTGCAGAATGTGAAGCGTTGTGACTGGGACTTTGACGAGGAAGCATTCAGCAATGTCTCCAAGGAGGCTAAGGAATTCATCAAGTCCCTCCTGGTCAAACAGGCGCCGTAAGTAGCCTTCATCGATTCCCTCATGCTCAAAAAGGCACTGGACATGCTATTTAAATGTTGGCAGCTTTTGTCATGAAGAGCATAGGTGGATCCAGGAATTTTCGTGTGTGTGTGTGTGTTCCAGGAGGTTCGCAAATGCAAAACATTAACTTCAATGTGGTCTTAGGTCATTTTCAAAAGGGGTTCGAAAACACACACAAACACACACACACACACCACTGGATCCACACCAATGAAGAGGAATTTTCACTTTCTGAAGGCTGTTTGGAAATTTGGAAAGTGGAACGCAATTTTCTTTGTGAAATATGACTTTGGAGAATATAATCTATGATGCCAGTATCAAGTAATTTTGTCATTATTGAGTTTTTGGCTTGAAGCATTTAGTGATTGTCCTTTCATCGAATTCAAACTGCAGTCATCCTGTATCTGGTTTTGTCATTACAGAAAGAGGATGAACGTCCATGATTCTCTGGAACACCCATGGCTCACTGTAAGTATACATGTACCTACACTGCCCTCCACATATTTGAGATGTCCAAAGAATTGGCAGGGCGGACTTAGTTTCTTTCAGTTATATACACTTCACTTACATGCAGAAAATGCTACTCTCAGTTGTTAAAACAAATAGAAGATTGTAGCCAAGTAGTTAATGCTCTCATTCATCAGCCTCCAGGGTTTAATTCCCAACAAGTATACAATGTGTGAAGCCTATTTCTACAGGGATTTGCTGGAATGGTTAGAAGCTCCCAAACTCAACGGTCACATGGTCCTGTGATCTGGTTTCAGATTTGGCCTCCCAGAACCCACACTTACTTTTGGAAGTGACTAAGGGTATCCGATGGTCATGGTTCATGCATGTCATCGTAACCCAATTATGTAGATCGATGCTCATGATATCAATCACTGGATTGTCCGGTCCAGACTGAATATCACATATCTGGAATATAATAAGGTTAAACAACTAAAAACAAACAAACAAACATCACACGACTGTGATACAGCTACCAAAACTCATCCTCTTGTGTGCAGGGTGACCACAGCAACCTGACAACCAGGATCCCGTCCAGTCGCTACAACAAGATCAGACAGAGAATCAAGGAGAAATACGTAAGTCAGCGACACAATGTCGACACAATGCACCTGGAAATGTCTGCAGCTTGTGTTCATGGCTGTTAGATCAGACAAATTTAGTTCTTGTCTTACATCTTTACAAGACCAATATACTTGGGAAATACATTATAAAAATACTTTTATGGTAACAGCATAATAAACAAAAAATGATTTCGAATTAATGTAAATATCTGTTTATAGGAGTATATATTTTACTTTCCTTAAACATTGGAGTGATATCTTAGAGTGGGTTGAAACCGAAAAATTTAATTTGACCACATTGGGTTCTTTTTCTCAGTATGGGGTAAAAGTGAGTGAGTGAGTGAGTTTAGTTGTACGCCGCACTCAGCAATATTCCAGCTATATGGGCAGGGTGGGGTAAAAGTGATGAACAGATGAGTAATGGAGGAACTGGAACAAATTGTCTGATCTGAGCCATCAATATAACATTGAAGAGTGTTTGTTCCCCTATACTGAAACACACTGACAATGCATATTCAGCCTTTACTTGAAATGAATTGCAAAATAGTTATTTTGGCAGTACAATTTAAATGAGATTTGAACTCATATGACAACATTGTCATGTTGGTTCACTCTTGCTGAAATTCTGAAAACATTTTAATTATATTGTTTGGTCATATTAAAAATATTCAAACTGAATATGTGTTTTTAAGGTGTGTCTTTATGAAAGCATGAATGTTCATTATCTAAGTTGGAATAATGGTAATTGAAAGCATGAAGGCCAAGCATGGATATTGGGACATATATTGATTTGGAACTGTGTATATAAATAATGATATGCTGGGATAATTTGTGATTGCTGTGTTTAATACTAAAACTGTGAGGTCAGCTGATTGTTGTTAAAACTACAAGCGTCATTGTCTTGCATGTCTTGGTTTCACCAGATCTGATGGATCTGAAAAGCAAATAAACGTTCAGTACATTGGCCTCTCACTTCTCTCCAGTGCTGAATCTCTACAGATGCATTGCGTAGATCGATGCTCATGATGTTGATCACTGGATCTTCTGATCCAGGCTCGGTTATTCACAGACCGCCACCATATAGCTGGAATATTGCTGTGTGTGGCATTAAGCAACAAACAAATGGTTACAGTGATTTCCCACATGAGTAAACTGTATGAGAACTGTTCTTTGTGTTCACCACTGTGCTCCCAGTATCGACCACTTGTCAGTCCGACCGCCTCTGTGGTGTAGTGGTTAGAGCGTCCGCCTGAGAGCGGAAGGTCGTGGGTTCGATCCCCGACAGCGTCATACCAAAAGACGTTAAAATATGGTACTTGTTGGTCCCTGCCTGGCACTCGGCATTAATGGGTACAACAAGGACTGGTCGGCTCGGAGTCAGTATAATGTGTCTGAGTGGGGTATTCATGCTTCACTGCGGCATGGTATCTCAGTGGGCTAGCACTATAAAACCAGCTTAAGTCTTGGCTAGTACAAGCAGCCGCACATACACATACACACGCATGCACGTCGTCATATTAGCGAAATATTCTCAAGTACGAATGTAAAACCCAATTTCACCTCACCTCACCTGTCAGTCCATGCACCATTAAGCAAATTGGTCCATCATGCAAGAACATTCAGTGTAATACCTTAGAGTTATGTCTTAGGTAGGTATTAAGCAAACTGAAAATAAAAATAGTTCTCAAGCCATTTCATCACCAAAAAATCCCCATATGCATTTTGAATTAGTATGTTTATTTGATATCAATTTTTTCTCCTGAAAATGGCTATGCACACTCATGCTGGAAAGCACTGATATTTCAATACAAAATTCTATAGAACAAGTGTTGTTTGTATGTTTAACCTTGGATGTTTTGAATACAAGCATGGCGTTGTTTGATACACAGGAATGATGGTTGATGGATGCGTTATTATTACTTTTACTACTAACCGTTTGTTACCTTGTCCTGGTTGTTTTAGCATGGTTTGTAGCACGAAGATGTCGCCCACAGTTACAGGTAAATACATCATACCTGCTGAAATATTTGCATCTTCTAATTATGAAAATGAAGCAAACATTATATTGGACAAGACAAAAATTGAAATTTAGTGCTCATTCCAATGTTCGCATATGTGCTTTTTTAAGTATTTTGTTATGATGATATTAAATTCATTCACATTTAAATATTACATTTCAGTATATTCTGAATATTTTTCTGTATCAGAAATGTCAATTACGGAGGCCATAGCATGTTTTTGTTTGGTTAATATGTCATCAAATTTTTACAATTTAATCTTAATTTAATTTAAATAAAAACAGAATTTCTTTAATACTGCCAACAGTAAAAATTGCTTTGACAGCAAATTGATAATGAGAATTTAGCTGTGACCAAGTTACTCTTGTGTTTAGGCTGACTGGCCCCAGCCCATGCCCGCCATTGGTCGGATCGCCAACTTCTCCTCACTCAGGAAACACCGACCCAAAGAGTACCAGATCTACGACAGCTACTTCGGTGAGAGACTGCAGATTCACCACTTTCAAGAACAATTACATTCTTCCAATCCATATTTAAAAAGAAGACATTTTTGTGTTGAAAAATTCCATTCTTTTTCAAATGTTCATCATTGACATACATCTTCCAATAAATACAAGAACATTCAGTTTCAATAGGATTTATATAAATATTAATTGATTTTCATTGTTATCTTACCTCAGATCGTAAGGAGGCTGTTCCAAGATTTGTGCGCCGCGCCCACGTAACGCTACAGTTCCTGAAGGACAGACTTGCAAGTTCGACTGCAAGATCATTGCAGCATCTCCACCAATCGTTACTTGGTGAGACATTAATTTGTGTCATACTTCAATCTTCCAATCATTCATCTTCATGATTATATTATGATGAATAAATCGCATTTGTCTTTATCCATCAAGCTCCAATCCTAGCAAACTGCATCTATTAAATTAATGGAAAACGTTACGGTTATTGTTTATTCATTTAACTTTCTTCATGAACTAAACTAAGGGATGACGTGTTTGAGGTTAAAATATGCCTTTCTTTAGAGATATGACAAGGAGTTATCTCCCTTGAGGTTCTTTTGATTAGCCCAAAAGTATGGTCTTGTAACTTTAAAATAAGGACGTGTTCAAGCATGGAGTCATCTCACAGAGTCATCTCACGTAGGTTGTGGAGTCATCATCCTTACCTTGTCAGCTTGCTGATAGGGTTCACTCTTTGGCTATGTGGATATTGTGTCCAACTTCAGACTTCGAATCAAAAGGACCTTGATTCGAATTCCATCAAGGGACTCAAAAAGTTTGTGGCTACTACACTGGCATTCAAATTGGGGCTCAAACCCAAGATCCTGAGATTGAGCTTATGCATCGCATCAATTTCTGGGTTGGATTGCCAGGCGCAATTCCATCCTTTACAACCTTGCTCTGATGGAGTTGCAGTATTGCTATGTGTATAGTCCTTGTCTCGATGACACCCCAGGTACATGCTGACAAACATTATACTGTAGAAACTGTCTTCACACCCTGACTTCCCATCTCCCCAGGTACAAGAACGACAGTCTGCTGACACAGAGCATCAAATACATGCAGAAATACATGGGCAACGAGTTCGAGCTGAAGATCTCCCGTGTCAAGATGGAGGATAAGGGAGAGATCCTTGTTCGGGCTGAGAACTCTTTTGGCAGGAAGGAAGAAAAGTGCAAACTTAACATTGAGCGTAAGATTCCTTACTATCCCAAAACAGTGATCAGGTTCTATGTGATTTTTAAACTTAACAGTTATGTCAGATACATTTGCTGATTAACAAATCTGTATCTGGGCATATGTTACAGCTGTATATGTCTTTAAATACATCCTAAACATGTAATTCTTTAATTTTGATTAATGACTTTTTTCCTTCAGCTGGACTGGATGCCTTCAGGCCTCCCAGCAGAGAGACAACTCCAATGCGAAGGTAAGACTTGGATTCATTTGCCTTATTTCTTTTTGGCAACAGTAAACTATAAATCATAAACCCTCATTATGATATGTGCAAATATTCAACTGGTTTGAGAGCAATGGAGGAGCACAACGGTTATGCTGTGCCACCATAGAACTGAAGACAGGTTTAATTTCCTTTTCATGTCAAAAGTGTGCACTACAAGTTTACGAATTTGCTGAAAATGGTTAAAACATCGCAAACTCAATGATAAGATTTGTTTCCAAATCATTTTGACTTCATAAAGTTTATCTTTGAATGTGAGGTAGCCCAGTGGTTATATTGTTTAGTCATTAAGCCAGAACATGGGTTTGATGCCGTACCTGGTTTACAATGTATGACACCATTCCTTGTGTCTTCAACTATATTTGGATGCAGCCAAAACCTGCCTTCATAAATACTGATGATTTCTTAACTTCATGTTTCTATATGTATCTCTTGCCAGGAGGCGTGAATATGAGGACATCCAATTCGAGAAACCAAAGGAAGATGAACCACCAAACTTCAACTTTGACCTCCGACCTCGTACTATCCAGGCTGGTACAGAGTTCAAACTCATCTGCTGTGTCAAGGCTCATCCCCAACCAAAGGTGCATACCACGTTTCATCAGGATCAGATTTCTCTGACAGTGCAGTGCAAGTTTATGAAACAACACAAACATGCAAATTCATATAAGAATTAAAACAGTAAATTTTTCTAGATTCTGAGCCAACATGGTTTTGAAAGACAGTGTTTCAAAGATTCAAGGTCAATTTCTATCAGAAGTTAATTTATGATCCTAATACTATTGATAATGGACATATATAATGTGCAAAATCAACTCCCTACATTTTTACACTGGTCAGTGGATAAGTGAACAACTGATTTTCATTCTCAACTTCCTAGGGAGTATACAACCCAAGCCCCCTTTGAGGAACTTGAACGTTAATGCTGAAATTACTGTTTATTCCAACCGGATACCCTTTCCCTGCTGGTGGAACTGAGGCGTATTTTTAGTAAAGAAAATGCCTACAGAAACACAACATGTGCTACTTGTGCTTCACACAATGTTTCAAATTTGCCATATTAAAGTTGTAAAATAGTTGGAAGGTGTATTTCACATTTGATGGCAGTGTCTCATAGTTATTGTCCGATTAATTGAAATAATCAAAGATTGGTCACAGTGACTAAACGACCAAGCAATCGAACATGTTTTCTCATAATCGAACGCATCCAACCTTGGAACACTTGTTTGCATCAACAATATTTTTCACAAGGTTGCTTTTGTCTGTGTCATTAAATTTACATGTCATAAGCACAACAAGCTCGTTCCAAGTCATGATTGAATTTATCTTAAAGAATCCAGGAAATTTGTTTCCTAACATACTAATAATCCTTTAAATATGCAAAATTTGCAAATGGATTTTGTTTAAATTGCAAACACAACCCAAATTACTACATGTTTTTTCTTTATTTTTTACAAAGACAACAGGAACATTTCATAAATGACGCTAACCAATTATTTTCGATGATTGATCGGTTGTAATGGACCAATCATCAATTATGAGATTTTAACCAATTCCCAACACTAGTGTCTCAGTATGTTTGACAACACTTGTAGGTACAATGGTCGAAGGACGGCCGTGACCTGTCTGACGGTGACCACTTCAACATTACCTACTCCCACGGCGTGTGTACTCTGGAGATCCAGAACGCCCGTGTCGAGGACACTGGCAGATACACATGTGTGGCCACCAACCCCCTGGGCGACCACGAGACCAACACCCGAGTCACAGTTGAAGGTGAGACAGAACCCAGTCTGATTGGTTGGTTTGTTGTTTAACGCTGCACTCAGCAATATTCCAGCTATATGGCGGCGGTCTGTAAATAATCAAGTCTGGACCAGACAATCCACTGATCAACAACATGAGCATCAATCTACACAACTGGGATCACGATGACGTGTGTTAACCAAGTCAGCGAGTCTGACCACCCGATCCCGTTAGTCGAGCATGGGTTACTGAAGACCAATTCTAAACCCACACCTACATGGGAAGAACCCAGTCTGATGATTGTCAAGCCTCTGACATTACTAGGCCTGTTCCACAAAGTGTTTGTAGTGCTACCTTGTCTTAATTATATTCTGATCTATCAGAGTTATAATTGTCTCAGTGCTGCATTCACTTTGTGGAGGGGCGGTGAGGTAGCCTAGTGGTTAAAGCGTTCGCTCATCATGCTGAAGACCTGGGTTCAGTTCCTCACATGGGTACAATGTCTGAAGCCAGTTGGTGTCCCCCGCCATGATATTGCTGAAATATCGGTAAAAGCAGCGTAAAACTAAACTCCTCATTGTGGAGGAGATCCCTCTTCCATTCCTGAGCTGACCTAAGTGGAGGAGAAGCTTATGTTCACTTGCACCAGGTCATGTGTGTGATGCATATACGTACTTCAGTATAACATCCAGTAGACCAACAGTTTTGTCATGGAACTGCCAGTTATTACACTCACAAAAATCTCAGTTCAACTCTGACTTTCCAGACTTTGTACCAAAACCAAAACGTCAGCTCCATTTTGTGTATGGAAGAACCTTATTGTCTCACAGTAGTATCATCCACATGTGAATTGTACAGGAGTAATTATGTATCAAATCAGACACTCAGTATGTTTGTACCTGTCCACAGACCGTGTCCATGCTGGGGTGAAGGACAGTGACAGCAGCTCCAAGAGAACTGTGTCCCGTATGGCTCGCCGGACCAAGTCGTGGCGTCAACATTGAGGAGTACGAAGAGTCCTCCTCCTTCTCCACATCTTCTTCCTCCTCGTCCTCCAAGACACGCCGCTTCCAGCGAGAGGAAGTCACAGAGTCCTCTTCTTCCTCCTCTTCCTCAAGGAGAAAAGAGGAAAAACGTAAGTTCCAAATTCGAATATTCAGAAAGTGATGGAATAAGATATTGATTTATCGTTTCTTCAAAAAGATAATGTAAAACATCCAAGCGATATCTCTTTGTATTTGAATGGATTGAATGCCTGAAGCCATTTCTTGTGTGCCATATTAATGTACTATTGCTGAATGTTTGCTACACCACGCTCAATTACACCTTTTGTTTGTTAGAGAAGGAATCATATATGTAGGCAATGGTTAAGATGTACGAAATGACAGCCAGTAAAATTGTTCCTTGGAATTTACTCCAGTCTTTGAATCCAAGGCCAAACATTCAGAGCAATGTTTCATATCAGTGAATGTTGTTTCAGCTGTAGAGGTGGTGCCACAGTTTTCTGAAAACCTCTCCCCTGTGTCCTTGACCGAGGGAGAACGGCTAGCTCTACAGTGCACCGTGTCCGGCAAACCAGAACCCAATGTTGAGTGGTACTTTAACGGACAGGTGAGTTATCTCCTCTTAGATGATGTCAGAATCCATTCCATAGAGTATAAAGCCAGAACCCATCCCACAGAGTCTGAGGCCAGAATCTTTTCTATAGAATCTAAAGCCAGAATCCATCCCACAGAGTCTAAAGCCAGTACCTATTCCATAAGGTCTAAAATGAGTACCAGTTCTACAGATTGATCTATTTGATGTCTATCCAAAAATATTCCTTGTCAACATGTTCTTGCTTGTTGAAGGCAACCACATATCAAGGTCTGGTTTACCAGCTCCAACTAGCTCCAAGCGAAGCTACATACAGCAAGCTCTCTGGTACTCAAGGTCACATATCCAATATTACATCAGTTTCATTTTTGTTGCAGATGATGAAATCGGACGACGTAGTATCTCTAAGTTATAGCAATGGTGTGTGTAAATTAGTTATTTCGGACACAGTTATAGACGACGAAGGTACCTACGTATGTAAAGCTTCCAACCCTGCAGGTGTTGCATCCACCAGAACCAACGTTACCGTTAAAGGTAGGGGAGAGAACTCTTGTCGTGTATATGTGTCTATTACTGCAATTTAGCATGGAATGACAGGCATATTGGGTGTCGAAATAATCATATGTATTAGTATATCTAATAGATTCTCAATTGACATAAGGATGTTACATATTCGTTTCCTTTTCATCATTTGGTCCTCGTGAACATTGTGATAAAAAGTTATAGTTTTGCCAGACCAGTTTATATAAATATCTGTTTAACATTCTTCATCAATGCTCAAAAAGACCAGTTTGACAAATACAAATCATGACCATTCAATGATTTGGGGAACACAGTTTTGAAATAAGATTTAAACTAAAATATAAAGAAGAATATATTTTAGATTTGAAACAAAATTAACATATTTCCTTATCAGTGGAAACTTTTGCAAAAGTTCAGTCATGCTGATGTGCAAAACAAGAAACTGTTTTGATTATATACAGTAAGGAATCATGAATATTTGTGGTGATATTTCTATGAGTTTATCTTCTCTGCAAACATGGTATGGTTTTACATGACATCAGAAATTTTGAAACTCTTGTAATGACCCTCACAGTGCCTGTCCTTCCTTCATGTATATGTACTGTAGATTGTGTTCTTGTATTAACATCATTATACAATGTACAATGTATAGTCTGTTTCACCATGTATAGTCACTTTTCACAAAGTATAGTCAGTTTCACAATGTATAGTTGTTTCATAGAACTAATCAGTAAGCATGCATGTTGTAAAACTAATTGTACAGTCGCTAATTCATTGGAAAAAAGTGCACTTTTTCATGTAACATTTCACAATTTTCTACAAAAATAAATGCACTTTATTCCACCTGTTGTAGAGTAGAAATTATATTTATATTCTATGTTGTCAGTAGATATTAATTCTAAATTAGGGTAGCTTTATAACTCTTACTATTATGTAACAATGATTTTAGGAGCTATTTATTTATGCTCCCTGCAAAAGTGTATTCATCTAACCTTGACCTTTTGCTGACCTGGCCTTGACCCCATTGTGTTCCAGGCAAGGTCACTCCCAGCGCCCCCAAACCAGCGGCAGCTCCTGCTGAAACAGAAAGTAATGAACTTGCTTGAGTTGATTTTGCTTTTTGGATAAACTATTAAGATTATTTGTGTGACATGCTTGTTTGATTAGTAGGATTTAGAAATATACAAATTCCTCTTTTTCAGATTCATCCATGTACATATTTTCATTATATTATTTACGTTGAATTGTACATATATTTTCCAATTTTATTTTTATGTAACATATAGATGTGTCTGTCTGTGATACTGTATGTGTTTTAACATTCCTTTGTAACCATGACAACAGTAAATAATCCTGAGTAGCCTAACTGACCATTCATATATCGCTTTCAACGTCACCCTAATGACTATGTTTGCTACCAACCCTAACTGTACGATCAAGCCTTTTTGATGTTGTTGCCATGGCAACAGAACCACAAAATATATAATAGTTTTGATTTACATTTTACTTTGCGCAACATAAACAAATCCTTTCTGAACATTGTGTATGACAGTGATAGTTTGGAATATAAATTACAGCGGTATTTTGGTAATTGTTTCAGAACTGTTTTTGGATTTCTTTGTTTTCTTGTAATTTTGTTCCAGCTAATATCTGTGATTGATTAAAACTCTTTGGTGTCTTTGACAACTCATGTAACATCTGTGATGATTTATTTTTGGAGTTGTGTGAATGACAGAACTCAGAATGAAACTGAAATTCGATGTCATTAAATTGAATGAAACCTTTTAAAGTCTTTTCTTGTGAACAAAATGCAATCTTGATGTTAATGTTTTGGACATTTGTGTGAATGGTGTGAACAAAATTGACATTTTTCATATTTTGATTGAATAATGAAATGATGATTGTGATGATGAAAAAAAATCATGTGGAAAATTGCAAGTTTGTGAATAAAATTGAAAACTTCATTTATCATATTGTGATTGTGGTATGTGAGCTTACATGGCTCAGAATGAGGCCCTTCTAACATTCTCTGTTTTCTTACCCTTTTATGCTGAGTGACATTGACCTTGACATTGACCTTAAGGTTCAAGGACAACTGTCAGGAATGACATCAAACTGTGAAACTTCAACAGAATACAGTACTCATGGCCAAAATACAGGAAACATGAAATTGTATAACCTTAATCCTGTTCTGATGCGGAACAAGATGGCTGTAGTGACAAAACTAAAATCAGTGTCATACACGATAATTGTCAAGAAGTTTAAAAAAAGACACGATCATGGCATTTGGAAGTTTGATTATTCAAATTGGTACATTTGAAAATGTACAAGAAATTCAATTTTATTCATTTCAAAAACAAAATGGTTGTACTACAAGTATGCTGACAACTGAACATTGCCTTTCGTCAGGCTTGTAGGAATGTACGGTTTAATGGTCTATAATCAGGATACTTAGAACCTGACGTCCTACTGATCACCAATATACAGGGAAGCTATGTTACCTTGATCTTCATCTACATATTTCATAAAACAGTAATTTGACATTAAAATAGGGCATTGCTCATATTGATCACTGGATTGTCTGGTCCAGGCTTGATTAATAACAAGTCCTCATCATATATCTTGAATAAAGTGTAATGTTAAACAACTAAACAAACAAACAAGTCTAAAGTTCTTGGCCTTTTTGTGATCAACATGTGTCAATACTGAAAGGGGACAGTGTGGTAACCTACTGGTTTCTCGTTAGCTCCCTCCAAAGACCTGTGTTTGATTCCCAATGTGTACAATACGTAACACCAATTTCTGGCATCCCTCATCTTGATACGGGGCAGTGGGGTAGCCTAGTGGTTAAAGCGTTGGCTCGTCACGGCGAAGGCCTGGGTTCGAATCCCCACATGGGTACAATGTGTGAAGCCCATTTCTGGTGTCCCCTGTCGTGATGTTGCTGGAATATTGCTAAAAGCGGCATAAAACCAAAACTCAGTCAGTCAGTCATCTTGATACTGCTTGAACAGGCTAAATGCCCCAGTCTGAAGAAAACATCAACCAAGTGGACATATGAGAAGGTATTTTGCCTCAAATATAAAGTACAATAATTTGATCAGCTGAACAGCTAGCTATTCAGTGTCCGAAATATACACTAATAATGGTTTCTGAAATATGTTGATGGCTTAGTGACCATGAAATGAATTTAAGATGTCGTGCTGGTGTGTACCTGCTAGTATCAATGGTTACTCCAAAGATCTCAAGCTAACATGGCTTCTCTGTATCAACTAATGCCACTCCAGTAGATAGTACTGCTAATATTGTGTTCTCTCCCCCAGGCCAGCCAGAGCCTGTAGAGCCCCTGCCACCAGCGGACACGCCCGCACCTGAACCAGAAAGTAATAGCTATCACTAACATGTGTAGAACTGAACCAAAGTACTGTCCATCACTGTCAGTTAGATGTAATCAGAAAATGCATGAAGAAAAATTCCTGAAGTTATTTTTCAAAGAAAACTAATGAATAAGGGAAATTGCTCTACATTTTAGAATTTGTCAACTTCTGAAAATGATATAGCAGCACTTGTGACTTTGTTAGTCCAGTAGATAGTGATTGAATCTTCCCTTAGGCCACCCCCAGAGGACACTCCCGCACCTGCTCCAGAAAGTAATAGCTATCACTAACATGTGTAGAACTTAAAGACTCATGTCAGTTAGATGAATCAGAAAATGCATGAAGAAAAATTCCTGAAGTTATTTTTCAAAGAAAACTAAAATGATATAGCCCTTCTATGATGAATCTTCTTAGGCTGGTTTTGCTATTGGAACTTATAGACTCTGTAATGAATAAGGGAAATTGCTTTACATTTTTAGAATTTGTCAACTTCTGAAGCATTTTAATTTGGCTGATTAACTGTAGAAAGATACAGCACTTGTGACTTTGTTAATCCAGTAGATAGTGATTCTGATCACATTCTTCCCTCAGGCCAGCCAGCCCCTGTCGAGTCCGTCCCCCCAGAGGACACTCCCGCACCTGCTCCAGAAAGTAATTAACATGTGTCTTTTGAAATACATCCATATGACCCCCTCAAACTTTCCTGTTCCAATCTTTTGATATGTAGTAAAACATAAAGTCTGTACTGATAATTGTTTCGTGAAAACTCAGGTCAACACAATTACTAAGCTTTGTATCCAAAGTTGATCACCTGTAGTACTTAAAACTAGTACTTGACTAACTATTCCAGTATTAACCAATCCCTGTTTTCCTTCCCAGCACCAGTTGCAGAACCAGCGGTGCCTGAGACAGAACCAGAATCTCAGCCACAAAGTACTTAACACTGTTGTTCAAGATTTTCTTTTTTTCAACTCTCACTTGTCTTCTTCCTTTCCTCTGTTTTTCAAAGTACCAAATTCACTCAAACTTCTGAAAGAACTGTCTATTTTCATTTGATTTTCATGTTCTTATTAAATGACATAAAACAAGTGACCCATGCAAAATAGTTTCTCGTCTTCACTGACCAACATATTGAAGCCAGCCCATAGATACAGAAAAAGTCAATATTTACCTGTCTTTTTGATGGAACAATCAAAGCACTGTGAAGAAAAGATTTCAATTCTTTCAATCGCTTTGGCCAATATATTTTAATCTGCTCATAACATGAGCAATTTGCAAAATTTTAAATGCTTACTCTGTTTGACTTGAAAATGAAATGCATTAGATCTTTTAGATCTTCAGAGACTGCTTTCCTGAAAACTATTTCACACCACTATGTTGAATTGTCACATCAAGCAGGGATGCTCAAAAAGAATTAAAGAGTATGAGTATCTATCGGTGATTCCTATGTAGTATGAAGACACTGACAACACTCTGTTTCCATCAGCTAATACCATTCTGCTTCTGTCAGATCCACCGACAGAAGAATCTCCTAGTTCCCCTCCCGGAACCAGAGACTCCTGTACAATGTAAATATACTAACACTCTATCCTAATCCATGGATAACTTTAACACTTACTTATACATAACTCTTAAGCTTACTAAACTCTAAAGTATATTTTTCACATTAACAATGATTAATATTGACATGAACATATTGAATGTTTTCATTACATGATAATATTTGACATTATTAGAGGACACTGTAATTCAGTGACTGAGATACTGTGAAATTAAAATGTGACTTTGTTCATTCATTCTTGGACTAAATTTCGCGGAGAATGGTATATTGAGCTGTTCTGAATGGAAGCAATATACCATACCATAGGCTTTAGTCGACTCTAAAAATGTCAAATATTGTGTGATCATTTTCAGAGATGTAAGATTTATTACAAATTAATAAAGATTTATGAACAAATTATATATTTCTGCAAAAAGTTGCAGACCTTAGAAGTGTAATAATGCTTTCCAATTTCCTGAATTGTCTCCTGTGTGTCAAGCAGTTGTCTCCCCTGTCTGGGAGTTGTCTCCCATGTGTCCAGCAGTTGTCCCCCCTGTGTCTGTGCTGGTATTCCTAGCTTATTCCTCCTCTTCCTCCCAGCTGAAGAGAGTGCACCTGCACCTGCACCTGCCCCCGCCCCAGAGGCTGAGGCTCCCGCCCCCACCCCAGAGGCCGAGGCCACACAACCTACAGGGGGAGAAGAAAGTAATGGACAGTGTTGATTGGCGTGTTTGGTTCACACTGTTTCTTTCATTCTTCTTAGGAAGTTTTGTTTCTTTACCTCTCTCCACTTCTCCAGGCATATTTCACTTTGAATATTTTGGTTACCCAAAATATATGATTGAATAAGATCCTACACATTTCTCAAGAAGGTGATTATCCCAGAAATATGATAGGCTAAGCAGGGCTCCAGATAATTTTTCAACATCAGGAGCACGTACTCCTTATATTTTCAATGCAGGAGTACTGGAAAAACATAAGAGTACATTCAGAGTACTGAATGGAATTTAATGGCGTATCAGTAATCTTGTGTTTCATTTCATATACGCACCACAACATTGCTACTCTTGTGTAAACAGGTCAATAAACAATAACACAGTACTTTTTCAGATAAATACGTCTGTAAATGATTCTAAGACCGTACACCATTGCAGTGGTGCGTATCTGCTACGTTTTCTAAATTATTTCCTACCGTATCGTGCATATTTTTTATCCGTACATACGCCGATACGGCCCTCATCTGGAGCCCTGCTAAGATCATGATCACGATGGAGACTCAAGAAGGTGTTGAATCCAATCCAATGAAATATGCCTGTGCTTCATCGTCTTCCTTCATGTCTGCCTCGTCTTTCAGTTTCTGGTGAATGACATTCTCAGATACCCTTGGTAGTAAAACTGTTACATTATTGTATTTCCCTCACAATTTACAAAAATACAGTCTGTGGTTGAGGTCACTATAATGGGGATCTGATGACACAGTGATTGCTATGAAGGGATAGCCCACAGACTGGAAGCCATCAGGAACATCTGTTATTGGCTGTTTGTTGGTCATAGTACCAACAAAATGCATAGATCATGCACTCCATCCAACATGCATAGATCATGCACTCCATCCAACAGATCATGCACTCCATCCAACATGCATAGATCATGCACTCCATCCAGCAGATCATGCACTCCATCCAACATGCATAGATCATGCACTCCATCCAACATGCATAGATCATGCTCTACGTCCAACATGCATAGATGTGAATCAAGCTGTCAAAATCATATCTGACCGTACTCACTACTTAAATTCGGAATACAACCTCCTCCCTTCAGGCCGCCGCTACAAAGTTCCAATTGTGAAAACTAAGAGAGCCAGTACATCCTTTATTCCAAGTACCATATCTCTCTTAAACAAATGTGAAGATACCTAAATCAAAGAATTTATGTAAATATGTTTGGTATCTCTCTAATGTGTCAGTAGCTATGCTGATGTAACACAAATTCCTGAAAGGCATTAAAGTATTATTCTATTCTATTCTATTCTATTCTATTCTATTCTATTCTATTCTATTCTATTCTATTCTATTCTATTCTATTCTATTCTATTCTATTCTATTCTATTCACTGTGTCCAAAATGCATAGATCATGCTCTACATCCATCATGCATAGATCATGCACTGTCCAACATGCATAGATCTTGCACTGTGTCCTACATGTCAAACTCTGACTCGCTCACTTAACCTGCCACGCCATGTTCAGGGTATGCATGCAGCATTCATGCACATAGGCAGGTGTGCCATTGTATCTGTCGATGTAGCCTCATTATGTCAATCACTGGATTGTCTGGTCCAGACAGTTTTCATGGAGTGGAAACATTTCTGAGCGTGCATTAAATGATAAACAGAAACAAACATAAGCAGGTGACACTTAAACAAAATTCTTTAAATTCTTGCATTCAGATTAAAACATACCCTGGGTGATGAGAATGACATCTTTTAAAATTCTGTTTCATCTTCTCCTTCTTCAAGTCTTATTTCTAGTTAGTTTTTATCTTGTTTTATCTTGTGTGAATTTCATCTTTTTTTCAGAGTTTGACATGTGTGAATTTTGCTGATCGTGCTGACCAATCTTTTAATGAATGCCACATTGTGTCTTTTTAGATAGAAATAAGATGAGACTCTTTTTTTATCATGCCCACAATAGTTGCAGGTGTGTGACAATTTTAGTTTGCTTGACTAAAATGCACAACTTAGTTGGGTACATTTGTCAATGCCATGTGTTTTGGTACTTTATAAACGTAATGTATGTACTCATTCATGTGTTCAGCAGTAAAACAGAACTAACATGAAAAAGTATAAAGATATCTAAGGCGATACTTTTTAAATATAAGTTATTTGGGATGTAAAAAGTACAAAGTGAAAAAATAACCATGGAATCTCCTTTTTTGTGCCAAAGATTTACATAAGACCATTCAAAATGGTCAGACAGAGGTGGATCCAGGATTTTGGAGAAGGGGTGCACATAAATCATGAAGTACAAACGTTAGGGAGAAATGCTCCTCAGGGAAAGATTTTTCCAGGGTGTGTGGTGTGCGTGTGTGCTTACACACCCTCTCTGTTGTTTTGGCCTTTGATCCAAGCTCCTTACAGCATTAAGCCCATGTGCTCTCTATGCTGGGACAAAACAAAACAAAAGTGGCACGCACTGAATAGGAGCTTGTGGTTTTATCAAGTCAAGGGAGATTACTCTCATTCTTCACCTCCCGACTCACTGCATATGTTCAACCATATGACCATATGAAATTAACTTTTTTGAACGGAAGAAATAAAAAGTATCGCCAAACATAAAATCTGATGTAACTTTGATTGCTCAAAATAATGTTTCTTTGTTTTCAGCAGAGCAGACAGCCGAATCTTAAGTCAGCCCATTGTCCTTCTCTTCCTTAAGACCCCCCTCTCAATGAACACATATTATTTTTTTATTTGTTTTTTAGTCAAATTTGAGTTCCCATGAGGCTTCAATATAATCTTGTCATTCATGAGATTGTCAGGTTTACCATAAAATTTGAAGTCTATTTACATGATAAGATCCAGCAACATACTCTAAGTAGCCTGAGAGAATTTATTGTTAGAACAAATATTTTTGTAATGTATACATGACTAGTTGTAGTGTAAATATTAGTTGCATGCCTAAGCATGAATAGAAAATATATTTATATTTATATTATATTTATAGAATCTATAACATACATATTTTGAAGTATGTAAGTAAAAAATGATTTAAAAAGCGTAACAGATCCAAATATGAAATGGTCCAAAAAGTCTAAAGACATTAAAATATATTTTAAAAAGTAATGCAAGCCACATTTAAATTGATTCAAAATTTATGGTAACATTGATCATCTGGATATCATTCATGACATTTTTATATTTGCGGTCATTGGTCATTTCATTGATATGATTTTTATGAAGTCAGTTTGTTCAAAATATATACACTCAAAATCAAACCCATAGATTAATTGTCCACCCACCCACCTCACAGACCACCCTCTGTATCCAAACAACCCTACCCACCTTCACTAGTCTACCTTCACCCCGGTATAAAAACTTCCTGCACTCTCAACCCAATAACTTACACCAGGGGAGTGAATCACTGGCTGGAAGCCATTTTGTTTTCTCACCATGAGAAAGCGTCCTGATTGGCTGACACACAAGTCGTTGAGTTATCCCCCCTTGGGATTGACTGCATTGACCAGGGAACTTCTCTGAATGCAACACAAGACCCAGGAATATTGCAAGACTAATTATTCAATATGTTGAGAGTGCTTTGGGAGTCTCACTGCCGCCAGACTTACCATACAGGTACAATGGAGAAAATTTTATTTGCTTTTGAGTAAAATGAATATTTTCATCCTGTGTCACAAATATGATAGGGACAAAACATGTTTTTAATATAATTTTTTATGATAAGATATATCAGTATGTTTTACAGATGTAGTTTTGAAGTTTTTTAAAATATTTTCAGCAGTTTGTCAGCTGACTTAACAGTAAATAGTACTGTATTTGTGTATCGTAACGCATGTTGTCTAGTGTTCATGGCGTAGTAGCTTAGATAAGCATGAGCACAACGTGGCACAATTGATTGTGGATATACACACACTGATGTCACACTTATATATCCTTGTATGACATAACTCAACATTTACTTTCAGCTACAATTGTCCACATACTAAGAAAAGAAATATATTTGTTATTTCTTTTAGTGGTCTCTAATGAGTGAAATATTTTTTAAACTTTCTTGGAAAACATCTGATCTTTATCCATGTTTCACTAGGTTATTTTGATTGTCCATGAAAAAAAAATTATTACTTATCTCTGTGATGTCAGTGATGGTTGTTGGCTGGCAAATAGTATTTCTTTTGTTTTTGGTCTGTTCTCATGTTTACTGTATTTCGAGTATGTTGGTGACAAGAGATGAAGGACAAATATTCATATTCAGACGTATTTTTGGGATATATTCTCTTTCTAAATGTAGCTCCATTAAGTCAATACTGGTAGCATTAATTCTATCCTGAAACTGTTCAAATAAAGAATCTACTCGAGTGGAAGCAGTTGTATTCAAAGGATTATACTCAATTAAGTGATTGCTACATTTTTTTTAATAATTATAGTCATAACCTGTGCCAAATTCTTTTCTAATATTTATAAGAATTTAGAAGTCATGTTCAGTGTATCTACAATCCATATTTTAGAAGAACCCGTTGCCCCTGCTCCAGGGAAGAAATCTGACATTGAAGTCCCAAGTTTCCTAGACCAAGTTCAAGGTCAGATTGTTCTAGATGGAGACCAGGTGACCTTCCAGTGCAGGATATCAGGTAGATATACACTTTGATATGATGGATATAAACTTTGTATATACACTGTACATACACATGCAGGTATAGAGTTTATACCATGCTACCCTGACAATTATAAGGTTTATGCAATGTTACACTGACAGATATACACTTTGATATGATGGATATAAACTTTGTATATACATACACATGCAGGTACATAGGCGGATCCAGAGGGGGGGTGCAGGGTTGCGCACACCCACCCCCCTTGTGCTGAAAGTTTGTCATAAAAGACCATTGAAACTCGGGTGAAAATGAAGTGTGCACCCCTCCTTTTCTCAATAGTGTGCACCCCCCCTTTCTCAAAAAGCTGTATCCGCCTCTGAGGTATAGAGTTTTTACCATGCTACTCTGACAATTATAAGGTTTATGCAATGTTACACTGACAGATATACAGTTTATACCTTGTAACACATACTGACTGACAGATGCAACATTTATATCATATTATCTGACCTGAAATCAAATGCCTTAAGCTTCATGGACTTTATACTACAGAGTTCTGCCCAGATGAGTTGTCTGCTTGATTTACGGGTCATCTCCTTACATTTTAAGTAAAAGATTCAACATATTAGCATACAAAGAAATATTGGGGTAAAACAATATTAAGAATTTATCACTTGTGCACGATACATTCATCTGTAAAGTACATTGTTCTGGCATTACTTGACAGTTTCATGTTAAAATATTCTTAAATGGTATTGCCCAAGTATTGTCTAACACTGGCAAAATATTGTCCAGTATTGTCCTAGCATTATTCTAGTACTGTACTTTCATTGGCCTTATGTTGTTGATTATTGTACAAATATTGTCCAAGTATTGTCCTAGCATTGTCCTGGTACTTTCTAGTATTGCCCAACATTGTCCTAATACTGGTCTAGTATTCACCAATACTGTCATAGTACTGGCCTAGTATTGTCCTTGTACTGACCTACCCTTGCCCACTATTGTCCTTGCATTGTCTTAGTACTGGTCTAGTATTGTCCAACATTGTCCTTGTAGTGGCCTAGTATTGTCCAATATTGTCCTAGTACTGGCAGGGTATTGACCAGTATTGTCCTAGCATTGTCTCAGTTTTGTCATCAGACAACAGACGATAACCCAACCCTTGTTTGACCAGGTAACCCTGAAGTCCAATGGTTACGGGAAGGCAAGACAATCAAGGACTGTGGAGACTTCCAGTACGAGAAGTCTGGCGATAGCTACAAACTGGTAATGGCTGAGGTGTTTCCCGAAGACAGTGGTGTTTACGAGTGTGTCGCTACCAACGCTGCTGGATCAATCTCAAGTGCTGCCTCGCTACTCGTACAAGTTCCCGATGAGAAACCAACCGGTCCTGTTTTCGTCACATTCCCCAAGTCCCAAAACGCGGATGAGGGGAGTTCTGTCAAGTTGTCTTGCAGTGTAGAAAGCCAGTCTTCACCTACAGGTATGTCACAGTATGCTTTTATCACTTATTGAAGTCTGACCAGTGAAGATCCGAGGTAGAATAGGTCTTCAGCAACCAAAGGTGACTATGCTTGTCGTAAGAGGCGACTAACGGGATCGGGTAGTCATGCTCGCTGACTTGGTTGACACTTGCCATCGGTTCCAAATTGCTTGGATCGATGCTCATGCTGTTGATCACTGGATTGTCTGGTCCAGACTCGATTATTTACACACTGCCACCATATAGCTAGAATATTGCTGAGTGTGGTGTAAAACTAAAATCACTCACTCACTTATAGAAGTCTTGTTTACCCCAAATCTCAGATTCTACCTTATCCTGTCTTTATGCTAATTGCTATCTCGTAATTGTCCATAAATTAGCCCTAAATTTAGAATATAAATATTATAAAATTGTTATTATGAAATCAAAATATTTAAAATAATAAAAATATAGATAATAGGATGCCAAGGACAAGTATTGAATACAATTTCGACTTGCATGTTGGGCGGAACATGAGAGGGTGACTACTGGACTTTAATGATGTGTTTGAGTGAAAGTTTTCTGTTGTTCAGGAACAACTGAATGCAAAAATATCAAACATTTTTAATGCAAACATGTCAAACGCATACGATTGTTTTAGTTTCCTGGAGCCGCGCCGGCCGAGAAATTGAGGATACTGGACGGTTCAAATTCACCCAAGATGGCAAGAACTTCACTTTCGAGATTCCCGCCGTGCTGTCCACTGATTCCGGAGCATACACAGTAAAGGTCAAGGATGACTCTGGCAGTGCGACATGGGCGTTTTCTTTACATGTTGCCATCGACGAATCCGCAGGGGGTGATGTGGACGTTCAGCAATTTCTCAAGTCTGTCGCAGTAAGTAGTCCGTCACTCAAGTGGAAAAGTGTCTTCATGTTTTATTAGGTTGTTGATTAAAGCTGCAATCAGCAATATTCCATCTACGTCATGGCCAAGTCCTGTTGTGTCAGTTTTTGTTTGTTTTGCCACACTCAGCAATATCCCAGCTAAATAACGAAGTCATGGCCATTGGTCTACACAGTCAGCATACAGTGACATGCATGAACCAAGTCAACAAGCCTGTCCACCATATCCCATTTCTCTTTCAAGAAGCATTGGTTCCTGGAGACCAATTCTATCCCAGATAGTTATGGGTATATTAAATCACGAAAATCATCTCATAGACAATTCCATATGGAGATGCAATGATTTGTTAACACAAAATTGATAACATTACTTAATACTGAAATTAGGGACCGTTCATAATTTATGGCTTTGTGGGTGGTTGGGTGGGGGGTGGTGGTGTGTGTTTAAGGAGGAGGGTCACCCATTTTATTCTGGGGAGGTAGGGTTGTCATCAATTTTATACACATGTACTTGTAGGGGGGAGTCGTTGATTTTGTACATGTAGGGGGATGGTCATTTACTCTGTACATAATTTGTTTTGGGGATGGGGGTTTGGGTTTGGGTGGAGTGTCATTCACGTTGTAAATGCTTCTCTATAAAACCATAAATATCATCATCACTCCCTCAAGCCATAAATTACGATACATTTTTTTGTATTTGTGAATACACACGAATAATGTGCTTATAAAAAAATCATAGTGGTTGTTGAGTTGTTGAGTTGGGTTTTACGTCACATCGGCATTATTGCAGCCATATAGTGACGAGAACAAGGTTGCATTAATAAACATTGTAAGTACATAATCGGAATGAGGTTTTTTTTAAAAGCATAGTAACCAGTGTATATTTTGTGATGTGTTTTAAGGAAAATAGTATCCAAAATGATTTCAGTCATCAGGAACTCTCCCTTGTATTTCAGTAATCCAGACCCTGCCCATAGCCTGCCCAGCTCCTCACGCCATCTCTATCGACCTGAGGCGTAGTGCATGACTGATTTACTGGACAGACTGATTTCACTATCGTCAAACTGTGATCCATCATCTATAAATATGTATCACCAGCCGAACTCCACCCAAGACAAAAACTCAATAAAAATATGACCTGGTTTGGCCGAGTTTTCAACTCTTTCCACCAAAGCCTTGTCACACATTTGGAATATAATGTAAATTTATGCAGTGACCCGATTTTGAAGATTTGTATAGTGTGTTGTACTACTGGTCAATTGCAGAATTTGATTTCCTTTTCTATGGACTGTTAATATTATTGTGAAGATATTTAAATACAAATTTTAAGTTATTGGCAGAAATGCTAGATTATAGAACATGACTTATGTTTTAAAGAAGAATGGTCAATCTTGATCTTTGTTCCTATATATGAATGAACCCCAAACAACTTTTTTAAAAGATTGTTAATGTCATATTTTCACTAATTATTAACCACACATTTTTGTTAAATATTGTAAATTTTGTTTTGGAGTATTGAATGAATGAATGGCGAGTGTTTGAGGGTCCTGATGGGGCAGACCAGACGTCAAAAGTTGGTTTCTAGGTAAATTATTAAGATCAAGACGAATTGGTATCAGGATATAAATATAAAGATAGCTTTAAGCAAATGTTTTATTGTAATCATGCCTAAGTCTTTCACATGTAAACATTTAATTCCATTTGTTGTTTTGTTGTTAATGGGTTGTACCAAAAAATATCTATAGAAAATTTATTTTTGGAAATATATTTGTGTAAATTTTAATTGTAAATCATGTAAAGCAAGAATATATCATTTTAGAGTAGAAAAAACAATATAGTTAACTTTTGACTGCTGATACCCCCTTCTGCCCCCTCTGAAAGAAAGTGTGTATTTTCACTTTACTATGTAGACGCTGCTTCACAAACCTCTCGGCAGGTCGTCCCCACAGGCTCGTTTGAAGCTGACAAAATATTGATACAGGAGACAATGCTAGAGTCACGTGTTTCAAATGATTAATCAAGAGATGGTTGGAAGGTAGAATAATACTTTCCCAACAACTTGTATTCAGTGTCTGAAATTTACACTTCTTATGGTACATCTACATTGTAGAGGGTGATCATTACGACGTTTCTTATATTTAGTATCAGCTCACTAGATGTGGAGTGTTTTTTGTGTTCATAAAGATATCTTAAGTTTTCATCTTTAGTTTGAAGTAGTTGTTGAGATAATCTGAGAAACTGCCATGGATCATACTGTATCATCAACACAAACTTGAGATGAAAACGGTCAAGGGGAGATAACCGAACTGCCGTTTCATTGTGAACACAATCTCAAACATTCATATCAATGGAGTCATAAAATGTGACCTTGTATTTGTTTTGATGTGGAATGTTAGTGTGAAATCCAAATATGAAATAATCGCGATCTTATGAATAATTATAGATGACAGCTTCAAATGAGCGTCTGCGGACATCTTGTAAGGCCTGGTACTGTTAAGTACTGTTGTCGACTGTTCTGTGTGTGGCCTGTCTCTCTGCGACGGTGTGTGCGAGTGTGTGGTGCGCACGTCGTGAGCGAGACACAGCCCTCTTCAAGCTGCTATGTTGGATTGAGTTTTGTTCAAGTTGGACAATGGTGCTGCTGCTCCCCTCCCGCCTGTACCAACCCAGAGTTCAATAAAACACGGAAAACAATACCAGTCTCCTGTCTCTTTTACTAGTTTGTTTATTTGTTGGTTGGTTGTTTAGCGCAGCACTCAGCAATATTCCAAATATATGGCAGTGGCCTGTAAATAACTGTGTCTGGACCACAGGATTCAGTAATCAACATCATGAGCATCGATCTACACAATTGGTGAGGTGAGGTGAGGTGAAATTGGGTTTAACGTCGTACTTGAGAATATTTCACTCATATGACGACGTGTATGCGTGTGTATGTGTATGTGCGGCTGCTTGCACTAGCCCAGACTTAAGCTGGTTTTATAGTGCTAGCCCACTGAGATACCATGCCGCAGTGAAGCATGAATACCCCGCTCAGACACATTATACTGACTTCGAGCCGACCAGTCCTTGTTGTACCCATTAATGCCAAGCGCCAGGCAGGGACCACAAGTACCATATCTTAACGTCTTTTGGTATGACGCGGTCGGGGATCGAACCCGCGACCTTCCGTTCTCCGGGCGGACGTTCTAACCACCACCACGGAGGCGGTCATCAACATCATGAGCCTTGATTTACACAATTGGAATATGATGACATGGCAACCAAGTCAGCGAGCCTGACCACCTGATCCTGTTGTCTCCTCTTGCTGAAGACTAATTCTGATCTTCACGGGTTTCTTTTACTGGTGAGGAAGTTGACAGTGGCCTCTTACAACAAACAATGGGTTGCTGACGACCTCTGTCCTGGATCTGCACAGGACTGAAAAGTCAGATGTCAATACTGGAGTGAGCGAGTTAGGTTTTACGTCGCTTTTAGCAACAGTACGGCAGGGCACACCAGAAATGGGATTCACACATTGTACCCATATGGGGAATTGAACCAGGGCCTTCAGCGTTACAAGTGGATGCTATAACCACTAGGCTACCCGACCACCCCATCAATACTGGAAGCTTTGTTGTTTTGCAAGATCTTTCAAAGCAATACAAAGCAGGTTGCATACCCACATTATCATGTTAACAGACTGACTGACTGACTGAGTTTGGTTTTACGCCGCTTTAGCAATATTCCAGCCACATCACGGCGGGGGACACCAGAAATGGGCTTCACACATTGTACCCAGGTGGGATTCGAACCCGGGTCTATGGCGTGGCAAGCCAACGCTTTAACCACTAGGCTACCCAACCGCCCCTCATGTTTACAGAGCTGTCAGCATTGTTGCAGTGTCGGTTGAATGTGAAAGGAAATACATTTATATGGACGTTTACCACTTTTGTGAATCTTCTGCTGACTAAACAATCCTGATTAGGGTGAATCTTGTGTCAAAACGTGTAAAGAAGTCTTGCTCTTTGCCGCCTCTCTTTTTCAGCTTTTCATGGTAATCTGGGACTGTGAATAATGATCATAGGATTCTGGCATGCTTAAGGGACACAACTCTGCACAGAAAATTGCTGTATCAGAGTGGGCCATCCAGATGGACATTGGACAGATTTCAGGTGTCGGGGACTGAACCAGCGGACACCCATTGTGGTTTTGAGGGACAAAATATTGTTTTTACACTTGTCCATAATGTCACAACTGTAACAGTTGCCTGTACTATACAGATGGTAAAAAGTTAAGCTGCACCAATATATTTGATGTGTCAAATTATATACATTGAAAATTTAAATAAATTTTGTTTTTATGATCAAATACAGAAACACCAACAGACAAAAAAGGAGTTGTGGGGCTATCAGGGGCTATCCAGGGGCTATCCAGGGCAGTATCAAAAGGATTGCTTAAAATCAGTATTCATGTGCCATCACATTTGTGTGCATAGATTCATCATCTGTTAATGTACACTATCATTGAATTTTTAACCTTCGCACATTAGTTACTGTTTTCCAAGGAGTTTGGTGTTGCATTACTGTTCACCATCAGTATAGATATGGTGAGTAAGGTGAGGTGAAATTGGGTTTAACGTCATGCTTGAGAATATTTCGCTCATATGACGACATGCATGCGTGTGTATGTGTATATGCGGCTGCTTGTACTAGCCCAGACTTAAGCTGGTTTTATAGTGCTAGCCCACTGAGATACCATGCCGCAGTGAAGCATGAATACCCCACTCAGACACATTATACTGACTCCGAGCCGACCAGTCCTTGTTTTACCCATTAAGGCCGAGTGCCAGGCAGGGAGCAACAAGTACCATATTTAAACGTCTTTTGGTATGACGGGGTCGGGGTCGGGATCGAACCCGCGACCTTCCGCTCTCCGGGCGGACACTCTAACCACTACACCACGGAGACTAACCATGAACACATGCCATTTAGAAAGTGGTCAAATGTAACGTTACACATATATAACAAATTCTCAGTAAACCGTTGTGGCTGAGCGGTTTAGGCAGCTGACTGTGTGCTGGTGATAATGTGCCCGACTCTGAGAGTGCGAGTTCGAATCCCAGATGGGAGTCAAACCCAACACAAGTACTAGAATCTGTACTTTACTAATAGACAGCCTCTGTCCTGTAGTGGTCAGAGCGTCCGCCCGGAGAGCGAAAGGTCGGAGTTCGATCCCGACATACCAAAAGGCGTTAAAAATGGTACTTGTTAGGTCCCGCCTGGTTCGATTCATGGGCCCGACGGTCTGCTCGAGTCATCTGAGTGGGGTATACCAAAAGTATCTCAGTTAAAATATGGTACTTGTTGGTACCCTGCCCATACACATACGCCGTCATATGGCGAAATATTTCAAGCACCTAAACCCAATTTCACCTCACCTCACCTTTACTAATAAAGTGTAATCCCAAATATAACATAAAAGACCAACCATTTGACAATCGGTTGAACAACCATCCAGACAACAGCAAGGTACACTAGGATGAACAACAAACACAGACTTCATATCACTGGTTTATTGGCTGAATGTTGTAGCCAGAGACGCAGACTCGCTACATCAACAGGTTGGCAGCCATCTTGGAAAGCTGGTCCTTCTAACAAAACATGTCATTGATTTCAACACAGTCACACACGCCTGAGGAAGCTAACAAAACAGTCTTCAATTTCATATAATTCGGACACAGAAACACTCTCTGTGAAACATTGTCCGAACAAATTTAATTCTAGTTCCCATCTTCTGCCATTTTAAGCTGATAACTGAAAATTGCCTTGTAGGAAAGAAATACAAAGTCTTTGGATTAATTTTGAGTATTTTGTCATAGTAATCTTCACAAATTGAAATTACGCTGAACAAGTTCATGGTGAGTTTGTGGGTGGGTGACTTTACATTTATGCCACTTTTAGCAATATTCCAGCTATGTCAAGACAGGGGACACCTGAAATGAGGGAGTCTTTATTGAATGAACCTCAACTGATTCACTGCAACCTGTCGGCCATTTCAGACCGATTTCTTTTTCTCGGATAAAGAATAGTCTCAGACAAATAGTACGACCAAATACACAACAAACCCTTTGTATCTGACTGCATACGTATATAATATGCATCTTTCCATACAAGAATAAGTTATTCCATGTAACTCAAATACACTGATACAAAAATAAAATATCTGTCCCAGTGTCATATTAGTTGTGACCTCAATTAGAAAAGAGAACATTGTTCCATTTTTTCAGACTACTTTGATGTTAACTGAGGGCAGAGTAAACAATCTGTTTGAGAGCCTCAGCAAATATCCAAATTCTTATAAATGTGAAAAAACTATGACTAAGACACCCAAGTTTCACTGTTTCAGCTTTTGAGAGGGGGTACAAGCCCCCCACAGATATTCCAGCAAGGGATTCAGCTACTGGTGTTAACATACGATTCAAAATGGGTCTGATTTAACACCACTTGTAGCAATATTCCAGCAATATCACGACTGGGGACTCCAGAAATGGGCTTCACACATTGAACCCATATGGGGAATTGAACCCATGTCTTCAGCGTGACAAGTGGACACTATCACCACTAGGCTACCTACCCACCTATGCTCAAAATTCAAAATTGCATCTGACTACTATGACCACCAGACCAAAGAATGCTTGCCTCTGATTGGTCAAAACAGGATGAATATCAGGTAACAAGTTGCATTCAATACTTTTAAGTTCCATATTCATCACATCTAGTATTAATTGCCTATTGTCTCTATCAGCTTCTATAAGAGGAGAAAAACCACATTCAATTTCCAAACTACAGTAATGGTTACCATGGTAACAGTCTTGCTTCACACATCCTATTTACCTATGCATCAACTAGTTCTTTTGTAGTCTTGCAAAAACATCTGCACCAAAACAATCCATATTAGGCTTAACATGAACAACATTTCATAGAACACTGCCAATTCATGAAAATTATATGAACTGTGTAAAGAACCAGATTTCAGAGCATTAACAGGAGTACACACTCATATATGGTACACAGTTCCTATCAGAACAGTCAAGCTTGTATAATAACTGGACCCTCTAGATTTTCACTTGTCTCGGACTAACTGACAAGTGGACATCACTGCTTTAGGGGAGCTATTACAGTTATGAAACATTCATTCATACAAACATCTGCCACCACCATAACAAACTTAATACCAACCACCCTGACAAAGATGTCTAGTCTTACAGCATGAGTTGTGCATCCTTGATGGTCAAAGATGTCTAGTCTTACAGCATGAGTTGTGCATCCTTGACTGTCAAAGATGTCTAGTCTTACAGCATGAGTTGTGCATCCTTGACTGTCAAAGATGTCTAGTCTTACAGCATGAGTTGTGCATCCTTGACTGTCAAAGATGTCTAGTCTTACAGCATGAGTTGTGCATCCTTGACTGTCAAAGATGTCTAGTCTTACAGCATGAGTTGTGCATCCTTGACTGTCAAAGATGTCTAGTCTTACAGCACGAGTTGTGCATCCTTGACTGTCAAAGATGTCTAGTCTTACAGCATGAGTTGTGCATCCTTGACTGTCAAAGATGTCTAGTCTTACAGCACGAAGTTGTGCATCCTTTGATGGTCAAAGATGTCTAGTCCGACAGCAACGAGTTGTGCATCCTTGACTGTCAAAGAGTTGTGCATGCAAAGATGTCCTTGACATCCGTTGTCAAAGATGTCTAGTCTTACAGCATGAGTTGTGCATCCTTGACTGTCAAAGATGTCTAGTCTTACAGCACGAGTTGTGCATCCTTGACTGTCAAAGATGTCTAGTCTTACAGCACGAGTTGTGCATCCTTGACTGTCAAAGATGTCTAGTCTTACAGCACGAGTTGTGCATCCTTGACGGTCAAAGATGTCTAGTCTTACAGCACGAGTTGTGCATCCTTGACTGTCAAAGATGTCTAGTCTTACAGCACGAGTTGTGCATCCTTGACTGTCAAAGATGTCTAGTCTTACAGCACGAGTTGTGCATCCTTGACTGTCAAAGATGTCTAGTCCTACAGCACGAGTTGTGCATCCTTGACTGTCAAAGATATTATAATGCAATTCTATTATGATAACTATCACGGCCCCATTGGGATCTGAGCATTTCAGAAGGGATGTCACTTTTCTCTGACTTTCTTACTTCTCACTACTGTCGTGAAAGCACTTCATTGGATGGCTGTTTATAGCATCATGCAACTGTAAACAGAACACAATATCCCTTGGTTGCTTAATGGAGGTTGGGTATGGATCAACTGTTTAACAAAATATCCTGAGTAACTCCATATATTTTTATCACACCAACCTGGTAACATGAATTTGGAACATAACATTGTTATTATGTTGAAAATAGTATGTAATTCTCCAGCCATGTAAAATCTAAACCATGTTCTGTGATGCTGACAATTGTAATTGGTTCACACTGACGAACACTGTTTAAATAACATCCATTGTCCCTGAGCTCAGCATTTCAATTTCATCTTAAATTCATGAGTTCATAACTATCCACATGACACGGAGTACAGAAGTCATGAACAATGATGGAACATGTGGATAAATACAACACAAACCAATAACCAAAAACATCTTCTATTGCATTGCCATCGTCAAGAAACATGGCAAACAGAATTTGATATCACTATTGACAGGTCATATTGTTTGAAGAAACAGGATTTAACTTGAAGGAACTCGATTTAAGTGCAAATTCAATTTAAGGGAATGGATTTCCAAAGATGTGTTTAAGCTAACTTATTAATTTTATATTGAAAAATGTATACATTACACATGGGAGAAACATGCATTCACAATCCAGAAACAAAATGCATCTGTCGACAACTGACTGACTGAGTTTGGTTTTACGCCCCCTGTTAGCAATATTCCAGCAACATCACAGCAGGGGACACCAGAAATGGGCTTCACACATTGTGCCCATGTGGGGATTGGAACCTGGGTCTTCGGCGTGACGAGCCAACGCTTTAACCACCAGGCTACCCCTCACCCTCTTCAAAGTGAAGATACAAAAAAACGTCTCATATAAAGTACTCGATATTGTCTCTTTTTCAAGGCCAGAGTGAGTGAGTATGATTTAACACCACTTATCAATGTTCCAGCACTATCACATCGGGGAACACCAGAAATGGGATCTGTTGTAGCCTTATATGTTGAAAAGTCAAAAAAAATGTAGCTATATTTCTGTAAACATGGAAAATAACATGGAAAACTATCAGACAACTAACATAACATAAATAAAACAGAAGAAAACAAGTGGACAATCTTAAACAAATCTTAGTTGTAAGGGGAACATAACACAAAGAACATCTGAAAAAGCTATCTTCTGACAGACATATTATGACGGACATCCATGCCTGAGATAAGGTTTTGTCTGCTGTATGTAGAGGCAGGTTAAGCTAACAAATAGATGTGTTTGTAGAATGTCTTCTTCCTTTCGTGAGTGAGTGAGTGAGTATGGTTATACGCCGCTTTTAGCAATATCACGATGGGGTACACCAGAAATGGGCTTCACACATTGTGCCCACTTCCTTTCAAGAAACGTGTATCTTTGGTCCCAGTGTGAAGAAAGGGTACCAATTTGGCAAATCTTGGATTCAAACCCAGTTAAAGCAGATGCTGATACAGTTAAGGGAAGCAACTCGGTTCATTAAGTTTAAAGCACCATTTCTGAGTCTCAGAGAAGCACTGTGCAGATGTATCAGTGTATTAGTGCAGCAGATTTGCTTGTTGTAGTACACACAAAAAACAGATCCATGAAGATATACTCATTCAACAACCGATCTGGCTACAACTTACAGTCCACGTTCACTGTATGGCTAAGTAGTACGAAGCTTTCATCAGAGTCAAGGTGCAATAGCATGACAAATACATCACTTAGGACAAAATGTGCCGAAACAGAATTCCTTTACAATGTCTGGTAGAAAATATTTCCATTGAGATGACACTGCGTGAGCAAGGTTCTACTGTTTCAGACCTAGCTAAAATTCAGTTCTATCCCAGCAGCATACCAACCACTGGCAGAATGATGATCGCGCATATTCAGTCAGGGGAGACAACTCATTTATACCAAACTAGTCTACAATTCACTTCAGGCCGACGGTTTATTCAACATGACACAACTGGGGTAGAAAACTGGGCCTGAGAAATATAGGGGTGGGGTCAAACCGCAACGACAACAACCACGGTCTCATGGGCACTAAGTATTTCACTAAGGACATTGTGACCATCCAATATCCATTTAGCTCACAAGCATAACATTGTGCACTAGGGGTGAAACGGTACGGTACATATTGCAGTACAAGACCTTCGGTTCGATCCGTTTTGTTATACGAGATATGATCATAATGCAGAAAATTGACGACAGCAGCCAAAATTTAAATTTGTTTAATAACATGGGAGAAAAAAAACAATCTTTGTTATTTTGAAGGAACAAAACTTATTTAAAAAGGTTAAATGGCAGTACGAAAACACTGAATTTTTGGATGGCATTACGGTATAACGAAAGGCAAAATACTGCAGTTCTACTAATACAGCGTTTCACCCCTATTGTGGGTCTGCTATACAACCACACAGAGGAGCAGATCAATTTCAGAGACAAAACAGTAGGACAACAGCTTTCCCAAGACAGCAGCCAATAGATAATTCATGTAAATTTGCTGATAAATTAACCATATTTATCTAAACAAGCTCTGTATCACATGAGGATGTCCACGTCCTCTTCTGACGGCTCGGTGTGCGTAGACAAAGCTAACACTTCCTCCTTCACAAACAGACCACTCCGTTTTTCTTTCATCATTTGGCGGTATTCTTTCTGCCGCCGCTGGCGGATTGCTTTCTGCTGGTTCCTACGATCTTGGCATTTTTGTTTCTGTGGGAAAAAGGAAAATTATCAATGACATTGGCTTTTTGTGTGGAACTTAAGTTGTAATAAGATGTACGGGGATGAACCGCACCAGTGTAACAGAAGGGAGCTTTATCAGTGGAAACAGTATCATGACCTCCGCAGCGGGGGAGCGAGTTGAAGAGCATTTTACTAGCAAAACCACATGACAGCTTAATGTAGCAAGTGAATCTGGAGAGAAATCTGGATCAAATTCAGGGACATGGATTCTGTAACTGATGTCAAGGGCCTTGGAAATGCTGCAATCTTGTATCAAATTCAGGGCATCAGAAATCTGGGATCGAGTTTATAGCATTGATATTTGAGATTCAATTTAAATACCCAGAAACGAGTCAAATTCGGGGACTCGTATTCAAAGACCCATTTCTTCCTAAACAAGCTTAACAATCACAAATACACAGATGTGTTGAAACATACTATGTTGGCATAGTAATAAGTTGTCAGGTGAATACCAGTAAATGTCGACCAAGGTTTACCAATGTTGGTACATGAACCAGAATGGCAGTGACTTGTTCGTTTCTGTTGCACATTCATAAAATGTCAAACGCCAAACGGAACAGACGAGACATTACTTCAATGTGCAAAGTACACAATTCAAGGGAACATTTAGTTACCAGAAAGAAAAGATTCATTAACTAATCAAATACAACAAAAAAACAATTTACTTGCAACTAGCTTTCATTATTTATAATTAAATGTTTGTTTAACCACCAAAAACTTCCTTTAGGCATATTAAAAAACATATGCAAACAAAATTCAACTAATGAAGTACCATTGCTCTAGACATTCCAGCTGTCAGTATCAAGATATCAACAAAACTGAAAAGATCAATCTTTAGAACAAGTGTGAACAATGTAACATGTTATATTTGGGATTACACACTTTCTTAGTAAAGTACAGATTCTAGTACTTTTGTTGGGCTGAGTCCCATCCGGGATTTGAACCCACACTCTCAGAGTCAGGCACCTAATCACCAGCACACACAGTCAGACATCTAACCCACTCAGCCACCACAAAATCAATTAACAGTACACTGCCATCAGTACAGTTGCAAGTATCAAGCTCTTTCTAAACAAGACTGGATATACTGTAAGGACAATCTTAAGACTGACTTGTTTTTTCCACCAAAACCAAATGCCTGTTGACCAAGGTTTACCATTGTAGGAGCATGACCCAGAATGGCAGTGACTTGTTCGATTCTCTTGCACATTCATAAAATGTCAAACGCCAAACTAAACAGACGAGACATTACTTCAAAGTGCAGACTGAGCAGAGCTCATTCCCCAACTGTCCGTACTTGAAGGACTTAAACCACATTCTCAAGGTCACAATTGTTTCCAGAAAACAGAAGTGTGGTTCATACGTTTTATGAAAAGTTTGTAATGATTTATATTTGTATGACTTTCTATAATGTAACACTGGTAGTCTAAGTAAACTTAGGCTCAGTATTATTCGTCACACTGCTATACTGAGTCCTAGTAGAAGGTTGCGTCAGCTAACCTTTGAGCGACCTATGACCGTCCAATCAAACGCAAGACAGCCGAACTGATTTAATCAATCATACAATGACTGCTTGTTAGGGTTCGGCAGGACTTACAAAAAGGTTTTGGGATTTTCTTTTCCCTGGTCGCTGACACTGATCTATTAACAAACGAAATCCGCATAAAACACAGTAAATACACTTATGGGTTTCTAATGACATGGTTACTATTTGCTTATATTTCCGCAAGATGACATCCTTGAATATTGACAAAAATGCTATTTTCAGCGGCTGTTTACTCATTGCATGTATCACTCGGAAGTGATCTTGCGGAAAATAGCAATCGGAATCGTTTGAGTTTTTTAGGTCAAGGTTCAAATGGTATGCACGAACGTTAACTTTCGCGATTTGGTAAGCTGTGTTCTGATTGGTCAGTCCAAAAGGTTAGCTGACGCAACCTTCTACTAGGTTTTGTTAGACTCGGTATAGCAGTGTAACGAATAATACTGAGCCTAAGTTTACTTAGACTGGTAACACTGGATATACAAAGGAATGTGAACAAATTCAAAAGATTTCTATCAGTACTTGCTCCAGCTATTGGCTGTTTACTTTTTACACATGTATATATGCCATGGATCTTTAAACCTTCGGTCATACCCAGATGTACACAGGGCTCAAGATAACTTTTGGGGGTGCGAGTGTACTTACACATCATATTGCAAGTGGAGGTGTACTGAGAATTTTGAAGGAGTACTGACATGTTTCTGTGTGAGCGAGTTGGTGATGTGGTTTGTCTGGACGATTCATCGATCACTATTTCCAACCATGTATTTGTATTTGAAGACGTATGAGAAATAACTGAGCGACCGTGTGATGCGCGAAATGTCAGGTCCGACTGGATATAAATAGGAACAGTGTAGTTTTTAGCCAATCGAAAAATAGTGACGCATATCGTTGCATGGCAACGCAAGGGATTCCTACCGCCGGGGTTTCCTCATGTGTCAAATCTGGTTTCGCAAAAGAAACTTGACAAGTATTTATCCGAAATAGATTTCCATTTGCACGATACGCACGGAAATTAAATGTCAGACGTACAAAGGTATTTATGTGCGTACACGATATGCTTGAAATCTTATATTATGTCGTACTTAATTGATTTTGAGGCGTACATTACGCCTGTACGCCCCTTATCTGTAGCCCTGGTACACACAGACAACAAAGAAGGAGTTAACGAAGGATAAACCTTTTAAGGTTGCTGTATTTTGAAGAATGAAGCATTTACGTAGAACCCTTCAACTTCTGTGACCGTATTGAGCAGGGAGAATGTTAAAAGGGGGTATTCTTACCTTTGTTGTTTTCTTCTGTGCTGAGTTTGGACATTCCGAACACAAATCTTGTGACGGACAGCTGACTGGAACATTGAGCTTAATGTAGTCCTGGATTTTTTGTAGTTTTGTGTCGTCTATTGTTTCCAAATCTGTCAAATAGAAAATCCTCATTAGTTACTAGCCATCCTAATAAATGCCATGGACCTATTTTCTATCTCAGCTTCAGAGACCATTTTAATGTCATGATGGTAAAATCAGATTAGTACCATGATCAAGAGAGGTTCTGTGTTGGGGAGCAGTATTCAGGATATTTGTTCTGAGAACCAAGGTCATAGATACTCCTATAATGTAACACAGGTGTGCGATTGTCGAAGCGCTAAGATCTCATTTGGGGAAAGGCACCTCTGAGAGTAACATGTCCAGTTATGTTGAACTACAAACTGAAAAGATTAAAACATGAATAACTCTACAATATCAGACACCAGCTTGTATATGAACTGTCACTATGCTCCGTTCTACTGAATCTCAAATATACTCAGTTAAAAAAAAAATGCAACTCCCATAAAACTGTCATGAATGAAAAGGTTGATGTTTCCTTTTGAAAACATGCAAAGAAATAAACTTGAGTCATCAAAGTGAACGAGCAATTGAACTTAATTCAAAACCAGTTGTTTTTGTCATAATGTAAGTGATTGAGTTCAGTTTTACGTGGCTTTTAGCAATATTCCAGCAATATCATGGCAGGACGCCAGAAATGGGCTTCACACATTGTACCCATGTGGGGGATCGAACCCAGGTCTTCGGCGTGACGAGCAAATGCATTAACCACTAGGCTACCCCACTGCCCCTATAATGTAAGTAAGATATCAGATTGTGCCATAATGACTTTGCAAATATGGCCTCCATTAGTAGCCACTTTGGTATCATCACACTGGAATTACAATGACTGAGCATCAAAGACACACTTCACCTTGATTTATGTTTCTATTTCATGGAAATTCAAACATTTGCAATATTCGCATTTCTTCTCGATTTCATTAGTTCCAGTTGGTATTTTCTGTACAAAGTGATTCTGTCAGCATGGTTTAGATCCATTGACCACAGCAGATCAGTGGGAGTTATGACATGCTGGGATATAATCTGGCATTCTGTATTCACCCCAAAGGTCATCGTGACACCGATGAAGCAAACTTAGAATGCTGGGAGACTCATGAAGCGATCTAAACAAAACTTTAAAAATTCAAATGTTCCCATTAAAAGACAGATTTAATATTTATAACTGCAATATACAATGTGACAGGTCATGTACCCAACACAGACCAGTCACCTTCCAGTTATGTGGGGAATCGAACCCAGGTCTTCGGTATGAGCAAATGCATTATCCAGTAAGCTACCCCACTGCCCCTATAATGTAAGTAAGATATCAGATTGTGCCATAATGACTTTGCAAATATGGCCTCCATTAGTAGCCACTTTGGTATCATCACACTGGAATTAGAATGACTGAGCATCGAAGACACACTTCACCTTGATTTATGTTTCTATTTCATGGAAATTCAAACATTTGCAATATTCACATTTCTTCTCGATTTCATTAGTTTCCACTTGGTATTTTCTGTACAAAGTGATTCTGTCAGCATGGTTTAGATCCATTGACCACAGCAGATCAGTGGGAGTTATGACATGCTGGGATATAATCTGGCATTCTGTATTCACCCCAAAGGTCATCGTGACACCAATGAAGCAAACTTAGAATGCTGGGAGACTCATGAAGCGATGTAAACAAAACTTAAAAATTCAAATGTTCCCATTAAAAGACAGATTTAATATTTATAACTGCAATATACAATGTGACAGGTCATGTACCCAACACAGACCAGTCACCTTCCAGTTATGCTGTAGTTTGTGACACCTCCAAGTCCCAGGTACACCTCCCCAGGACTAGTTACCATGGTTACTGTACAGATCAATTTCATTACATTAGCAGTTTTGGCTTTCAGATTATAACATGAGACAAGCAGGATTTGTCAATGTGGCCTTGATTTAAAACATCACTGCCATATGTAATGAACTCTGAATCAAGTTAAATAACACCCAAAATTGAATGCCTGAGAATTGCACTACCACCAACCATGAAATATCAACTATGGCCATATGAAAATGTTTTATAACTTCTTTTCATAAGTATGTTTATCAATGCAGACTATCCCCTTGTACTATATGTTGTTTATACTGTGGTGTCTGCCTAACATGTAGCAGATCATTTATAGTCCGTTTGACTTCATTTTGGACCGATGAATTGCTCACTAACACAAAATCTAATAATTGCAACAAAACCATCTTTTGCACAGTCACATGAAATCGACAGACCAACTCTAATGATGATCTCATAATTTTGGACACCCGAATAAAAATGTTTTAAGAAACGATCATTATTTTGTTGTCACTTTCGCTATTTTATACCAGGGAGAACCACTTGCTAGTAGAACAGCCAGGTGAGCGAGTTGTACCTGTGAAATTGAAATTGCACTGCACAACCTTGTTGATTACCTAGCTGTTCTACCAGCAAGTGGTCCTCCCCTCATAAGAAATAGCGAAACGCAACAACAAAATAATGAATGTTTGTTAAACAACATTTTTATTCAGGTGTCCAAAATTATGAGACAAATCATCAGAGTTGGTCTGTTGATTTCATGTGACTGTGCAAAAGGTGGTTTTGTTGCAATTATTAGATTTTGTGTCAGTGAGCAATATGGTCCAAAATGAAGTTAAACGGACTATAGGTGGTGACTTCAACTGGGGATGGCAGTTTTTTCTCTTTCCACAGTTACATCTAAAACACACACGGACTGGCGTCTTTCCAAACATGGAGGGCATGCTTAGTGAACACTAGAATTCTAAAGCAGGGTTCGATTTAAGAGATGTTAACCTACTTGCACCAGGTGCAACCTAAGATAGAAAATCTAGTTGCACCAGCCAAATTCCAGTTGCACTGCTTTTATTGCAATAGTAAGAAATATTCTTAATATATTTAATGTAAGAAATATGAAATTATTTAGATGTTTTATTCAGTTTTTACCCACTCAAAAATCTAGTTGCACCTGGTGCAAGTTAGACAAATATCTAGGTTGCACTTTGTAATATTGGGTTGCACCAGTGCACGTAACAAAGCACTAAACCGCCCTGTAAAGGAAAATGTAACATCTTGGCACACAGCAAAAGAAAAAGAAACGATCCCATCCATATCATAACTGACTCTCTACAGTACAATATGATTCAATGGACATTTGCAATCTGATTGTACAGGCTGTCATTAGGCTGTCATTATGCTACACAAACTACAAAACTATCTCAATTAGTTTCCACTTGGTATTGGTTGTACAAAGTGATTCTGTCAGCATGGTTTAGATCCATTGACCACAGAAGATCAGTGGGAGTTATGACATGCTGGGATATAATCTGGCATTCTGTATTCACCCCAAAGGTCATTGTGACACCGATGAAGCAAACTTAGAATGCTCTTCTTGCAAAATGGCGCCTAATGCTCATTTTCACAAACTCTCTTCTTCAAATAATGTCCTCCCGACAACTGACCAATTAACAATCTGTATCTTTACAACACAGATGACTACCGGCTAGAAAAGTGCATGTATCCAGAGGTACAGAAAACCTGCGTATCTGCATAAATTACGCAAATATTTATGTGAAAACTCAATTCCTATTAAGTCTATTGCGTACAAGTACGCTTGAATTTTTGTACGTACTCAATAAATGCGATCTTGCATGCGTACACACAAAAATGTCAAATCTTAGCTTGGGTACCCGTGGATTAAGATAAACTAACTTTAATAGGTATATTGAGAGGTTGTATTTCAGGACACATGAACGTGACAACTTGCAGTCTTATCGTTTTTCATATTACAGATCAAATACAAATAACAAACACCAACATTTAAACTTTATTATATTTTAAAATTAATGGAAAATGGCAAAATACCGAATTGAGTTTGAGTGAGATGAGTATAATTTATTTGGTTACTCAAATGAAAAGTAGGATACCCAATTGAGATGAACACCAGCGAGTACATAACTGAATGACCCAAAACGTTATCTGTAGCTCTGTCTAACACAACCATTGTTTTCACTGCATACACCAGACAGTCATTTGCATATAAACAGATAATACCATGGCAACAGGAATGGAAAGTGAGCTATCATGTATGCGAGTCACAAAGCACTGTATGCCACTGAAAAATATTTTTAAAAAAACAACCCAGCTTCAATGACTCATCAAAATGTTGGCCTTGACAGTAACCATAATATGGTGGAAACTTTTAAGATGCCGCAATGAACAACTTTAGGTGGAGTTTTAGGTTTCTAGAAGTAAGCATAACCCTACTAAGAATTCACCTCAAATGAACTCAGTGTGTGGAAGAGTTGGACACTTGCCTTTGACATCTCTCTTTAGGGTGAAGGGTGGATTTTCCATGGGGTTAGGAGACTCTCACCTTATTATTATAGGATATTTATATAGCGCACATATCCACGCACCAGTGCATGCTCAAGGCTGGTATTTTTTTCCCTCGATCATTGGATGTCAATCTCAACAGCAAATCACATTATCAATCTCAACTCCCTGGGGAGTATACAACTCTTGCAGCCACTAGGCGCACCGAGTTATTGTGGCTTTCTCATCCTAACGAGGTTCCCATTCACAGCTGGGTGGACTGGGACACATAGTCACAGTACTTTGTCCATGTTCACTGCACGTTGCTGTACCCGCAACTAGGTGTTTGCACGTATTCATGTGGCCACCATCTGGTCAAATACCAACGGATTCTTGGGTTCTTTTAAGTGCACTGTATGACAGGGTTGTGTACTGTATGACAAACTCAGTCTGGGGTGGGGGTAGGGGAGGAGTTCTGGGTGGGGGAGATGTCGGCACTCACCTATGACAAATTCTCTGTCTGTGGGGGACACATAGGCGTTGGGGTTGATGATGCGGATGATGTCAAGCTGTTCCCTCATCCCCAACTCGCTGCTGATCACCTGACTCAGCTCTTCAACCACGGACATCTGCTCCGTACATGACAGCATACTCCTGGAAACAACACCTTCAGACTGTAGCAACATCACTATTGCATACTCCTAGAAACAACACCTTCAGACTGTAGCAACATCACTACTGGAACATCACCACTTCACCACTTCACCACCTATTTCCTGTACATGACAGCATACTCCTAGAAACAACACCTTCAGACTGTAGCAACATCACTACTGTACGAACATCACCACTTCACCCTATTTCCTGTACATGACAGCATACTCCTAGAAACAACACCTTCAGACTGTAGCAACATCACTACTGTAGCAACATCACCACTTCACCCTATTTCCTGTACATGACAGCATACTCCTAGAAACAACACCTTCAGACTGTAGCAACATCACTACTGTACGAACATCACCACTTCACCCTATTTCCTGTACATGACAGCATACTCCTAGAAACAACACCTTCAGACTGTAGCAACATCACTACTGTACGAACATCACCACTTCACCCTATTTCCTGTACATGACAGCATACTCCTAGAAACAACACCTTCAGACTGTAGCAACATCACTTCACCCTATTTCCTGTACATGACAGCATACTCCTAGAAACAACACCTTCAGACAGCATCACTACTGTACGAACATCACCACTTCACCCCTATTTCCTGTACATGACAGCATACTACCTAGAAACAACACCTTCAGACTACTCCTAGAAACAACACCTTAGTAGCAACATCACTACTGTAGGAACATCATCACTTCACCCTATTTCCTGTACATGACAGCATACTCCTAGAAACAACACCTTCAGACTGTAGCAACATCACTACTCACTACTGTAACATCACCACTTCACCCTATTTCCTGTACATGACAGCATACTCCTAGAAACAACACCTTCAGACTGTAGCAACATCACTACTGTACGAACATCACCACTTCACCCTATTTCCTGTACATGACAGCATACTCCTAGAAACAACACCTTCAGACTGTAGCAACATCACTACTGTACGAACATCACCACTTCACCCTATTTACTGTACATGACAGCATACTCCTAGAAACAACACCTTCAGACTGTAGCAACATCACTACTGTATGAACATCACCACTTCACCCTATTTACTGTACATGACAGCATACTCCTAGAAACAACACCTTCAGACTGTAGCAACATCACCACTGTAGGATCACCACTTCACCCTATTTCCTGTAACACTCTAGCAAGTCTCATTAACTCATGCAAACAATAATTCTCAAATCTCCATAATAATTTTCCAAAATGAGTGAGAGCTAGCTTAGTTTTAGACCGCTGTTAGCAATATTCCAGCAATATCACGGCAGGGGGGACACCAGAAAGGGGCTTCACACATTGTACCCAGGTGCGTTATCGAACCTGGGCCTTCAGCGTGACGAGCGAACGTTTTAACCACTAGACTACCCCTCTGCCCTTTTCCAAAATGAAAACTACTGCACTGTATAGAAGGTTGACCTGGACCATCAACCACTATCACAACATGCGTCCAGTGACAGCATGTGTAGAGACAAAGTACTGACTGACTGAGTTTGGTTTTACGCCGCTTTTAGCAGTATTCCAGCAACATCACGGCGGGGGAGACCAGAAATGGGCTTCACACATTGTACCCATGTGGGGATTCGAACCCGGGTCTTCGGCGTGACGAGTCAACGCTTTAACCACAAGGCTACCCCACCGCCCCAGAGACAAAGTAACAATCTGCCTACAAGCCGAGGATGTACAGTACATGCACTGAGAATATCATGTTGATATCAGCCGAATGGACAGCAGAAACCCAATGAAATTGAGCACATTCCGGTTAAAGTCTGATTGCTAAACAAAGATCAATGTTGCATGATAAGAAAACACTCCAATTGTCAATTTCCTGATCAGTAAACAATACACTGATTGGTCCGATAAAGGTCGTTCTGACAGGTGACCTGTAATTGGATGTCCCCAGATCCTTGTTTAGTGGAAGAGTGAGTGAGTTCAGTTTTATGCTGCTTTTAGCAATATTCAAGCAAAATCACGGTGGGGGACACCAGATATGGCCTTCACACATCAGTTTATACATGGCTATCAAATTTTAGGGCGTTCCCATATTTTTTGTTTGAAGTATACATCTATTTAACTTATTAGGGATCACCTATCAAGTTCAGCCTTACAAAGTCTATTTATTAACATCATAACAAACTGTCTGCACAGAAACCTTAGATCCACCTGGAATCGGTGAGTCTGTTACGTCTGTACAATTTCTCTCAGCACTGATACAACCGAACTGGATGAAACACCAGCTAGGCTACTTCAGTGCTTGTATGGCAAACAAATACTCAAAATTTTATCTTGGCCCCTGCTGTTGGTATCCTGCACCACCAGAAAGGACATCATTATCCGAGTAGAAAATAGTACACAAAATGTACAAATGATCAGAAGCAGGTGTTTAATGTAACACTGCCACTACTTTCCCAATTTACAATTGGTATTTATTTATGATCACTACAGAGCTACTTATTTATCGTTTGTGTGTATCTTACAACTTCAGCACATCTCACATATGAGAATAGTGTCACGATTTGACAGATGCAACACTATAAATAGACTCCATACCAATCAACACACGAACGAATTTGTAGCACGCCTACGTTTTACTGGTCCATGTAGACCATGTGATCTAATTGCATACATTGGCACGATATCGTTAAGAATGAAGAAAAACTGTATCCATATTCCAGCTGGAATTTGAAACAAATATGAAACATTTAAGCCCACTGATGGCTCCGAGATGATAAGAATAAGAACCACGTTCAGGACAAAGCAGTTCATGTACCCATTAAGAGATTGGGAAATAATCCTGAAAGCGATGATCCCAGTGGACAGGTGAAAAGAGTAGGTATTAATTTGACACCGCTTTCAGCAATATTCCAGCAATATCACAGCAAGGATGGCAGAAACGGGCTTCACATATTGTACCCATGAGGGGAATCGAACCCGGGTGTTTGATGTGACGAGGGAATGCTTTAACCACAAAGCTACCCCACGGCCAGGTACTTACCATCTTTTACCATCTGTGCTCTGAGACTTGTGCCTCTTCTTTCCCATCTGAGGAGACGATTGTGCGTTGTCTACTTCACATTGGCTGTTTTTGTTGCAGCTCTTACTGCTTTTACTTTTAGGGCTGGGGGTTTTACTTGAGTTGTTCTTACTACTGCAGCTCCGGCCACTACTCGAGCTGGCCTGACTAGCGCTACAGCTCTGTTGACTACTCAGGCTGGACTGACTGCTGCTGCTGACGCTGCTGTACCCAGATGTCGTCGACTGATTGTCTATGTCATGGGATCTACTCGACACGCCCCAGTCTGTGTCCGCTAAGTCTATGTTATCTATTGACAGGACATCTGAAACATGGATGAGGCAGTCTGAAACATCTGTGTTGAGACATCTGTCATTTCTGTCATCCAATGTTTCTTCTAAGTAATTCAAATGAGATTAAACTATCGTGAAGTGCTTGTTTGTTTGCAGTTTTACGCCGCACTCAGCAATATTCCAGCTATATGACGGCTGTCGGTAAATAATCCAGTCTTGACCAGACAATCCAGTGATCAACAGCATAAGAATTGATCTATGAATTTGGGATACAATGACATGTGTCAACAAGCCTGACCACCCGATCCCGTTAGTCGTCTCTTATGACAAGCACGGGTTACCAAAGACCAATCACTGTCATTTATGTTCATTATGATTGTTATCCAAGGCCATAATCCATTATTACTGATCCAATACTGATCATAAAGTATTTTTATATATCAAATATTTGACAATTGTGAGGAAAGTGATACATGTCACAGAGCTCCAGATAAGATTTAGCTCATGTGGGTACTGTACCCACTGTATTTTTTTGGAGTGGGTATTATGAATGTTGAGTGGGTAATTCAATTTCCGTTACCCACTGCTTTCAAATATGAGCATATTTCAGTCATTTTACTCACCTAAGTATTATGTCATTGAGTAAGTTTACTAAGCAGGTATGTTCTGCCAACTTGATAGCAATCGATGTCATTTTCATTACGCAAGCGACTTTTATAAATATATTCCGTAGGCAATTATTTTTCAATGCGTAAATGGGAATTTTCTATGCGTATTTTACCCGGATACGCAGCTTATCTGGGCCTCTGCATGTCAGACATTTGAAGCCTTGAGGAAACAGTGACAAAAACGATTCTGATAATGATCAGAGATAAAGTTTAACACACAATCAGCGGATTGTGGCACAACAAGGGGAGATCACTCTGCAAAGAAGGAAACAAGTTCAAAACATCGACACCCCAGTACCTTCTTTTAACATGAAAATATTAATCTATCAGAGACTAACTGGCAAGACAACCAAGCATTCAGATGAAGCTACTAATATCTTCTATAAGATCATCAAAAAAGATTAGATCATCACTCAACATGCTCAACAAAGTGTCTTAATGTCAAAAAAACAAACACTGATGAATGATTTCACAAGTGAACTACATATTATAAAGTCTAAACAAAGGGTCTTACTTGAATTTGCGCCATCATCTAAGATGTTCAATATGGATGCTTGCAAATCACAGAACAAGGCTTCGTCCCCATCGATATCGACGTACAGATCGTCACTACATTCGGAGCTTGCAACACTAGCATCACATGACACGCTGTTCAAGAAGGAATACATATCCTGCTGCAGTTCTGGCTTCGGCTGTCTGTGAATTCTGTCGAAATGGAACAAGGTGATTCGTGACATACGTCAAACATGTAATTTTTTTAATAAAATTGATATTTTATACTTATCCTGACTCATGCTCTTTTGTTTGTCTCACACAACCGTCCTCAAGGGCGAAGGAGGAGAGAGTGACCAGCTTGGCTGGTCAGGTGATCAATAAGGGCGCCAAAGGGCAAAGGGAGGCTACTCGTGGGGTGAGTGATTTTATGTCCGCTTTTTTAAGGGAGCTACAAAAGGGGATTCAAGTGTTCCACTATAGTTCGCAAGAGGAAGGAGACAAGCAAAAGAGCATGAGTCAGGATAAGGAAAAATATACAAAAAATACAACCTATTTCAAACACTTTAACAGTGTGAAGAACAAAATGTGTTTTTTAATTCTTTTGGATGTTTCTTTGCTGGTGTTTAATGCCGATTGCTGCAAATATTTCAGCTTAATGACAAAGGTCTGTAATCTCGTCTGGAAATGACAATCCTGTGATTGATAGTGTGAGCATCAACCTATGCAAGTGGGATTCAATGTGTGTCTCTCAAGTCAGCGGGTCTGACAACCCCATCCCATTAAGAGTGAGTGAGTATGGTTTCATGCTGCTTTTACAATCATATAGGCTTCATACATTTAACTCATGTGGAGAATCGAACCCGGATCTTCAGCATGACGAGAGAACACTTTAACCACAAGGCTACCCCACCGGCCCCATCCCATTAAGACATTAGGCACTTCTAAGTTCTTGGGACAGGTATTGGTTACTGAAGACTCATTCGAACCCCTATGTTCTGCTGAAAGTCAGTCTAGTTGTAATTCCTGTCAATCTTTCTTCCCAGTACATTCAAATATCTTGAAATCTTTCATACACTTTACTCTGTATATTTATTTTTCCCTGTACAGTTACGCAAAAAGAGCATAAAACACGAAATAAAATAACCTAACAAAAATTCTACCCAATATTGTCTACATAGTTAAATAAGAAACACCAGCAAAGTTCATATAATTTCTACCTATAATTTATTTTAGATATTCCACTTTCAAATACAATTCTTCAGCAAGAAAAGGTAGAGCCACAAAACTCCCAGATTTACAAAGACAACACATCATGATCAGTGTAAAACGTTAAGACAGTGGAGACTGATCGTAATCCAAAATTTGGAAGTACTGATATTGTTTCAAGTTACTACTCACCTGGAAATTTCTGCCTCAAAAGCGTTGATATCAAGATCAAGGTCAAAGTTATCTATAGGTACTTCACCGGTGTCAGAGCTGTCCGAAAACCATGGGCTGAAATGAATGCAGGACATTTTCAGCAAGATGTTGAAATTCAAAGTGTGAGAAAGCAATGGTGGTATTTTCATGGGTTTGGATAGGAGAGTATAGTCTAATGCTTTTTTAAATTTGCGATGATACAAAGATAGAGTCTCCGGATTTATATTCAGGTGTGGAACTGTACCCACACCATTACTGTGACCAGTTTCTGCTTTAACCACTTGGCTACCCAACAACCCTTGAAAATATATCATAGTTCTTCCATACAATAGTGTCAGTTACCTCCCTTGAACGGATGCGAATGGCTTGCCAATAGATTTCAACAACCTTGTCCTGCTTTGATACTTTTTCGCCACATTACACATGGACAAAAATTGTCAAGAAAAAACACGTTTTAGCATTCCTTGATTATTTGCAATTCTAGTTACTTATTGTTCAAAAGTAAACAAATATCCATAACATGTTACTATTTATGTCTTTATGTGACTTAACACTTCATTGGAGACTAAATGATATTAAATGTTCAAAAACTGCCCGATTTTAATTCCTACACAAAGCAACTTGAAAAACTGTATAAATAATAGAAAGAAGTCTTACAGATTGATAGAAAGCACTTAATTTTGAACACTGATCTCTACTGTCATCATAATGACAACATTTAAACTCCACAAATAAGTCTCCATGCCATATTATTGGTAACGCCAAGCTCAACAATATTCCTGCTACATGGCAGCAATCTTGAATAATCAAGTCTGGACAGACCATACAGAGATCAACATGAGCATAGATATACGCAAATTGGAATACAATGACATTTGTCAACCAGGTAAGCGTGCTTGATTAGATGATCCTGTTAATCGCCTCTTATCGCCTCTTGACAAGCATGGTTTGCTGCAGACCATTTATAACCCGGATCTTCAATGATCTTGAAAACATTTCCTGTCACACTGCTGCACAATGCTAATAAGGAAAACTCAATAATCAGGTAATTTTCAATACTTTTCAATACCTTCAACTGAATAAAACTATTTTCCTGTAAGGGTAGATGAAAGATGTATCTAGATAATGCCTCAGTGTTGTTATTATGGAGGTAAGTAACTATACCAGTGACCGATATTAGGAGCCCGGATATATGTAGTATTGCTGCATAGGAATTTAAACCAAAACTGTGAATAATGATTGTAATTGAATTTTTACCCTGAAATTGTTTAACCCTTTCATAGTCAACAAACTATCCCTGAATGACTAATAATAATTAATATTGCAACAATTGGATTGTCCTGCATTGTCTGTGTGGGCAGAGGTAGGTGAAATTGGGTTTAACGTCATGCTTGAGAATATTTCGCTCATATGACGACGTGCATGCGTGTGTATGTGTGGCTGCTTGTACTAGCCCAGACTTAAGCTGGTTTTATAGTGCTAGCCCACTGAGATACCATGCTGCAGTGAAGCATGAATACCCCACTCAGACACATTATACTGACTCCGAGCCGACCAGTCCTTGTTGTACCTATTAATGCCGAGCGTCATGCAGGGACCAACAAGTACCATATTTTAACGTCTTTTGGTATGACACCAAGCGGACGCTCTAAGCACTACACCACGGAGGCGGCGGCATGGGCAGAAGTAAAATAGGAGTGGAAAATTCTTTCACTAAAACCAAGACAACTCAGCTTCCAACCCATGAGTTGACACTTCAACCAATATCAATGTCTAAAGGTTGGTTACTTTGTTGTTTAACACCACACTCGCTGACTCAGCAATCTTCATATGTTCATTTATGTAAAGATTGTTATCAAAATCCAGAATCAATTACTACTGATCCAATATTGATGCCTGAAGGAATGAGCCGCGAAAAGGAATATCCACACTGTAGTATCACAGGACAATTTGTTAGTGTGAATTGTCTGTATCATTGCGAGCAGAGGATGGGACAATAAAGGAGCAAAATGAGGAAAATATTCCAAGAATTGAAGAATTCTGGAGGAGGGTCATGGAACTAAAATAACTCCTCTGCACTACATTTAGATTTTATGAGCAATCTCCTCCCCAATTCCAATATATACTGGACAAAATATGTAAGGAATAAACTCCGAAGACTCGCCAATATTCGCGCGGTTGGTTGAGTCCGAGGCCGTTAGGCCAAGGACCCACCCAGCAGCCAATATTGGCGAGTCTGAGGAGTTTATTGCGCTTAAACCTAAAATCATACATATTGGCGTCCTAGTTTCGTAACTCTTGCGACCGAATACAGCAATATTACTATTGGCGTCCTACATCTGGGTAGCACGGCATGCACGATACACACGCTCTACTGTGCACGTGGCAGCGTATTGGAGGGGTACAAAACAAACGAAATATTTTACTGCATCCATTTCACCAGATGTTTTCAATCATGTCAGGCGAATGGGGTTCTTTATGCGATGTCTTTTTTCACTCAAAATTAATACATTTTCCGAAGCAATTGAATGGAAGTATTTCGAGTGTCAATTTTGATATCACTCTGCAAGGGGACAGAAATCATGTAGATACAGTTGGGAATAGTTCTTCGGATGAGGATTTGCTGCGTGAGTCGCAAAACCTAGAATGGGAATTTGACCAAATGAATAGTTCAGCAGATGATGAACTGATGCTTGCTTCTCAGCAGATACAAAAAGAAGTGAACAAACAACTACCAAACGTTTCGGCAACCCTCTCTCGGTTTCTGAATATCAAAGCTTGGAAAATCTCTCAAAAAATAAAAATACAGAAAAGAAAATCAGTGGGCAGAGCGGGTTTTCGATTCCTGGCAACGTGAAAGGGATGGGCTTGAATCCCAGTTAGGCAGCAGATTATTAAGTATTTCTGATGAAGATCTGAATAGGACGCTGAGTCTGTTTGTCACAGCAGTAAGGAACCAAAGGAGTGAGTGAGTTTAGTTTAACGCCGCACTCAGCAATATTCCAGCTATATGGTGGCGGTCTGTAAATAATCGCGTCTGGACCTGACAATCCAGTGATCAGCAGCATGAGCATCGATCTGCGCAATTGGGAACCGATGATATGTGTCAACCAAGTCAGCGAGCCTGACCACCCGATCTCGTTAGTCGCCTCTTACAACAAGCATGGGTTACTGAAGGCCAATATTCTAACCCGGACCTTCACGGGTAAGGAACCAAAAGGGAGGTCAACAAGGGCAACATAGTTCACGAGATTCTTATTTCGATGAGAGATTCTTGCGTCAAAGTGGTCGAGATGTTAACCTAACCACCGACTTTGCTTTTAGGGGTTTAAGACTGACTGACTGAGTTTGGTTTTACGCCACTTTTAGCAATATTCCAGCAACATCACGGCGGGGGACACCAGATATGGGCTTCACACATTGTACCCATGTGGGGATTCGAACCTGGGTCTTCGGAGTGACGAGCCAACGCTTTAACCACTAGGCTACCCCACCGCCCCAGGGGTTTAAGAACCATTTTAGACGCTAAAATGTAATCACTGGCACAGACTGGTTTTGGCATGCGTAGAAGGCTAGGAAAGCTAGCGTCATCACACCACAGGAGGAGGATGCATTGTGGGAGTCGGGTTTGCTTGGGGAAGACACCCCGGAGAAAATTGCTTGAAACCGCTTTTTATTTGAATGGGCTGTTGTCTATATAGACTTGACCAAAAGTACATGTCATTGAGGTGAGTGAATAACATGGTGATTACTTAAAATCCTAAAATTTAAAAAAAAATGAAATTCATATCTTTTTAAAAAATAGTTTGTTTAAAAAAAACATGACGACGGCTACAGTGCAGCCTGTATGCAATGTAGGCCAGTGGGTTGTGATGACTGGGGCATCGAACCCGCGCCGCAAGCACTTTAACCACTAGGCTACCTCACCGCCCATAGACGTAATTAATAACTGAGGCAGCCTAGTGGTTATAGTGCTTGCGGAGCGGGTTCAATTCCCCGCAAAGGCACAATGTGTACAGACTGTAAAGCCCATGCGTTGTGTCCCCACCGTTATACTGCTGCAATTCAAGTGCTAAAACTGTACACTTCGTTGTGGAACGTAATGGTGCTAAAATGACATTTGACAAGAAATAAATGGATGAAAACATTGAGTTTGTTTCTGTATTTCAGTAATGGGGGTATTACTGTTTGAATTCAGCGTTAGGCCCGGGTCAGTAATAGGGCGCCAGTATTTGAAAGTAGGGCGCCAATAATACACGCGATAAAGTCGCCAATATACGAAGCTAGGTCGCCAATAAACGAAAGATACGGGCCTCCCATTCCATCCTTATTGGAGGGATATGTTTTGTAATGGAGGCAATTTTAGGTTTAAGTTAGGGATATTGGTATTTTTATTATTGATATTTTATCAGTGTGTCAATGAATAAATAGATCATTATTCATAATTTCAAAATGTACATATATCCCTACCTATTTTTGTCCAGTATAGAAAAGCATTACTCTCAGAATCAACACCAGATTATGATTTACTAAACTTCGCGGTAAGAGTTCCGTCCGTAACCCGCTTGAAATGTAATCTATTTATTATGATTATTTCTAGGGGTTGGGTTTAGATTTAGCATTATGTTACGTTTATGGTTAGGTTTAGGGTAAGGGTTTAAGTGAGCTTTCTATAAAATTCATCTATTCTTAGGCATTGATAAATAAAAAAACGGGTGTTACGGGCGGAACTCTTTCCAAAAAGGACATGCATGTGATCAATGCAACAAGTGATAGCAGTTAGGCTGCATGACCGGTTGACGGAGAAACTACACTCTGGTTGTAATACAACACGTGTATCCCTTGCGCAATGTTCATTCAGCACGTGGGTACACTTGACGAGCTGACGATAAGTTTTAAGTCTTTTTAAGACTGCACAAATTGCACGTGAGTTTGTCAGACGGCGTGACGAGAAAATTTGGCAACCTGCCCAGACCAGCCCCCTAAACAGCGTGACTAGGTTTAGGTAGCACGTGTTCGAATTGTGTTCGTAGAACACATACAGATCTGCCCTCGTCAACACATTTTCTAACAGATACAAGCAGTTGGTATTTCGTTACATGAACTAACAAATCATTATATGAATCATCGGTGTGAATAATTCTGGTTTAGTGATCGTATGTCGTCTCACTGTACCAACATGGATTCCACATGGCAAACATACCTGCCCATCGTTACGGCCATGTCGGTGATCATTCTCGGGGTATACCGGTTCTTACGCTCCTCTACTGATTTGTCGGTGGTATATGCATATAGAAATGTTACAAACACAACTGTTTCAAGAATTCCTGAAGCGTTCTTTGCTTATTAAACTGATTACTCGCGTCCACTTAGTACAACGTGGACACAATGATGTGAACTACGTCACCACACTTTACCGCAAAATCATGAAACGGGGTCTGTGATTGGTCGATCATTATTTATAACCTTCTCCACGTGATCACATTTGATGACCCTGCCAACAAGCTCAGGAAGTGTCCCCAGCAGGAAGGTTACAGACGCTGAGATTTCTAAAACACATTCAAATTACAAACTTGAAGCGAAAATTACATCAGGTTAAGAAATTAGAGCCTGTTCACTTTAAACGCGAGCTTTAGGTGTTGTCGTTCCATGGAACATGTGTCGCGGAAGAAGGTGCAGGTCACGATGAATATGTTATTTTGGTATCCAATCAAAATGCGTATTCGACAAGGTAGCGGGAAAGAAAGGCACGCAAACCACGTGGAAATGTTTAGGGTGATAGTTCAACCATTAGTCAGCGATCTGTGTTGGGAAATAGGAAATGGAGAGAGGATGGGTTGGCTCATGGTTGACTATATATACAATACAAGTAGACATGGCTATTTGGTTCAATAAATATTCCAAGTTGTTTAAGTCTTTGAGTTTGCACCTCTCGCCCTCTCATATATTTTACAAGTAGTTAAGCTACTCATATTAACTGCCACTGGTTTGTTTTAACTGAGCTGAACAAAAGATCATTGAGAAAAGGTGAATCAGTTTAGTGCGATGTTTTACTTTAATTTAGATTAATATGATATATATGTGGCGTTGTCGCGAAATTTTAGATCCCTTTGTACACATTTTAGAAATATGGTTTTGTCAAAGCAGAGATTATAATAGATTATTATAGTCTCTGGTCAAAGTGTGTCGTGTTGCGCTTTTGTTATTTGAAACATATTTCGCGTGTTTGGGAATGATAATGTTTACAATGTAGGATTTATGTACAAATATTACAATACGAGGAGGATCAGTATTCGTCTTATGAAGGGTTAGGATGTAGGCATGAAACAATACACTGGCGGATCCAGAAAGGGGGGATGGGGGTGTGCTGTAAATTTGTCCTGAAAGTTTATTACTTGTAAATCAAAAGCGGATCCATTTGGCCTTAAGTGAAAATGAACTGGTGCACCCCTTTTCTTAAAAAGCTGCAGTATCCGCCCCTGTAAAGATCTTATCATCCATAAAAAGTGTCAAGTATTAGAATTGTGACAGAGACCGCCTCCGTGGTGTAGTAGGGAGAGCGGAAGGTCGCGGGCTCGATCCCCGACCGCGTCATACCAAAAGACGTTAAAATATGGTACTTGTTGGTCCCTGCCTGGCGCTCAGCATTAATGGGTACAACAAGGACTGGTCGGCTCGGAGTCAGTATAATGTGTCTGAGTGGGGTATTCATGCTTCACTTCATCATGGTATCTCAGTGGGCTAGCACTATAAAACCAGCTTCAGTCTTGGCTAGTACAAGCAGCCGCACATACACATACACACGCATGCAGGTCGTCATATGAGCGAAATATTCTCAAGCACGACGTTAAACAAAATTTCACTCACCTAGAATTGTGACTTATGAACCAGTTGGTTATGTACTTGCAAAACAGCATTTCTTGACTTTTGATCGTTAAGGAAATCATCACGTTTTAACTGACATCCTTGATTCAGTTTTTTAATCGTGTTTGATTAAGTATTCACCATGTCTAATTGTTCATCAGACATCACGGCTTCAGGAGTTGTTTTGTTTGCTCGGCCAAATTACGTTAGATTATCACGACTAAATCATCAATGGTAATATTATCAAGCTTCACTAAAGCTGTGTTGTTCCACAGAGCAATGCACCTGTGCACGAGTCGCCATAACTGCCAACCAACATCCTTAGTATTCACCAGTTTCCAGATCATCTCATACTGGAATAAAGAACTCTGGCAAGCATTATATGAAGGATAATGATCACTTGTGGGTACTCTTCACACCACCAAGAGGAAGCCTTCTACAAGAAGGATCTTGGCACTCTAGGGCAAGATCCGGGTTAGAATAGGTCTTCAGCAACCCATGCTTGCCACAAAAGGCGACTATGCTTGTCGTAAGAGGGGACTAACGGGATCAGGTGGTCATGCTCGCTGACTTGGTTGACACTTGTCATCGGTCCCCAATTGCGCTGATCGATGCTCATGATGTTGATCACTGGATTGTCTGGTTCAGACTCGATTATTTACAGACCGCCGCCAGACAGGGACCAGCTGGAATATTGCTGAGACGCGGCGTTAACCTGCGACCTCTCACTCTCCGGCGGAACTAACCACTCACCCAGGCGGTCACTACCTAGGGCAGAAATGTGGTTGAGTTCCCCAGGGTGGGAGTAGCCCAGTGGTTGAAGATTGCGTTCAGCTCGTCAGACTGCGATAGAATACCGGGTTCGATGGCATGTATACCTAGGGCAGAAATGTGGAGTACAACGTGTGAAGCCCATTTCTGGTACCCCTCCGCAATGAAGCCCATTTCTGGTACCCTCCGCAATATTGCTGGAATCCAACTCGCTCACACTCCTGGGGGTTATTTTGATACATAACCCTGTAACCTCATATTTTTAATAGCATATTAATTAAACAACAATCCCACGTTTTACAACCCACTACAGTTCCACGTGGACCAGTGTAACCAGGGCATTACTTCCATGTTCCAGGTAAATGAAACACGATTTATGAATTGAATCAAGAATAGATATTAGTTTGGGTGCATCCAGTACTTTCCAGTCAGGTTCAGAAATATCCATTCACCCCTGTACATACACTGGTCCTGTGCTCAAAGCTCAGGTCACAAATCGGTGAAGTTAAGCAGCGTGGAGCTCCGAGAGTCCTTGGATGGGTCACCCTGTTTGGCAGCTTGACTCCTGAGAGTTTCTAGGACTTGAGTCCTGCCCCACAATGAAGCACATGTCACACATGTGGTCTCACGTTAGGCAAGTGAGTTTGTTCAAAATTGTCTCTGTTCACCCGGCAGGAAAATGGGTACCCGGTGGAAAAAAGTCATATTTCTATAACCTTCTAGCACCTAACAGGCAGTTTGGGTTATCCGGGTAATAATGTGCTGTGCCTTGATTGTTAGATCTATGAGCATACCTAGTGTGGAGTTTGGTGCTAGATAAATGGACACATTATGATTATTAATGATGGTTCTTTTTGTCTGTGCAGCCTGTGTATGTGTGAGCAGTGTGTAGCCTGTGTATGTGTGAGCAGTGTGAGCCTGTTATTGAGCAGTGTGAGCCTGTGTATGTGTGGTTAGCCTGTGTATGTGTGAGCAGTGTGTGCCAGCAGTGTGTAGCCTGTGTAGTGTGAGCAGTGTGTAGCCTGTGTATGTGTGAGCCATGTGTGAGCAGTGTGTAGCCTGTGTATGTGTGTGTGAGCCAGTGTGTAGCCTGTGTATGTGTGAGCAGTGTGTAGCTGTGTATGTGTGAGCAGTGTGTAGCCTGTGTGTGTGTGTGAGCCAGTGTGTAGCCTGTGTATGTGAGCAGTGTGTAGCCTGTGTATGTGTGAGCAGTGTGTGTAGCAGTGTGTAGCCTGTGTATGTGTGAGCAGTGTGTAGCCTGTGTGTGTGTGAGCAGTGTGTAGCCTGTGTATGTGTGAGCAGTGTGTAGCCTGTGTGTGTGTGTGAGCATGTGTGTGCAGTGTGTAGCCTGTGTATGTGTGAGCAGTGTGTAGCCTGTGTATGTGTGAGCAGTGTGTAGCCTGTGTATGTGTGAGCAGTGTGTAGCCTGTGTATGTGTGAGCAGTGTGTAGCCTGTGTATGTGTGAGCAGTGTGTAGCCTGTGTATGTGTGAGCAGTGTGTAGCTTGTGTGGTTGTGTGTGTGATATGATATAGACTGGAGATGTGAGACACCCAATAATTATGGAAGTTTAAATCTTATTTACTTCTGATATTCAATTAATAAAATTAATTTATGACTGTAGGATGACACAACATAGAAAAGGACTTCAAAATGGTATGAAAACATTTTATTTATATTAAAATATGGATGCACAAAATATGGTACTCATTCACATTGATTTTATGTCAAATGCAAGAATACACCTGCCAGATGATGGCATATATCTGTGTTGTAAACAACAACAACATGTACAATAGCAGTTACAATGCATAAAACTGAGGATAACAACACCTACATGATCATATCATAACTAAATACATGTGCACAACTATTTCTTTGGTTGAAACCCATTTGCATGTCAAGATTGAAAATATTGTGCTATATTATGAAAAATATGTATTTTAAATTGGGTGTCAAGCTTCTTGGGTTTCCGCATATTTTTTCACTAATAACCATAAAATAATTTTATATTAATCATAAACAAACTTTAGAAAGGTAAAGCCTTCAAAGAGACAGAGATTGCAATCATCGAAGATCTTTGCTTCACCTTAACCTCGCCCAAAGCTACATGAAATACTTTGACTCAACATCAGAATCATAGCAGTAACCATGGTTACACAGCCACCTCAAGTAAAAGCAGCATACATTCATCAGTTAGTTCAGCTGAGAATTCAGACCACATTACATGTACAGGCAGGTGAAGGATGGTGATGGAGGACAAGCATGTCAGATTCACTGAGGACTAGGGATGTCACGATACATAAGTTTCATGAATTGATACGTATCACGATACCCATGTCGGGATTCGATACGTATCACGATACCTATTTTCACGGCATTATTGCGTAAATTTAGTTACATTTTGAACATTAACATTTCATATTTTATAATTGTCCATGAAAAGATCAACATTTTTGAGTTTCAGAGATTAAAAAGTTCTAACTTCCCATCTTTGTGCATGAAAAATAATCATTTAAAACTCTCATAACATCAAAAAGAATGATGCAAATTGCAAAATGTAAATGATATATAAACATATTTAAACCGATACTTTCAAAACTAAATATCGATACAGTTTTGAATGTATCGATAATTGTATCGTCTTAGAAAAAGTATCCATGCATCGATGTATCGTGGCATCCCTACTGAGGACACCTGCAAGTATTTAGACTAGGACATGCAATGCATTACATACAAACAAAGGCACTGCATCCTTGGCTGCCTCATCCCCTGCACCAACCTTCAGTGAAAGTAAATGTGAAAATGTGAAACACCCATCTACGTCTGTTGCAAGGTCAGTACGGACGTAAAATGTCTTAATAAAGACTAAATACACTTGGTGTAACAACATCAGTTCTGATGTAACCATGGTAACATCAGTTCTGATGTAACCATGGTACCATCACTTCTGGTGTAACAACATCACTTGTTTAGGAACATACCTGCAGTATGGGTTTAGAAAATATGCCTTTAGCTACTCTCATAACAAAGCTGTCAAAGGTGATCTAAAATCTTCCTCATGTAAACCCTAAAAATGACAAATGCTAAGTCTTGTTCCATACATCACATTGTGACAATCACTGGATTGTCTGGTCGAGACTTGATTTGTTTACAAACAACATCGTCCAGCTATAATACTGTAAATGTACTCATGACATAGCCACAATTGTACAATCGACTCTGCTTTTACAGAGATTTCTTATGGATGTGGAAAGGGTTTTGTCGCTTCTATATTGATAACACTAATGTAATATTTCAATAAATGAATTTTCAAAATTTGTGATAATGACCTTGAAATCAATTAGATGGTGCTGTAAAAGATAACTGACCATTAAATCACGTAAAAGGAGTTGAAGATCTTGGAACTAAAAACCAGAATTACTGAGATTTGCATTTGACTGTGATCTTCAGTGTGTGTAAGTAAAATGTGTAAAAAGAAATTTTAGAGAAATTTGATTCCAATCACTTCCGGTAACATTAGCATGCCACTAAGAAGTCACATCCAACTTCCTGTTGGAATTCTGGGATAGAATTGAATGTCAGCTCAGGGACAACTCCTGCATCCTGTTGTCAACATTGATTCTTGCTCATAACGTCGATCACTGGATTGTCTGGCCCAGACTCACTTATGAAAATGCCCTTGTCATTTAGATGGAATACTGACTGAGTTTGCTTTTACGCCGCTTTTAGCAATATTCCAGCAACATCACGGCAGGTGACACCACAAATGGGCTTCACACAATGTACCCATGTGGGGATTCGAACACGGGTCTTCGGCGTTAGATGGAATACTGTTGAGCATGACATTAAACATCAAACAAAGAGGATGCTACATTCACTGCATTCAAGGTTAGAATTGGTCTCAGTAACCCAGGCTTGTACTACTAACAAGGTTGGGCTCATTGACTTGGTGGATGTCATTGTACCCCAATTCTGTAGATCGATGCTGATGATGTTGACCACATGATTGTCTGGTCCAGACTCAATTATTTACAGGCCACCACCATATAGCTGGGAATTGCTGAGTGTGGCATTATACAACAAACAAACAAACAAACATTTGGAAGCATGGTCATCCAGTTGGTTGCCATTGGAACATTATACAGAGTGTTACCATGGTTACTGGCACCCCATGGAGTGTATATTACAGCAGACTTAAACATATCTTTTTGAGAATTTGAGAGTCTTTGCCAAAAACTTTGCCAGACATTAAAATGGTGTAATAAGGTAACACAAATGCATTTACTACAGTAAATTATTTTGTGTTATTGTACAATATAAAAGCAAGTTATCAATAAAACCCCTGTAAACTGAAAATATACGGAGAAATATTTGTTCATAAACATCTCTAAAACATCTATAGTAGATTCACAATCAAACAGCACCACCATGTTCACAACAGAAAAGATAGTCCTCACAACATCCAAATACGGTTTCAGAAAAATAAAGATTTCTTCTCATTAACTTATTTTTGAAAGTTCTTCTCTAGAAGTGAAACTCACCTCCATATTATATTATATTTTAAATATTCAATTTGATGTACAAAATTTCAAATGTTTAAACTGCATCAACTATCTGCTACAAAAGAGATTGAGAGTTTAACATCTCTTAAAACAATAGTGCAGTTGTATCAGGATTTGTCAGCTTAACGTCGGGTAAAGCTAAACTGATGCAGCTCTCAGACATTTACAACTTTGATCGAACCATCAAGTGGTTGAATATGGTTTTACGCCGCTTTTAGCAATATTCCAGCAATATCACAGCGGGTAACACCAGAAATGGGCTTCACACATTGTACCCATGTGGGAAACGAACCAGGGCCTTCGGCGTGACGAGCGAACGCTTTAACCACTAGGCTACCCCATCGCCCTAGAACCCTCAAGCACAGGTATGGTGCTGACATACCTCGAACATAATCTGGGGGAGAAATGGGATTTGAACCCATGATCACAGGTTCCTTGCATATCCAAGGGATGCAACTCCGTAGAGCAAATAATGACCTAGACAACTGGATTACCCATGCTCCTGCTATAATAGAGAAGAAAATTAAGAGAGACAAGAAAGCCGAGAGATGATGTGCTTTGACAAAAGCGCACAAGAATATAAATTCTCCACACATGAAACGAGATGCATGATCATAGGACAAAGTCTCTCACTGAACGATGACAATCTCCATCATGACCTCCAGAAATTTGGGTTTTGTTCTAAACGTCTCTGAAAATTTTCAAACCACTTTTGTAATGTGCTGATGGGTACGAATGTCTCCGATGGGTTCGGAGTCATCTGAGACTGGGTGACCGCAAATGAAGAGGCAAAATTGAAAAAGTTCTCCAGCATCTTCCTTGAATATTCTACAAATGCTTCAACACTGGACACACTAGCTTGTGTTACTGGTGTCTGCTGTGCAAGCTGAGACAGCGGCTCCACGGATATTCCTATCTGGGCATTGTGGGACGCCTGTTGACCAAACATGTTCTGTTGAAATGAGTTACCTCCCCCTGGAAAAAATACAAAAAGCAAATTTAAACAAAAGAGTCTTAGCAACACTGGCTTCGAGTTCTGCTAGAACACCAACATGGAATTACATCTGTTAGTAACTTGTCAACAGTTTCAAATGAAAAAGCATGGATTATAATTGTTTAACCTATTTCCATTTATAGTGACATTTGGCAGAACTTGTAGACCAGAAAATTACATGAGAACGTTCAGTGAGGCCAAATGGGCATGTTATTTTGTATTGTTTGTCTGTCACACTCAGCAATATTCCAACAACATAATGGCAATCAGTAAATAATCAAATCTGAACCAGCCAAGTGATTGACATCATGAGCATCGATCTTTGTAAGACATGCATCGATCAAGCCAGTAAGCCTGAGCACAATACCCTGTTAACTGCCTCTGACCTCAACCATGGGTTGCTGAAGACCCTAACTATCAATTAAACTACAGGTACCCTCCATGTGGCTTTCATATGTCACAATGAGGTGAGGTGAGGTGAAATTGGGTTTAACGTCGTGCTTGAGAATATTTCGCTCATATGACGAATTGCATGCGTGTGTATTTGTATGTGCGGCTGCTTGTACTAGCCCAGACTTAAGCTGGTTTTACAGTGCAAGCCCACTGAGATACCATGCCGCAGTGAAGCATGATTACTCCCCTCAGACACATTATACTGACTCCGAGCCGACTAGTCCTTGTTGTACCCATTAATGCCGAGCGCCAGGCAGGGACGGACAAGTACCATATCTTTACATCTTTTGGTATGACGCGGTCGGGGATCGAACCCGCGACCTTCCGCTCTCCGGGCGGACGCTCTAACCACTACACCATGGAGGCGGTCCTGTCACAATGAAATGTATGAACCAAAACATTATTTCAATTTTACCGTTATCATTAGAACAAGGGCCCATTCATTCTTACTTTTGAACTCATACAGATATTGAATAATTAAGTCTGGACCAGACAATCCAGTGATCAACTGCATGAGCATCGATTTACGCAACTGGGATACGATGACATGTGTGAACCAAGTCAGCAAGCCTGACCACCCGATCCTGTTAGTCGCCTCTTGCGACATGCATGGGTTATTGAAGATCAATTGACTAACAGGATCCAGACTTGATTATTTATAGACAGCCGCCATATATGTAGATGGAATATTGCTGAGTGCAGCATAAAACTAAACTCACTCACACAATGAATTAAGCACAGATATCTGAATCAATTTTTAAGCTGTTTAAGAACAGATTAAAGGTACTATGAATGAACATGTCTGTGTTTATATTACATTAGCAACCGTTTTCCTTTACTACTGATACTCTCAAGAAAAAGAGGAAGTCCACCGCTGCTGGCAAACTTCTGGTCTTCTTGACATTGTGACAAAGTGAGTTATTACTGTTATTGTTATTGTTGTGTATTGTTGTAAATGCTATTGTGCCCTTGAAATGTTTGAATTTCTTAGTGAATAAAATTTTGTGCCCAATAATGTCTTTGTGTTTATTAGAACAATAGCGATATGGCAGCCATGTTTGATCACGTAAACATGGACTGGGAATAATTGCTTAAAATGAAAGGTTTGTGCTTGCAGTTCATTGGCAATACTAGCAAAACTTTCCTGCCTGCAAAACTTTGTCGACTTACAGAAACCATAAATACAAATCCTGATGATCATGAAAAGTACTAGTCATGCAAGAGCCACCAACCCCTTAATAGAATTCCCTAGCATCATGAGCGAAAAAAAGTCGGTTGAAATATTTCAAAGTAGTATGAATCAAAATGTCTGTCATCAGATAACATACGACAATCATTTTCTTAAATTAACCATTACAACTAATCACTATCTTCATAAAGTACTAGTCCTGAAACAGCCACCAACCCTTCAATAGACTTTCCCAGCATCATGACCAGTTCAAGTCATAAAACAAAGACCAACCTGCTTTCAGTGAGGATATTTTAAATATAGTGCTTGGTTTTGCGTTTGTTAAATGTCCCAACAGCTGCCACGAGGGACCATCTGTGCTAGGCCAGGAGAAATACACTGAAACAGATATGATGACATTATAATACATACCAGCTAACAGAACACAATACAACATGTTTACAACAGATAAACGCTTTTCAAACTACATGTATTGCTATATTTTCTGTTATTAGGTAAAATTATCTATGTAATGATGAGTTTTGTCATAATTTATGGGGGCGGTGGGGTAGCCTAGTGGTTAAAAGCGTTGACTCGTCACGCCGAAGACCCGGGTTCGAATCCCCACATGGGTACAATGTGTGAAGCCCATTTCTGGTATCCCCGTGTGATGTTGCTGGAATATTGCTAAAAGCAGCGTAAAACCAAACTCAGTCAGTCAGTCAGTCAGTCATTATTTATTACCTAAACTCTACACAGAAATTCAATCATTCATTCACATATGATGTTTACCTTTAAAATTAACAGACAAAATGGCAGAGAGGAAGTGACTTTTTTCTATGGACATCGATTGACCATATTGACTTTGACATGTTTACTTTACTTTGTAGATCAGAGAATCAGCAAGTACAACCAGTATTAATCACTGTCCAATACTTACAAAATATACAATACTGTAATATGTATCGCAATACAGATACTTGAATCCCAAATTGCCCTACAACCTGCCACATGAAAAACACTAAAAGGTTCTTGTTAGATTGTGTTAAAAGTAGTGAGTGAGTGAGTTTAGTTTTACGCCGCACTCAGCAATATTCCAGCTATATGGCGGCAGTCTGTAAATAATCGAGTCTGGACCAGATAATCCAGTGATCAACAGCATGAACATTGATCTACGCAATTGGGAACCGATAACATGTGTGAACCAAACCAGCGAGTCTGATCACCCGATCCCGTCACGCGTTAAAAGTAGGTATATCCAATAAACATAATGCATATGTGCGTCCTAAGTGCTTATCTCCCTACCAGCTCCTCCGAAGCCTTCAGGGAATGGAGTCTGTCCCGTCATGAAGAGGACAACATGGTTGATGTTGTCGGCATCAGTAATGTTGAACAGAAACTGAGTCTCTGACACCTGCTGCAGGTCGGTTTGTACCTGTAGATACAGAGGATAGTACATGAAAATTCAAGAAATGACCTCGATACATGTTTGTGTTCATGTTTGTTTGTTGTTTACCTCCAAGTAAGGCAATATTCTAGTTATATGACAACAATCTGCAAATGATTTATATTCATAGTTAGAATTAATTATTAAATTAGTAATCAATTCAAGTTTTGGACTGAAAACCTGAGGTCATAACCTTGTCAGCAAGCCTGACCACCCATTCCAGTCAGTCGCCACTTCCTACAAGCATGTGTTAGTAAAGACCAAATCTTAGTTATAAATACAGGGGTGGAAATAACTTTAAAATTGCTAGTGTACTCCGGTACAGTGGCACATGTAAAATCACTTGCCCGATCATTTTTCCACTATACCGGCCGTTTTCTTGTTGATTTTTTAAATAAACAACATAATTAATATTGGAAAGTCAACTGGACACCGGTACAGTGTGATATACAAATTTGCTTGCCCAACAGAAGAAAACACTGGACTCGGGCGCCAGGCAATGGGTTATTTCCACCCCTGAAATATCTGTTAAACTAAGGGATTTATGATCACGTTTGGTTGTGACAACTGTGTGGAACAGACCCCTGAAACTATGGGAGCATCAGGAACAGTTGTGACACAAGTATCATAACGAAGCATCTGAACTTACAAAGACGTATTCAACTGAGCCACACATTAAAATCTTAGAGGACTTATAACATTTAATGTTAACAGAGACCATAATAGATTTTATTATATAGGTAGTATTTTTCCTGTACCACAATTGGTCAAAAGACCATCACATGATTGACTACAAAACACGATATTGACTTGAGTTTTCTGATAAATTACAATATTGACCTGGGTTACTAAAAATAGACAAGGAATCCCGTACGAAGGGGCTTCCCCCGCTTTTCAGCCAATCAGATCACTCGGATAGATGGCACAGTGTGTGCATTAAAAGTTTATGTTAAAACCCGTTTCTCTTTCATTATATAATAAAACAATTATAGACTCTTGTAGAGGTCAATATCGGTTTTTATTGACCTGAGAAAAACAATATCGACCTAGCAAGCTCGGTCAATATTGTTTTACGCAGGTCAATAAAAACCGATATCGACCTCTACAAGAGTCTATAATTGTATAATATTATATGGTCTCTGATGTTAACAATGAACTGTCAAGGATATTTACAGATGTGCAGATCTGTTGAGCTTGTAAGCTTGATGATCTTGGTACTATCTATCCTGCTAAATGAATTTGTTAAGAACTAATTGCAATCTTGAACAGAGAATTCAAACTTCAAGGTTCAATTAAGTGATTAGCACAACAAAAGTATATATCACACTACCTAAACAACTACGTTTCGCCTTAGTTGGATGAGATACATTGGATCAGGTTGTTGCTTCCAATTTGTGAACATAATGAATATGACAATGTATCTCGTGCATATATCCCACGTGTTTCTGCAAGTCTTCCAGCCTTTTACCGTGACTCGATGACTATCAGTGACTTGCAATTTTCAGAACGGTTCGATGACGGAAACAAACTATCGTGACAAGTCAACCTAACCATGCCACGTAATACGAGGTATCAACAGTAATCGTTTGCTACAGAATTCAAGGTCAGGTCCGATTCGAAAGCCCAGCCCCAGGCTGTAAACAACAGTCTCTTAGCCTTCCTTCTTGGCAATATTGCCTCAACAGATCGACTGACTTCGCGAGCTCGTTTACACTAAATACTCACAAGACGGCCTGAAATTATGAGCCCAAACATCTCTCTGGTGCTTTAGTAGTTAAACAGAAATATGCATTCCAAAATTGCTGTTAATATGCGTCGTATATCCCTCACTAAGCTTCAAGAACCTTCTTGACCGTCCAGAATGTAAACACCTAAGGGAGGTAATAATGTATACAACAAAGGGAGATAATAGCTGAAGGCTGAAACTTCGTAAAATAATTATTGTTAGCCAAATTCACGTCAAACTGGACCTAACGCCACAAACTGAAAATAAAACTTAGTAATACGTTTATAGACGCGTGAAAAACGTGACTTTTTATCATTCATGTAAAGAGTTTAGATATATAATTTTGACAGAAACAAATCATTGGAAGGCGGACCCAGTGGGATAGGAGATTCAGAACCTGAGGAAATCAAGACTAACTTTATTTAGGACTTGAACGTTGCAGAAAGAGTTTGGCGAAAGGGAAAATATTGCGGTCGAGGGGACAGACTATAGATATAACCCAACACAAGCTAATGGTAACCTCATGTGTATAGAGGACCGTTCATAATTCATTGAAATCAATGACAACCCCCACCCCGCCCCGCCCTCCCATAATGTTTAAGCATAATTGTTACACATTATAAGGTTTTATGTACAAAATTGCTGATCTCTCTACAGCAACACACAGCGGACAAAGGAATATGTTCATGTAACCTATTGGCAAAACTTCACCTGTAGCTGTATTTACTGCACCAGTTTTCACATCGGCTGAATTCACGATGCTATTGTACATAGTATATTAGTCTGTTGAACATACCTTGAAACAAATAGATTCAATGTATCACATGTGACCTACTGTAGATATCTAGGTAACTACGGTTACAGAAGGTGGAGATTGTCTCTTTTCAATGTATTGTAAAAATGTCTGGGGTTTTTCTGTACAGTATTTCTATTTCTGAGATTAGATGTGAATCTAATAATCTTTATTATCCACGTGGTGGAACATAACCAGAGAATACTAAACGATGTCCCGTGTAATACCATATTTATGAGTGAGTGAGTTTAGTTTTACGCCGCACTCAGCAATATTCCAGCTATATGGCCGCGGTCTGTAAATAATCGAGACTGGACCAGACAATCCAGTGATCAACAGCATGAGCATCGATCAGCGCAATTGGGAACCGATGGCATGTGTCAACCAAGTCAGCGAGCCTGACCACCCGATCCCGTTAGTCGCCTTTTTCGACAAGCATAGTCGCCTTTTATGACAAGAATGGGTTGCTGAAGACCTATTCTACCCCGGATCTTCACGGGTCCCATATTTATGAAACTAGTGAATGGTTTGGTATAGATTCACGAGTTTCATAGATATGGTATTACACGGGACATCGTTTAGTATTTTATTTATTACTCACCCAACATTAGCAAAATAAAATCGAGCAAAGTACTTCTTGCCTAAGAATTCAACGAGTGTGATGACTCTCAACTTTCCGCGAGTCGAGCCAGGTCTATTACTATTGTGACAGAGGTATTAGCATTGTGACGTCATAACTGTAAACCAGTTTTACGTCATACGTACGGCACCACGTGATGTTATTACACAATGTGTTATAACAGTGATATCTTCAACGGGTGAGTAATAAATATCATGTGTGCACGTATCACTTTTGCCAAGCAACTATTGTTTCTGTATTTCGTCGTCTGTGACGTCATTAAACAATTGAACGCCACGTCAATGAAGTGGGCCGTCACACATGCTTACGGTGTTTTACTGCACAGATGTACATGTATAAATTGATAATAAAGAAAGTATTACACTGGAGCAAGTGTATCATACGACGTATACGAAACTCGTGCAATACTCTCGGCAAAATGGCGACTCTACCCCGTCCCGCATGCGGGAAGCTGTAGATGGAAATTCAGATGTGCAGGGTATACAAGATACCCTGCAACGCATAAACGTGCCGTTAGATTTGAAGCTCAATGAATGAAGAAGAGGCATCAAGTCTGCAGATATTTAATGTTATTTGCAGGAGTTAGTGTCCCATTGTTATTTACATTGTATACAGGCAATATGAACTTCTATAGCCATGTCATATATGGAGTGTACATTGTTAGGACTAGGACTATTGTTTTAATTATATGTTGACAACATTTGGTCACTATGACGTAGATTTCCCAAAACGAAGTAAGGTTTAAACAGTAAAACCACGAAGGCATTGTGTGGACGAGGCGAGTAGTTACGAATGTGTGTGGACCGTGGACATAGGCCCTGTCAGCCAACATTGCCGTGTCACTGTTTAATTGTGATTCGAGCTGAGACATTTATCGAAAAAAGTTAAATGTAATGTTTCCAGCAGTGATGTTAGCCGAGTGAAGCAACTGCAAACCAAGAAACGGAATGTTACGGAGTAGTTTACTGTAAGAGACTGTACGAGGCGATGACAAGTGACACGCATCGTGACGTCGGTTACTAAGGATACGTTTGACGTAATTCATAAAACTGTACTTTATCGCCTGATAATGTACTGTCGGCGCCTTTGATCTTTTAGCGAAGCATCTTAGAATGGATAATAAAGAAATGATGACACTCGCATATGCACTATACTGCAAGAATTCTAACAAGCAGATATTAGCTTGAAAAAGTAGATATGTACTATTCGGCTTTGACTATAGGACATTTACTTTTTGATTGTAATATACGATATTCAGTTTTAATTATCAGATATTTTTGCCGCTTATACGTAGCTAACGTTTCCCCACCCCCACCCCCAACATCATAGTGTTAATAGGTATGATCACGCACATTCCTTTCCCCAACAGACAATAAAGCTCAAGTTTAGGGTTAAACAATAAACAAGCAAATTGAAAAATGTATAACATTAGAACATTTAAAGAATGGAAAATCTGTCCACGGATTACAGGATACAATCGTAGTGTTGTATCACGCAATGTGGAACGGTTTAATGCCCAACTCAAATGATCACCAAGGTACGAAGCTCCTGAAGGGACATTTTCGTAACCAAAAATAAACATAATAATCTCGTAATAACGACTTATAATCTCGTAATAACGACTTCAAATCTCGTAATAACGACTTATAATCTCTTAATAACGATTTTTAATCTCGTTATAACGACTTTCAAAAAACTCTTTATAACGACTTTTAAATCTCGTTATAACGACTTTTGGTGGCCTTCATCTCCTTCTGAATTTGGTCTTCTGCATGGACTGCTTGAACATAGAGTTCATGGTTGGGAACGACTTGATGAGCATCTTGTCTTTGGAGTCCTGCATAGCATCCCTGCTTGCCTTCCTGATACTTCCATGGTAGCCGCATCCCAAGGTTTGCGCAGCAGAGGCTTGGTGTATAAATCCAACCATTGGCATGAAGAGAGGACACCCTGACGTCGCCTAAGTGTGACTATGAGACCATGATTCTCTCACCTGATGGGACTGTGACCTACTGTGAGACCATGATTCTCTCTGACATGATTCTCTCACCTGATGGGGAACTGTGAGATGATTCTCTCACCATGATTCTCTCACCTGATGGGAGCTGTGAGACCATGATTCTCTCACCTGATGGGAACTGTGAGACCATGATTCTCTCACCTGATGGGAACTGTGAGACCATGATTCTCTCACCTGGGAACTGTGAGACCATGATGATGGGACCTGTGAGGGATGGGAACTGTGTGAGACCATGATTCTCTCACCTGATGGGAGCTGTGGGATTCTCTCCTGGGATGTGGGAGCTGTGAGACCATGATTCTCTCACCTGATGGGAACTGTGAGACTATGATTCTCTCACCTGATGGGAGCTGTGAGACCATGAGAGCTGTGAGACTCATGATTCTCTCACCTGATGGGACATGTGAGACCATGATTCACCTGATGGAACTGTGAGACTATGATTCGCTCACCTGATGGGATGGGATGGGAACTGTGACTATGATTCTCTCACCTGATGGGAACTGTGAGACCATGATTCTCTCACCTGATGGGAACTGTGAGACTATGATCCTCTCACCTGATGGGAACTGTGGGACCATGATTCTCTCACCTGATGGGAACTGATGGGAACTGTGAGATTCTCTCACCTGATGGGAACTGTGATTATGATTCTCTCACCTGATGGGAACTGAGACCATGATTCTCTCACCCTGTTCGATGATTCTTCCTCACCTGATGGGAACTGTGAGACTATGATTCTCTCACCTGATGGGAACTGTGAGACCATGATTCTCTCACCTGATGGGAACTGTGAGACATGATTCTCTCTCACTCTGATGGAAACGGTGAGACCATGATTCTCTCACCATGATTCTCTCACCTGATGGGAACTGTGAGACCATGATTCTCTCACCTGATGGGAACTGTGAGACCATGATTCTCTCACCTGATGGGAACTGTGAGACCATGATTCTCTCACCTGATGGGAACTGTGAGACCATGATTCTCACCTGATGGGAACTGTGGAGACCATGATTCTCTCACCCTGATGGGAACCTGTGAGACCATGATTCTCTCACCTGATGGGGAACTGTGAGACCATGATTCTCTCACCTGATGGGAACTGTGAGACCATGATTCTCTCACCTGATGAGACTATGATTCTCTCACCTGATGGAGACAATGAGACCATGATTCTCTCTCACCTGATGGGAACTGTGACACCATTCTTTCCTGATGGGAGCTGTGAGACCATGATTCTCTCACCTGATGGGAACTGTGAGACCATGATTCTCTCCTGATGGGAACTGTGAGACCATGATTCTCTCACCTGATGGGAGCTGTGTGAGACTATGATTCTCTCACCTGATGGGAACTGTGAGACCATGATTCTCTCACCTGATGGGAACTGTGAGACTATGATTCTCTCACCTGATGGGAATGAGACTATGATTCTCTCACCTGATGGGAACTGTGAGACTATGATCCTCTCTCACCTGATGGGAACTGTGGGACCATGATTCTCTCACCTGATGAGGATTCTCTCACCTGATGGGAACTGTGAGACCATGATTCTCTCACCTGATGGGAACTGTGAGACTATGATTCTCTCACCTGATGGGAGCTGTGGGACTATGATTCTCTCACCTGATGGGAGCTGTGGGACTATGATTCTCTCACCTGATGGGAACTGTGGGACTATGATTCTCT